AGGTACAGTTCAATTACTAACTCCTCCAACCTGCACTAACACCCCAAAAAAAACTAACAATCCCCAAAATAAGAACTAAACAAACCCAGCCTTTAGCAATTCCACCCAAAATAAAAATAACCCAATTCAACCATTCACTAACCACACCCTACCATTCCTCCCAAAACAAAACCTAACTTACCAATCCCATACTAACACACTGTTGACATGGACGCCTCCATTAGCCAATAAGGTCGGGGAGGGGTGCATAGTACCTGTACAAACCCTCTCCCTCAAAGAACGGGACCAGGAATGCACATACCTGCAAAAGCCCTTCACGCAAATTTCAGAAGACCTTTATAAGCCAAAAGAAAAAAGAAAAGAAAGCAATAATAACCCAACTCAACCACTAACAAACCTACAATCCTCCCAAAATAAAACTTAATCCACCCAATCTTACTTACAATCCCTCCCTCCCCCCAAAAAAAAATAAAAAATATTAACTCAACTTAACCAACCACTAATAAACTCCTACAATCCTCCCAAACAAAACTTAATATACCTGACCTTTCTAACAAGCCCCTTCCACCCCTTAAAAAAAAAAAAAAAAAAAAATTATATATATATATATATATATATATATATATATATATATATATATATATATATATATATATATATATATATATATATATATATATATATATATATATATATATATATATATATATACTAGTTGAATTACTCGCGCCTTGCGCGGAAACTTATTTTCTATCGACCATACATGAGAGATCCTTCATTTGGGGACTACAGACCCATGAATCATGTGTTTTCACTGACCAGATCATGGAGTTCTTTATCTGCTCGTTTTGGGGATTTCTGCGAAATTGCCAAATCATATTCTTCGGCTTTGATTTTGTGCTCTGGAGCTATCCAGAAAAGAAAGTGTATAAATTATTCTCTTCTGTTACTCAATGATTGTACAGCCATGTACAAAAGTACCAAATATTCCTTCTTCATATGTTCCGCAAACTTTTCACTTTTTAATCACAGAGACTCTAAACAATATCTGGTCGATCATGACTTCCTTGTCAAGGAGCCAAATTGTCTCAACAATTTCGAATAGCGTGGATTACATGTCATAGTGATAAAGTAATCTGCTCTTCCGTAAGTGTCCGAGGCCATCGCATCTGACCTTTTTCCTTGAGAATCGAGGGACCACCAATATAGGTCGCTGGAAGCACAGTGCGACACAACGTGATTTGGATCTCCATCAGCAGCAAGCAGACTATCACGTAAATCTGAGTAATTTTCAGCACGGAGACTTTGCTGTTCTCTTCTCAAAAACTTCAATCTTTCAGTTTCTATTTCGCAGTATGCATCCACCAAGAATTGCTGGAAGAGTCGCCTTCCAAGCAAGAGGTAGTTCCCTTCTCTGCACATAATATGGAAAGAGTAAAACTGCAACTGTGTGACTTTCCGACCATTTCTCCCTTGCAAATATATGTGGTAGCCGTCTGTTCCATATGGAAAAAACAATGGATACATCAAAGGATCATAGGATCGATGTAGCTCTGAAATTCTCCTCAATCCACCTTGTTTCAACTGAAGAACAATATCTCTATTTTCTGTAGGCTCATTTGACATTAAAATTGCAACTTCAGCCCCTGTTGGTGCATTAAAACGCCGAGCATGTTCTCCCTGGGCACGCTTATTTTCCCAAATTACAATTTTCTTGTCATTTATGTTTCCTTGCCGTACTTGCTCTAGCGCAGTCTTTAGCTCCCTCACATAATGATTATTTTCATTTAACCAGGCTGTAATTCTCTCCAATATATCAGCATTCAAGTTTTGATGCTCTCCTCTTGCTCTCAGTTGATCTTCCAAAGTGTCCAAAAAGTAAACTTGAATGTATCTTGCTCTTCTATCTTCAGGAGGCATCAGTGACCCAAGTTGATGGTAAATTTGACCTTGGATTCTTACAGATGGATTCCAACCTTGGACAGATGCATCTTTGTGACCAAAGCTGGTCATGGCAAACAGAGAGTTGTACTCCCTGAGTCTTGACAAAAAGTGTTTGCTGAATTGACTTTCCCCAGTGAACAGTTCTTCAAATAACTGAGGCAGAGGTGGAAATTGATCCAGTGTAACCTTTCCATTTCCACAGCAAATTTCTTAGTGCCACACTGACAAAGTTTGGTCATTTCTCCAATTGCAGCCTTGTTACATGGGTCATTTTTGTCATACAGTAATGCAGAACGTTTAGCATTTTGAATCTCACATTGTCTTAAATTTTGAATCCTGTTTCTATCAGCAATCAAACGCTGTTGTCTCTCTTCTTCAGACTCATTTCTTCTTGCAACCATATGGCGAAATGTATCAGCAATCAAACGCTGTTGTCTCTCTTCTTCAGACTCATTTCTTCTTGCAACTATATGGCGAAATCTATCTTGCTCCTGTCTTTCTTGATGCTCACCCAAGGTTTCATTTTGCCGAGACTCTGTTTGCCTCTGTCTTTGTTTAGAAAGTCGTTCTTCCCTTGCATCACAGCTTTCAGGTTGACGACGAAGCCTCATCTTTTGTGCATGTGGAGTATTTGCATAACTGGACTTTCTTTTCCATGGCATAATGGATGTCTGAAAAAAAATAAATAAATGAAAATGTTAAAAAAGTAGAGGCATTAACTAATAATTTTTCTTGCCATAATTCTAGTGATGTTTTGTCATAGATAAAATGTCTAAATTTGCCAAATTTTTCTATAAAAGAAAGGTAATTTTTGTTGTTGTTTTACGCTTAATTAATAGAAAAAGCCCGGGATAATAGAGGTTCCAATACTCAAGTTATGGGCTTCCAAAATTTTCAATATAGGGGGGGTTTAGCCCCCATTAGGGTGTCTTAATATTATTGAAATTTGCTGATATTTTGTGAATAGGCATCATTTCTGGTCATTTACCTATGGTTTAAATTTCATTTAAATCGAAGGGAAAAAAATTTTCAGTGGGGGGTTTGTGCCCCCCGGGGACCCCCTTTGATCAAAATGAAATATACTTATCCAAGTACCCTGGGTAATGTAGTTTCAGAATATATATGGTTATGGGGGTCTATCTCCAAAACCCTAGGAGGAGTTCGTGAACAAACAGACAGAGGCTACAACTTTATATATACAGTGGGGTATGCTATAACGAACGGATCCTACTACGAATATTCCTATAACGAACGGTTTTACCTATAAAATTGAGAATGCTATAACGAACGAAACTCCTACAACGAACATTATTTATATTATTTATTTTTGTTTTCTAATTTATTGTTTTTTTATTACAAATATTAATGATATTCTTTATTTCAGGGGTTTAGATGCATATTTATGCACTTTTTTACAATTTTTACAATTTTATATTATATTTTTCAGTGTTAAGTGGTTGTATTTGGGGGCCTGGAATGGATTAATCCTATAACGAACGAATGCTATAACAAACAAGGTTCTAGAACCAATTAGATTCGTTATAGCATACCCCACTGTATATATATATATATATATATATATATATATATATATATATATATATATATATATATATATATATATATATATATATATATATATATATACATACATACATACATACATACATATATATATATATATATATATATATATATATATATATATATATATATATATATATATATATATATATATATATATATATATATATATATATATATATATATATATATATATATATATAGATGTTATAACCCTTGGCCTCTTAGGTTGTAACAAAATCACAAATTCAACTACTCTTTGTATTATAGGTCCAAGGAATAGATCCCACCAAAATCATCACCTCATTACTATGGGGTATATTGAAATTCACGGAGTAAATTTAATTACAGAATACAGTATACTGTATAAACAAACAAACAATAAAACAAATATATCAGTTATGTTCAAAAATAAACAAATACAAATTAAATCTGATCAAATAAGTGACTCAGTAAGAAAACACGCTCTTACAAAGTTTTTTTTCCTTACTTTTATTTCACTTAAGCTGCCACCATTTGTAAGAGCGTGAAATCTTACTGTAGCTTTATTTTAATTATTGTTTATTTACTCCCGTAGTTTTTTATAGTTAGCTCATTTCAAGTCACTTCATAACCTCTGACCTGTGATAGCATGGCTCGAGGGTTATGACATATGGGTACATGTAATTATGGTATCAAGCAATAGGAAGGAATAACGGTGGAATACTGCAGGTAAATAATACTCCTAACATACAAATCAAATGGTTTATTAACAGCATAAACTGGTTTATTAAAAGAAAAAAATGGTATATTAAAAGTAAAAAAAAATGGTTTATTAACATGAAGTTAGATTCCATGAACAATTCCAGTACGTAAACTCAACTACCTCGTTTAACTTACTTTGCACTGTTGCATTAGGTACAGTTTCCACTTACACCATGACTGGGTGTATATGTACAAGGACACACAAACTCTCTCACAGCACCTTAAGCACCATTATTACCCGTTGCAATGACTCCAGTTACCACAAACCTGGCTGCTCAAACAGCACCAGAAATGGTACTTTCCTTCACCACGTGGTACCTTGGCCCACAGACAATTCAGGTGGACATCTACAGGTGTCCTCGGAGGAATAACACCACCACCAAATAGCCCTACTGTGTAATGGACTCATCCATAGCAATGATGGGGGCTGGCAGCTGTTTGCTTGGCCTGTTCATGTCAACCACGTAGTCAGAGTTTGAAATCCCTCCAACCTACAGGTTCATCTAGGAGTCTAGGCCACGAGTCTTTAGCTTGGGGACGTCCTCCACACTCGTTTGGGAGATGGATGAAGGCCAGTAAACTCGGGTAAATTCGTGAACCCGAGCCTCAGGAATGCACCACCACCTATAGGGCCCCGAGAACTGGCCAGCCCACGTGGTGACATCACAAGCCAAGGAAACAACTACCAGCCCCCATCATTGTTATGGATGAGTCCATTACTCAGTAGGGCTATTTGGTGGCGGTGTTATATTTTTGTCCCCCCCCCCCCCCAAAAAAAAAACTCCTTGGGAACGCATCTCCAATTATATAATGGGAGTCAATGGGAAAATTGGTCCCATGTTATGGAAACCTTTTCAAGGATGCATCCCTTCTGTAACCTGGAGGTTACCTGTAATTTACTCTGTTTCAGTTCACTGTTAGATATTTCACTACGTTTCTTCACAATGTTTACAATCCTTAAAAACTTTTCCTAAATCTGTTACGAATTAGGATCCAGGTCAACCTATAAATAGTTTACCATGCAGAGTAGTAGGATATTCTACAGACAATATTAGGTCAACTATTCCCTCTCAGTACAGTACAGGTTGTACCTCTCTAGTCCGGCATTCTGTGGTCCTGAACGATTTTAGTTTGTCCAATAGGTAGATAGGCAGTTTTTTTTTTTTACTTATCTGAATTATTATTATTATTACAGGAGTATTAAATTTTTGCCCCTCAGGCCCCAATGTGGGTCAGTGACCTATGCCCGGGTGGGCTAATCCCCTTAAAAAAAAAAAAGCCGCGGGAAATTAAGGTTTGTTTACATCCGGCAGTTCGGCTGCTCTCTCTCTCTCTGCTTGTCTATACAGAGTACAACATTTAACCCTTCAATATATATGAGCAGTAAATAAGTGTTGCTTTCATATTCTTATGTAGAGTAATGATGATATATTTTCACATGTGCGCACTTACATACGAGCAGTCTCACTTTTTTTTTACCATTAATGGTTAGCTACTTATATTGTTCCATTTATTAACATTAAATAACATTACAGGTACTTCAAGCATCCATACTCATTTTTTACATTAATTTTACTACAGCTAAACTCAGGGTCTTATTTTCTTCAGTTTTATATGTAGAACCAATCAGTCACTGGTTTCGTAAGCTTTAACATAAACAATGCCGGCAGCCGTCTCGTCTCCTCTAATATTCCACGTATTATTAATAAATTGTATTGTTAATTTTGCACACACGTACATTAATTCAATAAAAACAAATTCAGAAACATTAATTAAAATATATATGAACAGTAAATAAGTGTTGCTTTCATATTCTTATGTAAAGTAATGACGATATGTTTTCACATGTGCGCATGCGCACTTACATATGCGATCTCTCTTTTTTCTTTACCATTATCGTTAGCTACTTCTATTGTTCCATTTATTAACATTAAATAACATTACTTAAAACAACCATATTAATTTTACTACAGCTACAACCAAGGTCTTATTTTCTTCAGTTTTATATGTAGAACCAGTCAGTCACTGGTTTTGTAATCAACGAAAACAATGCTGTGTCATTTCCTCGTGTGTTTTAATATTCTACGTATTATTAATGAATTGTATTGCTCATTTTGCACACATAAACATTAATTCAATAAAAAAGACATTCAGTAATAAATAATAATGAATCTTTTGTACATAAGAGAAATGACGCTGTTTACACGATTATGCACGTCGTCTGCACGTTGACAGGCCGTTCAAACCCGTCGAAATTCAAGTTTCCGCCGTCAACATTTTTATTTATTTTTTTTTTTTATGTTCCAATAAAATACGTTAAGAATTAAAAACTCGCGAAATTTGAGAAGCTACTATACGACATTTAACCCTTCAATATGTCTTCAAAGAGACCATGACGCAGAGAAAGTGGTGCTAGTGCTTCCAGGCATAAGCACAAGTCACTATCTATCCAGGAAAAGGGTGAATTTCCATGGTCCGGCAATTTCCATGGTCCGGCACCGGTCAGGTCCCGAGGTTGCCGGACTAGAGAGGTACAACCTGTATCTCACAATTTATGAAGCAATCTCAATAATTTATAAGTATCTGTAGTCAATCATCATTAAGATCTATAATCATGAATTTATCTTGCAATGAACAGTTAAAAAGATAACATCACATATATGTATTGTACTACAAAAATCACATATCTATTACAATAACTTACAAACCGTTCGTAAGATATTGACTTTCTTCAAATTTTTTTTTATTAGTTCCAACATTTTAAGACTTCCCAAACATTTCATAGTGATCATCAATTGTTAATCTCCTTTATAAAAATCTTCAGATTACAGTACTGTTCAGTAGACCCATTCGCGAATTTGAAATTTCAATGATTCGCGGTAACCAGATGGTGGCTAGCTTGCAAGCCTTTTCCAGCTGTGCAACGAGTCACCCCACATTCCCGCAGCGTCTCCTCTCCCTCTGTTCGCGCTCAACCATTGCCAGTATGAAATGGCCCCTAAAGCCTAGTGTCAGTGCTGGTGGAGTGAAATGTAAAAGGCACTAGTCAGTGAAGACCCTGACAAAGAAAGTTGAATAATTAGAAAAGTTAAAAGAAAGGACGAGTGCTGCCATGGCTGGTACATTTGTTTGGTATAGGTATACAGTAGTGCACTAAGATGTCGGTCATTGACCTGTGCCCGGGTGGGCTAAGACCCACCCCCCCCCTCAAAAAAAACCCTCCTTTTCAATGCTTGTTTGGCATTCATGACTATAAGGGGTACCTCTAGTAAATAATAAAAGAACAAAGTTTATTAAGTTAATTTGATACATGAATGCGAGGTGAAAAGCCGCCAGGACAAAACTGCAGTAGGGACTCGCAGAAACTTTGTCCAAGACACTTTCAATATGCGTTTATCTATTGATCATGTTAAACCCGAAACTGATCAAGTTTTGTGAAAGGTGTTTCCGAACTGGTGAATTGTGTAAAAACAAAATCATGTTGAGTGAACGCATGTTAACCAAGGAATACCTTATCCTCGCTTCCCTTGCTAATATCTTAACATTCTCCAGGTGAATGTTTCAATCACACAACCAAGTGCTTCACACATTTCCAACTATATCACTTTCATAACAATAAATATACTGTATACTGTACTGTTAATCCTGTACATATTTCATATGAATAAAAAAACAACAATGAAGATTTCTTTAGATCTTATATTTCAACCATCGAAACTATAATAAGCACTAATGGTAAGTTCCGTAAAAAAAAAATTATCACTTCTGTAAGGGGGATATTAATCTAATAGGAGAATACAGTAATAATTTCAAGAGGTAAATGCTAAGCATATTTCCAGCTATTTCCAACCACCGAGTTCATATAGTTGATGGCGTAGTTATAGTTCTCCATATCTGTAAGAGTAAAGAACATAACAATACAGTACAGTATGTTGGATGTGCTGCAAGTAAAAATAAAAAAATATGTTGAATGTATTGATTATATTAAAGAGTTGCTACATGTGCTGAATAAATTAAAATAAAGCCCTTTTTTCTAAAAAACAGTTTTTGTGATAAAGTCCAGAATGCGACGTCGAGCTTTATATCTAGGTATGTAAATGCCTAGCAATTAACTCGCCAGGCCAACAATACATAAATTTTAACCTTTTACAGTCCCTTTCCTGGTACTGTATTGCACATTGGTAGGTGGTCAAAATCAGGCTTCCTGAATTTGCTTTCACTCATTCTAACAGCCATATAAAATGTACAGTGTTGTGCTATTCTGTTCCCCTTCTCCAAAAAGACCCAAAAGATATACACTGCATATCCCTGGCCATTCTCTGAACATTGAATATAGGGTTTCCCACAAGACTTCATCACAGTTCACTGAAATCTTCTCCCACTAATTCAGTCAACAGAATCTGTACACTAATTCATTCCACACACTCCCTTCTTCCACCTTTTATGTATTCTTTGTCTTTACCTATGCCATGTAAATAATAAAATCTCCTTATTTCACTGTGACACTAGAAAGCTTACTGAAATTATTTATTACAAGACTTCCCTCTTCAATGTAATACTTCCCCTGTCACACGCACACACATATCCTCCACCACTAAAGTAAACAAAAATATTTAGCACTAAAGTAAAAAAAAATATTATGACAAAATACTTTCTATCGTCTTAAAAAGAGACAACATAATTTCAAATGCTTACCAAAATTTTCTGTATACTCTACAGGAAAGGTGATGCATTCATTGGCCAACACTTGTCTCCCTTTTGCTGTGCCGTGAATCTCAACCACACCCTCAACATTTTCCTGCACAAAAAAGTAAACAGTACTCAACAAATGATGAAAACCTTGTACATTATAATACATGAGGTTGGGTTTACACACATTTATCACTGAAGTAATATTTTCCTTTAAAATCTTTAATCATATTATCAATTAGCCTTCCTTCCCTAAAACACTGCTGACCTCATATAAAGGGTCTTGATGTGAACCAGGTACAGTAATACAGAACTATACAAGCCTTATGAAGCTATATACAGTAATGAGATTTCTAGGAACATCCAAAGCAAGTGTGGAAAATAGTCATAAAACATTGATGATAATGATGATTCCACAAGGGTTAGTGAATGTTATTCTCCATACAGACAGTATACTTTATAAATGGATCTGCTCTATAATTCTATAGGCATATTTCCTTTTTGGCTTTTAGCATTTGGCCAGTCTTGATTATGTAGTGACTGATGTATTGGTACTGTATTGTATTGTATACAGTAACAAGTAATTATTTCACAAGACATCAAGATGTGAGTAGTAGTGTACAATATGTTTCTGAAATTTGATAAAGGTAAGTACAGTACAGAATAAGGTTCTACATCACCTACTGTACAACTTTATTCTCTCATCATAAATGCCCTTGTTATATGAGGTAATTGTTGAAAAATTCCTTAGTTGAAAAGCACAATGCTCAATATTTATGCTGACGTACAGCAAGAGTGGCTTGATTGGATAATTTTTTAATACAATAAGAAAATAACAGAACCAACTGATTTTACACAGAAACCCAAGAAGTCTAAAATTATTACATGAAATGCAACTGAAAAATTACCTGTAGGGGCTGCTGGAGGACAACCTGTATGAGCACCTTATCACTTGCTGTTACATTCATTGACAGCCTTGATGAGTCAACCTGTAAACAAAATATAAATTATCATGGATGACTTTATGACTACAGTAGTTTAAATACAGTCACTATGTTCTCAAGGCTTCATAAGAATATTTGATACTAAATATAAAATTACCTCTTGTTCTTCTCTCATTTCTACGTACAGTACAGTGTATGATTTAGTATTCCCCATAAAAATGTGAAGAGGAATGAGAAGTTACAAGACCAGTGTGGTGTTTTAGGATTCATAAATGGTCAGTCTAGTGGTACTGTACACATCTATCATACAGGATTTAGGTACCAGTACACTAATGAATATCAGAATACTGTACTGTATAGGGTAATGAGAAATAACAAATTATATTGAACGAATAATGTAGAGAGTATAAACTACAAGAATCAATAAAGTGCAAATAAAAAGTAACTGTATATACACTAAATATTTTCATTCAATTACAGATTTTCTATACCATTTTGGCAAGTGAAATGTTGTTTACAAATACTGTACAATACAGTAATAACTAACAATGTACAGTATGTGATTTTAAATTTTGATTAACAGATGTCCATTATCCAGCTAAACAGTGCAATATTAAAATACATCCAGATGAGGTGCAGCAGTATTGTTTTGAGTGATCAGTGAGCGAGAATGGCTGAGAAGTCGAGCAATAAAAGAAGCATGAGAAGTGTTAAAAGGGCATAACAGGATATTATGACAGCTTAACATGCAGTGGTAATACAGTGGCAAAGCAAGTATCTCTCACGACTATGTCATGGGTTTGAGCCCTGGTCAAGGCATACGTGAAAGAGTGTTATCAGAGTGACACTACCAAACATAACAGGTTTCCTCTGGGTACTCCAGTTTCCACCTGCACTAAGTCTGGACAATAAAATTCTAAACAAAGCAGCAGAAGAATGGGCCAACAGCCTGTACAACTAATAAGCTGGTAAGTGGTAAACTGATGAATGATATAAGTACAAAAGTATAATGATAAAAAGCAGCATAGAAGTACAAACATTTCTGATAAACAGCCACATGAAGTGTGTAGCTATTAAATAAAATCACAAGAAAATACTTAAAAGTTTACCCTTTAATCTATGCATGAATGATAAAAGTACAATGATAAAAAGCAGTATAAAAGTACAAACCTTACTGACAAACAGTAATGTGATGTGAAACAGTTCGTAGCAAATCAGCGGTTACAACTAAAATAAAAGGGGAGAGCCTGGGAAATCAGGGTTTTTAAGTGGGGGAGAAAACAAGACATCTAACCTTACAAAACCTAACCTAACCCCTAGCCAGGGGCTCCCGGTAGGCCTAGCTTAAACTAACCTAAATGTTTCAGTAGTTAAACACTTTGTGGCGCGCTATGTCCGAAAGCACAATACCTTAGTTAGAAGTGGAAGGACCAGGGATACGCAAGAATTGGATAGACTGACTGTTTTTCTAGTAAAACTCGGCAATAAACTTAAAATAATCGTAGGAGCACAAATGACAACCAACCTCCACCACGGCCATTATGAGACTGAGTTAATGAAATTTAAATTGTACCCAGGATGCTTCCTTTGAAAAAAATCAAATGTGATTGGTTGAAAAAAAATTTGCGTTATGATATTGATACATAACTGGTCACGACTGGACGACGTAAGTCGATATTGCGCATGCGTGATACGCCGTTAACATCCCCATACAGATGAAGACTGAAAACTACGTAAAATAAATTAAATTGTATCGCTATTTTCCATTTCCGCCTGGTATATATGGGGTTCAAAATGCTCAGAATAGTGAGATCTAAAAGTTTCAGTAGTTTATAACTTTTGGGTGCACTATGTCCTAAAGTAAAATACCTAAAAATACCCTCATTTCTCCAGTCGATGTCGTTATAGTCAGAAATCACTCGTTTCTGCCCAACCTAACCTAATTAAACCTACCCTAACCTAACCTAATGGATGTTAATACGGAAAAATATCATCTGGACTATTACAGTAATTCTCTTGAAGACTGGCGGTTAATATATAGGACTAACCTGCCAGGGCTGCCTAGAGCCGATGCGGCCGTATCATCTCAAGTCCAGAAAATGCCTCAAATTTCACTATATCATAGTAAGCTCTTTCTGTTTAATATCCTGGGGAAGTTAGGTAAGGTTAGGTTGTTTGGTTTGGTTGGGTAGGTCTGTTCTTCATAGCCACAAATGTTAAATAGCATTTATTTAAAAAATATAATTGTGTTTACATTTTTCCACAAACTACAACAATCTCCACTATAATATAACAATGGAAATCTGGCGGTTTTATAATTGTTTTCGGTATAATACGTCTAATTATAAGATAATTTTCATCTATTACATTACCGTCACAAACGTATAATAACGGCGATAGCATATCCAAAATTTTATCTATTTTCTTCCATTAGTCTAACGCCATTATCACCTCCCACACTGTGTCTCTCCTTCATAAATCATCATGCGCATGCATTCCTGTACAAGTCACACGGCCAATCAAAAGCTTTTTTTTTTTTTTGCAACCAATTAAAATTATTTTTTATTTAATTTGCGGTATTTTCGGCCCAATCAAATTCGATTTTTATTTTGGGTCTCATATTTCGGAATTCAAATTCATTTCCGACCATGGAAGTCTGCGATGGGTGTCACTTAAATTCTTCTGGTATTGTGGTTCATAAATTCTTGAAAGAAGCTGCCCGCCTATACCCCCCAAGCGAGAATCAACGTCAGCAACCTGTAAAAATCTCAGAAACCAACGACAAACAAGAACCAGGCCAATAAGGTAAGAAACAGGTGATTCCATCATATGGTGAGAGTCAGTTAAGTCAGGTTTTTGTTTTTCTGATGTTTTTGGTGCATTTTTTTATTCGCTTAGCCATTATTTTTTTAAGAAAACGTCCCACGAAAAAAAAAACGATAAAAAACCCGGCCAATTTCCGACGGAAAGTGTGGTGCGCTTATGCAAATTTACCTTGTTTTCAATCAATTTCGCTCGCGGGTTAGTCCTACAGTACATAATTACCAAACTGGCAAACAGTATTGTAAGTGTTCTACACCCTCACCGTTTCCACTCGTGCTAACAGTATCACTGGTCGACCATTGTTCCTAGCTAGTGTGCAACCGTTCACCCGCATCCTTAGTTCTTCTGGATCTTGCGCCATGGTGTAATATAGTGTATATTTCTGGCAATCCTCAAATAATGACGTCAAGAGCACAAAGACCACTAGTGTTATCCTCCCTCGCCTCGCCTAGTTTGCCGCGTAAAGTTGTTTATAAATTCGGATTGTCGCGGATATCTTAAAGCCGTTCACGTACGAAATCTAACCTAAAAAACTTCCATTTTGAACTAAAATTGTTCTAATAACAATAATAATGTTTATTCTGCAAAATTTTTATACACTTTTACAATTATATAAGTATATTTAAAAATTGTGTTGTTCAGCCTGAATTTACACAATGTAGGTAAACATTGCACATTGGCCACATGACATTTTTCCAGCTAGTTCCAGGTATGAGGTATTAAAAAACTTTTATTGTATTACCATCGCCTGTGTTTATAAACTTTTATTATATTATTAGAAATGTTATAATTTAGATTTATCTCTGCCTTACCATAAGGAATTGTACATTCTGGTGGACCGATACAGTTTGACCAGTTTGCCGTGTTATTGTTATTTTATCAATATATGCAAGGTGGATATCCTAAATTTAAAGTACATAATTAATTGTGTTAAATATTTAATAACAGAGTTGAATTATGTCTCTTTTTAGAAAATAAAATGTTGGAGTAGAGTAACTAAACCTGAAAGAACATTGCAACACATATTTTGATGATATCCTGTTTATTTAAGATTCTTTTTACCATCCTTTGATCATTAAGTCTTCCAGAGTATTAGTATAGGTATATAATTTTTAAAAAATGATATCAACATGAGTGTAATTGTACGGTGGTAAAGGTACGGGGAATTCAACAGTGTCGGATGTTAAGTGACGCCATCCAGCACAGCCACTGGAGTGACTCTTGAGGCTTCAGTGGTCACAACATGTTAAGAACAGCATATTTATGTCGGATTATTTTCCTTAGTTTCTTGGCTGTTCTAGCTACGGGAGTGCATGGTTTTCAGGTAATATAAACATACTCTAAGAATTTCTTATTGTGTATGCGTTTGGGAAACCCTAATTTTTTGACAGAATTTAAAGTAACCCTCTGCATTAACTTCAATTCTGTAAAATCTGTAGGATTGCTGGAACTACTGTTGGTACACTTCATATATCATACCAACTCCACCTTCGTAGCTGACTGGTTGAAGACTGGGACAGGAAGCCGAAGCTGGTATAATGTAATGCGGTCCGACTAATTACCCAAATGTACCCAAATGTAGCCGCAATGAAGTCAAATAATGGTCCTACATGAATAAATCGGACTGCCAATCACTTCTCGACGAGTATTTGGTGTCACAAAGTCAAAAAAATTGGTAAACTTAATTTAATCTGAGTTAATAGATCAAGTGCATGTACCTAACCTAACCTAGCACAACACAACTCAGATTAAATTAAGTTTACCAATTTTTTTGACTTTATGACACCAAATAATAATCGAGAAGTGATTCACAGCCCGAATTACGCTTGTACGACCATCATTTGACTTCATTGCAGTTGCATTTGGGTAATTCCTCGCTCCCTCGGTACATGCACGCGATCTATTAACTCAGATTAAAGTAAGTTTTCCAATTTTTTGTGACTTTCTCACACCAAATACTAGTCGAGAAGTGATTGGCAGTCCGATTTATTCATCTAGGACCATTATTTGACTTCATTCCGGCTATATTTGGCTACATTTGGGTAATTAGTCGGACCCGGTATAATGGCATTCCTATACATGCCATAAAGTATTCACTGTCTATCCTCGTGTGTCAAAGGTCTGTCTGCTCCTCCAGTCAAAAACATCCTCTTGACCACTGCCCACATGTCAGATTCCAGATAAATATTCGGCCAGTGTAGTTGGTGAATATAAAAAAGTCAGGAAAAGTCACATTGTACTTGTATTTAAAGACCATTAACAAGTAAAGTGGTTAATATATCGGGTAAAGGCGGTCCGACTAATTACCCAAATATACCTAAATGTAGCCGCAATTAAGTCAAATAATGGTCCTAGATGAATAAATCGGACTGCCAACCACTTCTCGACTAGTATTTGGTATCACAAAGTCACAAAAAATTGGAAAACTTAATTTAAACTGAGTTAATAGATCGCGTGCTTGTACCGAGGGAGCGAGTAATTACCCAAATCAACTCAAATTTACCCAAATGTTGCAATGAAGTCAAATCATGGTCCTACATGAATAAATCGGGCTGTGAATCACTTCTCGATTATTATTTGGTGTCATGAAGTCACAAAAAATTGGTAAACTTAATTTAATCTGAGTTGTGTTAGGTGAGGTACATGCACCCGATCTATTAACTCAGATTAAATTAAGTTTACCAATTTTTTTTGACTTTGTGATACCAAATACTAGTCGAGAAGTGATTGGCAGTCCGATTTATTCATGTAGGACCATTATTTGACTTCATTGCGGCTACATTTGGGTAATTAGTCGGACCCGGTAAAGGTGTAGAAAGTGACCACCAGAAGTTGTTTGTTGATTTTCTTGATTTTTGCTACACTTATTGTTTTGATGATTTTAAGGGTATTATTTTACTTTAGGACATAGTGCACCCGAAAGTTATAAACTTCTGAAACTATTAGATCTCGCTATTCTGAGCATTTTGAACCCCATATATACCAGGCGGAAATGGATAATAGTGACACAATTGAATTTAATTGATTTACGTAGATTTGTCTTCATCTGAGATGTTATCGGCGCATCACGCATGCGCTATATTAACTGATGTCATCCAGCCACAACCAATGATTTATCGATATAACACAAATTTTTTTCGACCAATCACATTTGATTTTTTTCAAAGGAAGCATCCTAGGTACAATTTAAATTTCATTGACTCAGTCTCACAATGGCTGTGGTGGAGGTTGGTTGTCATTTGTGCTCCTATAGTTATTTTAAGTTTATTGCCAAGTTTTACGAGAAAGATGAATACTGTATTCTATCCAATTCTTACGTATCCCTGGTTCTTCCATTTCTAACTAAGGCGGACATGGTTCGCCCCAGAGTTTAAAACTACCGAAACATTTAGGTTAGTTTAAGCTAGGCCTACCGGGGTCTGGGGGCAGAGCTCCCAGCTTGAGGTTATGTTAGATGACTCGTTTTCTTTTTCTCTCCCACCCAAAAACCCCGATTTCTCAGTCTCTCCCCCGTCATTTTTTTTTTGGGGGCAAAAACGAGCAATTTACACCTAAAATGAAGGTCAGATTCATTAATAACACCCCAAAATACACTAGAAAAACATAATGGTCAACCCCAAGGGACTCGTGTCCTAAAGTAAAAATTTACCGTTCCTGTACATTACCGTTCCTGTACATAGACTTTATTTTCTTACAATATTTTCATTAGCAAGTTCTGATATGATAATCATTTATTGTGGAACCCGCCAACACAGTAAATCATTCCGCCGCCCGGGGTGCATAGTGTCGATGCGGTTGTATCATCTCGCATCCAGAAAATGCCTAAAATTTCACCATGTTATAGTAAGTTCTTTCTGTTTAATATACCAGGGGGTATGGTCCCCTGTTAAGGAAGTTAAGTAAGGTTAGGTTAGTTAGGTCTGTTTTTCGTACCCACAAATATTAAATAACGTTTATTTTTAAAATATCCAGTTTTAACAAAGTATTTCCACAAACTACAACAGTGTCCACTACAATATAACAGTGACAATCTGGTGTTTTCATATTTTTTTCAACATATTTCGCTCACTGGTTAGTCCCATACAATTACCCCACTAAACGAATCTCGTGAATATTATACTGTAGTTGCAATCGGTAATTTCAACGATTCTGAGGCACTTTTCTTCAATGACATTTCTGGCTCAAATTATGTTCAGGCAAGATATTTAACATTTTATTATGTACATTCGGGGTTAGGTTGTCATCTTGTACCCAAGATAAATCGTACTCAAAACTAGTTAACTCGCACCCACGCCAACTTGTACCGAAGATAACTTGTACCCAACTCATGTTTTGATTTTTTTGAGATGGAAGCTCAGGCTTTATGTAGTACTGTACTGCAGAATAAAAAGTAACCGCAATTAGACAACGAAAGCAGCATGTTGATAATGACACTTCTCCAGAGGCAGGTGAGAATGGTTGCAGCTAAAAAAAGTTCACAATCGGTACAGGGTAGTGATAGAATGCTGCTAAAAGGATAATGATGACATCAGAAATGAGGCCCACAAATTTGCAGAAATGTATCCCATGATTAACAACTGTAAGTAAGAACATGACGTATTATTGTTTTGTGAATTCTCAGCTTTGTTGTTCTTGATACGGACCTTCGTTTAGTATGTCCAGAAGACTGTAAAGGTAGTATCATCTATTACTAGTAGGCTCCAATCCTGGCAATAATTTACATTGGTTTTACCTAATATTTTCTTCAATCTTTTATTCTTATGTCAAGTGATGCAAGGGACTTAAAGGACTCTATTTTTTTCAATATTCATTCTACTTATACCGATACATTGTGGGTTTTGCCTTGGGTTTCTTTCCGTGATCATTGTTTTAGTCTTATCCACATTTATCTCAAGTTCTGTTGAATTTTCTATTTCATTAAAGGTTGTTGCCAGCATATCTACTTCTTGGATGTTGTTGCTTACTACAGTATATCCAGTTCATGAGTGTATATGGGCATTCTAATTTTGATCTTAAATAATTAATTTCCTTCCTGCATATGGTTGATCTCTCTCTCTCTCTCTCTTTTGTATGTACAGTTTATATATGGGTACGAACTGTCTCGTAAATTGGGTACAGTACAAGTTATCTTGTAATTGGGTATGACTTGACAGTTTCTGATGGGTACGATTTGCTTGAGCACGAGTTGTCCAGCATTGGTGAGGTCGTGTAACCAGTGGGGTTCCCCAGGGGTCAGTACTAGGCCCACTCTTGTTCATAATCTACATAAACGATCTAGATACTGGGATCAGCAGTGACATATGCAAGTTTGCGGATGACACCAAAATAGAGCGGCAGATTAATTCAGGGCAGGATGCAAATGCATTACAGGAGAATCTAAATAAACTGCAGGGGTGGTCTGAAAAATGGCAAATGAAATTCAACACCAGCAAGTGCAGCATACTTAATATTGGAAGAACAAATACTACCAATGTATACAGCCTTAACATCATCAGCCTAGAGAAGTCAACTTGTGAAAGAGACCTACGGGTACTTGTATCCTGGACCTACGGCCTAGAAAACAGTGCGTTAATGTTCGAAATAAGGCAAACAGAATTTGGGTTTTATATCTTGAAGTGTAAGTAATACGAGTGCAGAGGTCTTATTGCAACTATATATCTTGCCCTAGTCAGGCCGCACCTCGATTATGCGGTTCAGTTCTGGTGCCCTTATTATAGAATGGATATCAATTCACTAGAGTCGGTGCAGCGAAGAATGACGAAAATGATTCCGGGACTTAGAAACCTTCCATATCAGGATAGGTTAAAGAAACTAAACTTGCATTCCCTAGAAAGACGAAGAGTGCGGGGAGATATTATAGAAGTATTCAAGTGGGTGAAAGGAATCAATTAAGGTGATATAGATAAAGTTCTTATAATATCCGAGCAGGATAGGACTTGGAACAACGGATTTAAGTTGGATAAGTTTAGGTTTAGGAGGGAGATAGGAAGGAACTGGTTTACAAATAGGGTGGTGGACGAGTGGAACAAGCTTAGCAACTTTTTAGTAAGTGCTGGAACGCTGGAAAGTTTCAAAAGGAGGCTGGATATATTCATGGATGATAGAGAGTGGTAGTAACTCTCGACAGGAGCTGCCATGCACAGGCCAACCGGCCTATTGCAGACTCCTTATTTTCTTATGTTCTTATGTACTGGTATGTTTGTAGGTGGCATTACACACCCAGGATATTGAATGACTGTGGAGCCCCCAGTTAAGTTGGGTTTAGTTGGTTATGTTAGGTTTGGTTGGTTGGGATTGGATAGGTTATGTTTGGTTTAGTTTATGTAAGGTTAGATTCAAAACTGGTTTTTTTGATGGTTTTTGATGTGTTTTGAACACTTTTTACCTTAATATTTTAGAAAATCTCTAGAATCTGAGATGGGAGGGGAGCTTATCACAGAAACTTTTGATTTGTGCCAGAAATGAACGTCAAATTTGCCCATAACACATCGGAAACTACCAGAAAAATATAGTTTCAACTTCGATTTCTTATAGTGGCAGCAAGTGAAAATTTACCTTAGGTTGAGTTAGGTATTATGGGGGTATTATTTTAGTTTCTGTCATCCGGGGAATTGGTTAGGTTAGGTTAGTTTGGATATCTAATGACTGGGATGACCAAACCTAAATAAACTGACTTTTTCTTACATTCATCTGGTTGCTCCCCACCCTTTCCATACATGCAAACACATTCAGCAAATATTATTATTTTACATCATATTGTGATTTATGGTAGAAAAGATGAACCACCAAATCCTACCCATCCATCACTATTATTTTAGGTTAGGTTTCATTAGGTTTGGTTTGATACATTCATATGGATATTAAGGAGTGTCGGTCATTTGCTAAAAGGGAAGGTTTGTTATTTCGTGTTTGGGATCAGTTGCTGCAAAATGTTCTTCAACAGTAACATGCAAACAGGGCGTTATCTTGGAGCAGGCGATGGGAGGCAACATTTTTTTATTTATTTATTTTTTTTTTTAAACCTGAAACCAATTTGCTTTAGTCTTGAGGTAAGAAATAGGTTTTCTTTACAAAGATTTTTAGTTGTCTAGCTGGTTAACCTGGACCCTTGTTCTTATTTTTAACTATTACCAAGTACAGCTCCTCTCCGACTTACGACGGGGTTAGGAACCCAAATCCAGGCCGTAAGTCGAAAAGGCTTAAACAATACATAGAAAATCTAAAATGGATGTCTCTTTTTCTTCTCAGCAACACAAAACTCTCACTTTTAAGCTTACCAGCCATTTTAAAGTGAATTACAAACGAAAATTTTGTCAGTACACAGCACAATCATTGACGTTGGGACTCGAAAATACGTAATTTGACCAAATTTTGGTACGACTGAGGCAGGTCGTAAGTGCGGGTGGTTAGTATGTCGGGGAGGAACTCTATTCTCAAGGTAAGGAAGAACATTATGGATCACCTGAAGATTAATCTCTTGCTCTCTCTCTTTCTTCTTTGGTAAAAGCATGTACTTGTATGCCATTTTCATATTAGGTTTTGATTCATTTAGAGAGAGTGAAAATTTTAGATCTAAGAGCTTTCCAGTTAGTTAGATACTTGGTACTTAAGTTTTTCCCTGTAAATGACATTTCCGGTACTGTTTTTGTTTCAGGAGGATGAATTTCTGGATGGTCAGCTGACCCTGGTGGTGGAGGATGCGCTTGATGGGGGACCAAATCCTGCCTTTTCTCCACGTTCCACAATACACGTGCGCTCGGTTAAATCGGGCAATGCTCTGGTCACTCACAATCGCCAGTGGACCACAGAACTAGAAAACAAGTTGCGGGTATGTGTTATGGATGACCTGCTTGTTTTTCTAATTTGGTCTGTACCTTTGTACAGTAGTATTTTTCTCTCCAGAATTCCATGAATATATCTCTGTCAGTCATCTCACAGTTTATATATTGTGTACTGTAAAGTAAGCCCTTATTATGGAACTATTTTATAGCATGTCAGCTTTTAATTTTGACCAAAGTTTCACAGAAGAACAAGGGGTGCCTGCTCACAATGATCTAAGGACATATTTGTATATACTGTACTGCATTGTTAAATGATTTATCCTGTACTGTACCGGGCTTCACAGTCCCTTCCCCTTTAGGGATCCATTTAAACAGATGACTTTTACCCAAACATAGGCTAATATGAACATCATGTGAAAGGAGTATCAACATCAGCTTCATTACAGTAGGATCGGGATGTATAGCGACTTTATATAACGAGTTTTTTATGTCACGGCTACCAAAATAATAGAAATTTTCCTATACAGTACCTGCATATAGCGATAATTTTTTTTATTTCGCGAGGGAAACTGGCAGGAAATGTTTCAAATTTATCACGACTACCAAAATTTTCCAACATATATAGCGATAAATTTGTTTACAGTAGACTCAACTTACGTGGGGTTTTGTTCCTGGAAACTCACAAAGCCAAAAACCGTATACCGGTTAAGTAAGAAACCCTCCTAAAAATAAGAGGTGAATTTTTTTCTCTTGTGCAGAATATATGATGTCTATATTCAAATTATTTGCTATCTTGCAAGGATTCCAGCAATGCAATTTATATTCTGCTAACTTTCATCTGAGATATTTTATAAGATAAAAACTTTAAGCCTAAAACCACTTTCAATCTTGCCGGTGAGGTATTATGACAGCTGGCCCCTGCCCCTGGCCAAGGTTACCTAATGGTATTTATTTATCTGTCATGTGGGGGAGGGGTTGAGTTTTCTCTTATAAAATGTAAATTAATTGACTTAAGAGAATATAATTAACATTCCTGGAATTCCTATAAGATAGTGATTAATTTGAATATAAACATGCTATAGTTTGCAATAGACAAAACAATTTTAGTAATAATTAGTACATTTTAGTACAAAGGACTAAAATTTTTATCTCGTGTGCAAAATATATGATGTTTATATTCAAATTACTCGCTGTCTTGCAAGGATAACAGCAATGCAATTTATATTCTGCTAATTTTAGACTGTACCATTTTATGTCAAGTTTAGTCACTTTTATTAGCCTCCAGAACCTAACCCTATTTTCCCCATTGATTACAGTAATTATATATCGTGATTTCGTATATAGCGAACATCCTTGGACCCTATCTCGCGATATATCCTGACCCTGCTGTACTCTTTAGACTTTTTAATAGGGATTAGCCCACCTGGGCACTGGTCACTGACCCATATCAGGGCCTTGGGGGCCGCGAATAACATTTGCTGACTGGGGGTACATTTTTACTTGTGTACAAAGAAATGTATATTCCCTTTATGTGTTTGCCCTTTGGACAATTATTTCTTTTACCTGTATTGTATATATGTGTATGTGTGTAGACACACACACACACACACACACACACACACACACATACATACATAATTAATATGCACAGGTAAAGGAAATTACTGTCTCTAAAACGAATAGCTTCCTGTCCCAACCGCAAAAATGCCAGCAACTTTAAAACTAACCTTAGACATTCTTGGGTACTTACTACAGTACAGTACTACTTTGCTGTCACTTGGAATCGAGTATGACGATCATCCAGCTATGATACAATGATATGAGTTATTAGGGATGTCACCTAGGTTGGTGAGTTTTGAGGTGACTAAAGAGGCCGATACAGGACCGGCAGAGTCAATCACAGAAGTTGCATATGTGGGGGGCTACATCTAGTGTTGGAGGGACGGCGGCAGCATCTTTCCAGCGTTGCCGCTTGTCTGCCTCATTATGCAGTCGGGTTAACTCCGAAAGTATTGACACCTTCTTGTGTGGTGCTCCTCCAAGCGTTTCGGTGTGGAGTAATCATCTCAGGTGGGGGAGTCGATTTGGCACTTTTTCAGGCTTGTCTTAAGACTATTCTTATATCTCTTCAGTTTCCCGCCAGCATTACTTTTACTATTCGTTAGGTGACTGTAAAGTAGCTGCTCTGGCAGTCTACTGTCGTCCATGTGGGTAACATGGCCAGTCCAGCGTGGTTGTTCATGGATAATGGCAGCCTCGAATCTCCTACAGTTGGTGTCAGCAAGAATACTGGCATTTGTTCTCGTCTTCCCAGCGAACACAGAGGATGGAATGTAGACTACGTTGGTGAAAGTTTTCAAGTGCCTTGATGAGCCTCCTGTATGTAACCCATGTCTCACTGCCATATAGCAGGGTGGGGAGGACCACTGCTCGATATACATGTAACTTGGGAGATAATTTCAGCTCCCTACAGCTGAAGACACGGTTTCGGAGTCTGCCAAAGGCTTGGGATGCACATCTGATCCGATGCTGAATCTCTTCATCATTGTCTGCAGTGGTGGACAGGTGGGAGCCGAGATACCGAAAGTGAGTAACATTAGTGAGGGTAGTACCATTAAGCTGGGTGGATGGTGGAGGTGTGGCTGAACCAGGGGCAGGCTGAAAGAGAATCTTGAGTCTTATGTACATTCCCCTCAAGGCCGAAGTGTGCATACGCATCTGGTTAGGTGTTCAGGATCTCCTGTAGGTCGAGTTCAGTGTGAGCGACAATGGTGAGGTCGTCTGCATACTGAAGTTCAGTAATGGAAGCTGTCGACACCTTTGTTCTTGCCTGGAGAAGTCTTATGTTGAAAAGACCCTTCATCCGGTACTGGATGTCCATCCCGCCGGCTAAGTTTGTGCTGGCATGAGTGAGGAAGGCAGCCAAGAAAATGGAAAAGAGAGTTGGTGCCAGTACACCCTTGTTTAGTCTCTGTATGGGTGGATCCAGGGTGTCATCCGTGAATAATTGATGTCCGCATATTAAAAATTCGTAAATTTGAAGCGTATACTGTACTCTATTAATAATAATAATAAAAATATATAAATTATAATAAAAATAATATTAATAATAACAATAAATAAATACAAAAATGAAAACAAATAAATCGAGTGAGAAACGATATACAGTGTGTATGTTGTTTTGTCAGTAATAAGAAAAACAATTGAGACCCTGCAGCTGCGTGTAACTAAGGCAGAAAGTCAGATCAGTAACCTGGGACTGGTCAAAATTTTTTTGATGCCATATGGCAGCAGGGTCTACCATTAAACACGACACATTATGCTTCCAATATCTTCCCAGGTGGTAGTACCTCCCTGTTTGATAGCTGCTTATTACCTACTGTTGGTGACAGTCAAACAAGGATACTGACACATGTCAACATCAGCTAGTGACATTGTAGCAGGAATAATTTTAATTATAGATATTTTAATATAGATTACATTATATGTATGCATTTTCAGAAACTTGCAGAAAATGATGACTTGTATCGTATCCGAGTCCATCACAAAGGGTTAGAAGACAAGGGATATGTGTCAACTTTTACAAAAGCTGTGAGTATTTTTGAAGTACAATATTGTAACATGCAGTAATCTCTATTTCACTGATATTTGTCCCATCTTTGCCTCCTTTCACAAGGTCCTCTCTATCCATGAATTCCTCAGTGCACATGTTGCTCTCTCAATCTCTGCTACTCTGGTTAAATTCATTAATTTGATCCATTTGCTGACAAATCCACTCCCAGATATCTCAAACTATCAACTTCCTTCATTCTTCCACCATTTCCATTCAAACTGCCAACACAACCTGACTCACCATGTAGTTAAATAGTATATCATTACTCTCCCTATTCCATCCATGAAAATATGAACCGTTGACATAACATATGCTTGATTAAGTCCTTCTTTCAATGGGAACCAGTTTCCCCTTCCTGTCAAACTCTACCCCCATGCTATAGTCTTCCTGTAAAAACTCTGGAGAGCATTCAGCAATTTCCCATTTACCCCATACATCTCAATAGTTTCCAATTTGATTTCCACCTTCTCTGTCAAGTATTTTTCTAAGTCTATTAATGTCAGGAACAAATGTTTCCTTTTCTCAAGAAAATTTTCATGAGCAAGTATTTAATCCACACACCCTCTTCCTTTTCTTAAATGGTTTTAATGCATTAATTTTTCAGTGTCAGATATATGAGAGTGGACTCTCAGAGACTGTGAGCATGATGGTAGACAGTGCTGGGACATCAGTAGTGGGTGTAGGTCTGATCCCTCCTGTGGCAGTGTGCCGAGGAGAACCACCAGAGGTTCCACCTGTACAGCACAACACGACAGTTATCATCAGATCTCCTACTCCAGCTCCTGTGTTAGTAATGCACTTGTACAGAGAGTATTTTTTTTTTAACTGACTTTTGTGAACATTTCAAAAGTATTTGAATATAGGTTTGATTGGATTTTTCAGCGTACAGTATATCTTTCATTTTAAATCTTAAGAACATAAGAAAAAAAGGAGTATGCAATAGGCCGGTTGGCCTGTGCATGGCAGCTCCTGTCTGGAGTTACAACCACTCTCTATCATCCATGAATTTGTCTAGCCTCCTTTTAAAACTTCCCAGCATTCCAGCACTTACTACAAAGTTGCTAAGCTTGTTCCACTCATCTACCACCCTATTTATAAACCAGTTCCTTCCTATCTCCCTCCTAACCTAAACTTATCCAACTTAAGTCCGTTGCTATGAGTCCTATCCTGATTGGATATTCTAAGAACTTTATCTATATCTCCTTTATTGATTGATTGATTCCTTTCACCCACTTAAATACTTCTATCATATCTCCCTGCACTCTTCGTTTTTCTAGGGAATGCAAGTTTAGTTTCTTTAATCTATTTATTATAGGGAAGGTTTCAATGTTCCGGAATCATTTTCGTTATTCTTCGCTGCACCGACTCCAGTGAATTGATATCCATTCTATAATAAGGGCACCAGAATTGAACAGCATAATCGAGGTGCGGCCTGACTAGCGTAAGATATACAGTATAGTTGCAATATGACTTTACACTTCTAGATATATAACCTTAAGTATAGTCTGGATTTACGTGGATTTCCTTTACGAGTTTGGTCATTTACGCGGCACCTGGCCAGACCGGCAATTATTAGTTACGCGGTACATTCCATCATTTACGCGGGAAGCGGTGCGGGCAGGGTGCGCACTAGGTCGCCCAGTCAACAAAACATTACAGAGTTGTTCACCCACCACCCACCACAGCCAGCCCAAGTCAGTGATAGTGAGGATATGGACTTTGAGTGGTTTGACAAAGAGGCCCTGCAAGCCTCTGTGGTGGATAGTGATACAGGTGAGGGCCAATAATCTGCCCTCTGCCTCGGAACCAACCCCCCATCCCCGTGTGCCCAGCCATCTCTTCTACTAACGTAAGTGTTTAAAAACCTAATATTATTGATATTTCTCTTAAATATTAATTGTTTGTGCATACATCATAAAATTAAGATGTTATTTTTACTACAACGTACGTATTGTGTCGGAAAAAGGGTAGTCTGGGGTCGGCCCAGTCTCTATTTTAATTACAGTAATCCCATATGTTCTCTTATTTCGTTTACGCGTTTCTTGTTTTATGCGGACCTCCACGGGTTCAATTGACCTCGTATATCCAGACTATACTTTGTACTCTGTTTGCCTTATTTCGAACATTAACGCACTTTCTAGGCTGTAGGTCCGGGTTTACAAATACCCCTTAGTCTCTTTCACAAGTTGACTTCTCTAGGTTGATGTTGTTAAGGCAGTATACATTGACAGTATTTGTTCTTCCAATATTAAGTATGCTGCACTTGCTGGTGTTGAATTTCATTTGCCATTTTTCTGACCACTCCTGCAGTTTATTTAAATCCTTCTGTAGTGCATTTGCATCCTGCCCTGAATTAATCTGCTGCCCTATTTTGGTGTCATCCGCAAACTTGTTTATGTCACTGTTGATCTCAGTATCTAGATCGTTTATGTAGATTATGAACAAGAGTGGGCCCAGTACTGACCCCTGGGGAACCCCACTGGTTACACAGCCCCTCTCAGATTTAGCACCATCTACGCTGACCCTCTATGTTCTATCGGTGAGCCATGATTTTATCCAATTGAAAACTTTACCCTCAATACCATGAGCCTTAACTTTTCTCAGAAGCCTCTGATGCGGTACTCTGTCAGACGCTTTGCTAAATTCTAAGTAAATAACATTGTAATTTTCGTCATTATATACTACCTTGAAGACTTCCTTAAAAAAGTCAGCAGATTTGTTAGGCAAGATTTTTCCTTTGTAAACCCATGTTGAGAGTCGTAGATTAATTTGTTTTTTCTAAATGCGATTGGATGCTATTTGCTATAATTGATTCAAGAAGTTTCCCCACTACTGACATCAAACTAATCGGCCGGTAATTTGACACTGATGCTGTCTCCCTTTTTGAATATCAGTACTAAATTTGCCTGTTTCCACAAGTCTGGCACAACTCCCATGTTTAATGATTGTGTAAATAAATTTACAAGGGGTCTTACCACTTTCAAAACTCGGGGGAAAATTTCATCCGGCCCTGGGGATTTTGTCTTCTTTAATTTGTTTATTTTCTTAAGAACATCCTCTTTTCTGAGTGTTATTCTTTAATTTCTCTTCTTCATTCCCATAAATATCAGTTCCACCTCTGGCATTTCCTTGTGAATTTCTTCTGTGGAAACTGATAAGAAGTAGCTGTTTAATGCTTTGTTTATTTTCTCACTATCATAGAGCACGTCCCCTCTCTGACTTTAAATGTCCCACTTTGTCCTTGACCTTTGTCCTATATACCTGTAACAATCCCTTGGGATTCGCCTTGGATTCTCTTGTTATCCTGATTTCGTAGTCCCTCATTGCCTTCCTTACATTTTTCTTAATATTCCTAGATAGTTCATTATATCTATTTCTGAGATGCTCTCCCCTCCCTTTAATTTCTTATAAATTCCTTTTTTATTCCTATGTCATGTTTAAGTTTTTTGGTCATCCACCTTGGCTCATTCTTATTTGACCTAATTTTTCTGTATGGTATATTTTGTTCTTGTGCTTTACGTAGTATACTAGTGAATATATTATAGTCATGATCAATTGTTGTGTCATCTATGACCTCACCCCTTCCTACTGGGGACTGACGTGACTGTTCCCAGGTGACCTCACCTAGGTACCTTCTTAACCCCTGATAATCCGCCAACCGAAAGTTTGGGACTCTGACCATATTGTCATTGATTTTCGTTTCCCAATTTAGGGTGAACCTGATTTCTCTGTGATCACTGTTCCCTATTTCTTCCCCTACTGTGATATCTCTGATAATATTTTCCTTATTTGTTAATACTAGGTCTAATATATAAGTCATCTGTAGTAGGTTCTGTAATTAGTTGTTTTAAAAATTGTCCTGTACTGCATCTAGGAAGTCTTCAGATTCATAGTCACCTACAATGTTGTCCCAGTCAATATTTCTGAAGTTGAATTCCCCCATAATGCACAGGTTGTTGTAATTTGCTGCCCTACTATTTCCTGCCATATGGGCTGAGCTGCTTCTTTCCCAAGACTTGTGGGCCTGTAAATCACTCCCATAATTAGTTTTCTCTTCCTTCTGCAATTTCTACCCATACTGACTCGGTTCCTATTTCACCCTTTATTGAATTATTAATACAACATTTTACTGTATCCCTAACGAAGAGTGTTACCCCTCCCCCCTTTCTTGTCCTTGTGAAAAAGGTTGTACCCTTTTATGTGGTACTCCGATAAAAAGTTCTTGCTCACCAGATTCATCCAAGTTTCGGTGATTGCTATGACGTCTACATTCTCGGTACATACAACCGCTCTCAGCAAGTCTATTTTATTTCTAATGCTCCTACTGTTTGTATAGTATACATTTAAACCTACCCTTCCTTGGTCCTGTTTTACCCCTTGTCCTGAGTAACCAGTTTTACTCCCCAGGATATGCTTGTTTTAGTAACCACTTTTACTCCCCAGGACATGCTTGTTTTGCATGCGAGTCATTGCACAATACCTCAAGTCTGTTTATTTATCTGCTCCAATTCAACTTTATTAAGTCAATTATTTAGCATATCCTCTACATCTCCTTCAGTCTTGCCCTCTATTTTATTGACCTCTCCCTTTTATGATGTTTAACCTTCACTCGACCAAATGTTATACATAAAACTCTTCTCTTACAGACCGGACACTGCTACTTACATTGAAAAGTTGGAGGCAATGAAGAATGAAAAGGCAGAAGGAAAGGACAACCGATCCTTCCTATCTAAATATGTAAGTGTAAATTAATGTTTACCCACTGCCACTCCCACAGAGAGAGCCAGCGCAAATGACAGGCCTCCATATATGTGTGTGACTGTTTTTGCTCATTCTACCGGTACTTCATAACCATGATGATTCAAACAATGTAAAATATAATTAAAACAAAGACTAGTGAATGTAGATGCATCACAACAAAATCTCTAAAGAGGTTTAACAGTATAGTAAATGCTGTACCTTCATTATTGTACAGAATTACATACTGTATTGTGGAATTTGCTGCCTGAAGGTGGGGATATTCAGCAAATGCTTTGTTCACTTTTATGATAATCAGTGCAAGAAAAATAAAGAAAAACTTTGTTCTTGCGTATGGTTTTACAACTGGGGTAATATTAGGAGAGGCATAAAAAGCAATAGATTATTTGATTCCAAAAATTTGTAAATAACTGTAGTGGATTAGTTATTAAGATTTTTTAAGCATTATACCTGCAGGACTTTACCTAAGTAATTTTTAAGACGTATTTAGCTGACCTTGAGAATTTATAAAGAGTAGATTAATTAACCTTTAAAATACAAACCATAGCTAATTACAGTATTGGATTAGTTGATCTCAAGAACTTTTTAGTAGACTAGTTTGACCTCATGAAGTTTTAAGCATAGTAATACTGTACTGTAGAAGATTAATTCATCTATAGAATTTATAAATATTGAAGTAGATTAGTTGGCCTTTAATTATAAGCAGTAGACTAGTCAAAAACATGGAATTGTAAGTACTGTACTGTAGTTAATTAAATGATATATTTTGTAGGCTACTTGACCATGTCACACATAAGAGCTTGACTACAAAATTTATGTTGTCTTTCTTTAGTCTTTCTCTTTTTCTGTGATTTCTCTTCTCTCATATTTCCACTCAAAGAACTTCTCCAGAGAAAATTAACTTTTCTTTAGGATACACCAATCGGTTTCAGGCTGTATGTTAATAACTTATTTTCATGACTAATTTTGTTAACAGATGGAATATTTAGAGATTCGATTCCAATTTTCCACCTAAATAGTGTTGACAGGTTAGATAGGACCCAATTTATGTAGTGGTATATTGTATACCCATAAATAATTATGTTGAATACAGTTGGTGATCAGAGTTTCTCTTTTCAGTGGATGTACATTGTGCCAGTAGTGCTGATCATGGTCTTGTTCGGGGGTGGACAAGAAGGTGGACGCTGATTGAGAGAAATTCGGTTAAGACATTTATATGTTATTACTTTAAGTCTGAAATTAACGTGGATGACTCCATGTGGTGTAGGCATGTGCAGTGTTTACTATCTCAAAGAAGAACTGTAAAAATAGTTACTTTAGTCATTTTTCCATGTTGTAATTATAGAATACATTACAGTAATCCGTTTTTACTACAGTATTTGTATATACAGGTATATGTGTTGTAAAAACCAGATCTGCTTCAGTTACTTTGTAATAAATTAAAATAATATGTTGTCTTTCTGAGGAGCAAACAAAAACTATTGTACCTCTAGTAATGAGGGGAACTTTTTTAATGTGAATACAGTACATTGTTTTTCTCATGCTCAGTGTTTTACTCTTCTTGAGACATAATGGTCACATTCACCAGAGGCTCAGGTCAGGTTTGTTTTCTCCTCTTTGAAAATATAAATTAAAAGTAAGGTTTTGTGTGAGGACAAAGTAAAATGCTGGGTATTTATGGATTTAGTACAAGCTTTTCATTTGTGATTCCTGTAGTTTTTCTAAAAGTATGTTTCAAAGTCCTAGAGAAAGGTAGTAATTGGTGAAAAGAGAAAGGGAACGCCAAGGCTGGGAGGAATCTTACAATAGGAATGAGGGGATGGGTATCCTGGAAACAGTAGAGTACTGTATGTGAATAATATGAGAGCTTGGCAATCGGAGGTTTATGGTGTTATGATAGTAAGATGAATGTAGACAAAAAATTCCCAACCGTATATTATTGTAGAAAAAAACCAAGGTCTTGGAGTTTTTGGTCAACAACATAATTAATAGATCAGTGTTGTATACAGTCTAGCAGTGACAGGATTAACCCTCTCTGGGCTTAAACATGCCTTATGGAGTTTTACCCCTCCTCTAAGAGCATTGTGACCAGGTGCCTCAAGTCTAGTAAGGTTAAAAATATAGATACAAATATTACTCATTGTCCATTGTAGGTTTTTTTTTTTAAGAAAAGACTGTCATTAATAAGATTTTAATACTGTATGTATTTTACATAAATCATGTACTATTGAGCATCTTGTGCTTGTTTCATTCAAGATTGGAATAAGACCAAAACATTATTTTATACAATAACTGCCTAACTCAGTGTCATGTTTGAATTTAAACCCATGATTTAGGCCATTACAAACTACTGTACTATCATTGTCCACTAAACTAGACCCTCACTTATGAACCTCCATTTAGTAAGATCCCTGTAGACTTTTCATAAAGTTATGATGAGTATTAGAGTATTCTATATTGTAATTTATTTTTCCTATGTACAGTTATCTCCACATGAATATACCACATCTTGGGAATGTGTTAGGGCTCAGGTACGAGATGTGGCAATGCAGTGCCATAGTCAGCTGAATGAATGGATGTGGAACAGTGAAATTACCTGTTTTGTGTAGCCACACGGATGCATTCCCACATCTCGTATCTGTTCCTTCACACTCTCCCAGGCTGTGATACGTTCATGTGGAGGTAACTGTATATTTACTAACACCAACATTTCATTGCCAGCTCACCATTAATATAATATGAACTCTTGAGATAACCAATTTATATTTATTGTTGTATGACTTGCATCTTGTCATAGGTTACTGTATAGTGGTGTGTATAAAGAAGAGATTCCTTACATATTGGTTTTATTGCCCAGCTAAAGACCATTATCAAAGCTTATAACAAGATTATTTTGACACTAAACTGTATTTAATGTGCCCTACACTTAAGAAAAATAATTAACATGAAGTATACACATGAAAGTTGAGTCTGTGTTTGCTTTTCATCCCAGCCACCCTTCAGTATACAGGTAATGACTTAAGTTTGCTGGTGAAAAATGTATTGTAGTTTGTACATGAAGTACTGTAGTAGCTTAAATGTGAAGAAGTCTGGATTGGAGTAAAGTGTGTGTGTTATGTGGCCTGTCCTCCTGTATAATTAATAATTTATAGGTTTATTGGTAAGGAGGGATGATGGCTCAGGTTATTGTTCTGTATACAGTGGAGACAGAAAGTGGTACAGTGTGTGGGAGCGTTGGGGTAAATAATTATGGGGTTAGGTAGGTCAAGGTACAGAGGTAAAGGGTTAGGTAGGTCAGGATACAGAGGTGAGGGGTTAGGTAGGTCAGGGTACAGAGATGAAGGGTTGGGTAGGTAGATCAGGGTACAATTATGACGGATTAGTACATGAGGGATATTAAAGATTCAGACCAAAATACAAGAAGGAAAACATTTTAGTGGATGCCAAAAGCAATGTAATATTCTAACAATACAGGTTTCAAATACTGTACAGTCCTCTGAGGTGGTCATGACGATCCTCTGTAGTCTAAGACTCCCACCCAGGGTTTTATTAATGAATTTTTAGAACTGCATATATAATCATAATACAAAATTGTTTTGTCCTCTCTCTTCAATGCTATTCATTTGTAAATTCTACTCACATACTGTACATAAATGAAGAATTCTATTATTTGAATCATGAGTTCAATATTGAGTTAGAGAGCTAATGTAATTATGACTTTACAGTATTTCATTCTCTTCGCCACTGATCACAACCGCTTGGTCACGTCTCTGCTACCTATTGTTGGCATGTACAGTACTGACTCTAGACTGCATCTGTACTACCAACACCAGAATTGGTCAAGTTGGGTCTTGAATGAGCTCACACTCGGTGTTGTTACATCACTATCTTGCATATTGTGCCAAGAGTTCACATCTCCCACTCCAATAAAGTTTGCCCTAACAATATTTTAAACTTGTGGCTTCTTCAACCTTAAGTTGTGAACCCTAGTGGGTTGGATATTCACCAACTTCAGTTATGAACACTCGATTGAATAATGACCTGGCTCTGAGGCGTTCCAATATCTTAGGTAGCTCGGGGACCATAGTGCAGTCACCAGTTTGATGCTCCCCACCCCCCCCCCTCCCCCCTACTTTTGGACATTTTCAATCAACTGTCTCCTGCATATCTTGGGGACTCCTGGAACAATCTGCCAAAGAACGTTGTGACGGCATTGAATGTGAGCTCATTCAAGAATTGACTATCACTGGCACAGGTACAGATACGTTCTGGAACCAGTTCAGTACATGCCCAGTACTTACTTATTTGCCAACAGTGCATAATAGAGTCAGTGGCGAAGAGGATAAAGTTATATTCTGTATTCGGTATATTTTAGTTTTGGTCATCCCAGTACAGTACAGTATTTAGATATAACCTAACCTAGCGACAGAACCCAGGAACTATAACCTAACCACCTAAGATTCCCTGAATGATTGAAACTAAAATAATAGGGGTACCATATGCTGAATTCTTGTTAAATCTTTTGCCTTGTCCTGGTGTCTTCTCCCTTCTGACTCGGAATATTGTCATGCATATCTCTGTGCTTCAATAGTTAACATGCCGATCAGTGGCGAAGAGGACAAAGGAAGCCAATACACTAAACAATTTATTATATACAGTATATTAAAAAAAAAATCGTAATTCCTGCTATTCACCTTCTCTCAGACCTGTCCTCTACCTATAATACAAGTCTTACATCGGCATCTGACAACCAACACTGTTTCGGGTGTTATCTTAGAAATATGTAATGCTCATGGAGACTATCAAGCACCATGATCTCCAAAATATTGAGACGAATATAAAAACTTAATTTTGGTCCTAGTACAACTAACCATTTAATTGAGTCACATGAAGATCTAAATTATTAATAAATGTATGTTGTGGATAGTTCATGAAATTTATTTAATTTTATAAAATAATTAGCAAAATTTAAATAGTTACAGTTGACTATAGATTTAGAATTATATAGAATAACGATAATTTTGCCATAAACAATATAGTCACTAATTTGATTCTTTGTTTTTGTTTGCCGGGAAGGAGCAGCGAGGCAGCGTCTCTCCCTTCACTTACTTCATAATTTTTTCCTACATTTCCCACCAAAATGTCAGATAATGAGGATGCGGTAGAACCAATGGAAGTTGGGGAGAACTCCGTGAGTATATCCAATGTTCTTACTAGGAACTGTGAGTTGAAGGAGGGAGAGTCGACAGTGGCGCGGGAACAGTGTTTCATTACTTGTATCATCGCTGGCTTATGAATGACGTCTCTTGTTATTTTATAGGTGAAGGATAATGAATGATTGATGGCCATTGATTATTGGAGATTGTTATGCAATCGTTGATATTTGTATGGTTGTTTAAGGTTTTGACGTTTGATGAGTGATTAACTGCTGGCTGGTTTTGCATCACGTTTGGCATCTATGATTAATAAATAATTATACTCGCTTGGATATTTTTAACACAGTTAAGAAAAAAATATTTTGGGGTAGATATTCAGACCTACAGTAGGTTACCACTTAATAGTTGTGGGGATTATGATTGTTGAGATATTAATTCAGTAAAGTCTTAAGTTTACAGTTGGTTCAGCATGTGTATGGAGAATGCAGGTAGATATTCAGCATACATATACACAATGTAGGTACGGTATACAGTGCACATAGACTGCACACACATACAATTTTCATTGTACCTCGATAGTGTGGGTAAATGACTTACAAATATTTGTTACAGTATATGAATGTGTTTGTAGTTGGGCAGTGGATATTTTGTCGTGACTGGCTAAGTTCCTATTAATGCTATTTTACCATGAGTGCGCTCTGATCGGCTAATCGTCCATTACCAGCGAACGAAGCGACAACTATATTTGACCATGACTGTGGCAGTATTTGGCATTTATTTGGCCATGAATCGATTGTTGTGTAGCTAGAAGTTGTTTTATTTTGTTAATATTTTCCACAGATGTACTTCTTATTATAAAAGAGGCAATTTATGCTAGAACCTGACATAACCAACCAAAGAAACCTACCTAACCTTACCTATCTTCCTAGCCAGGGGGCAGACACCCCGTCATATTAAACAGAAAGTACTTAGCCAATCAGAGTGCACTCACGGTAAAATATTGTTAGTAGGAACTTAGCCAGTCACGGCAAAATATCCACTACGTTGTAGTTAACAGCCAGTGTTAAAAACTGTGAATAATGATCATTAGATATGAAGGAAAGTGCCAATTTTAAGTATTTTTAATTTTGATTCTTCCTAAGATCACCTGAAAATTAGCACCCTAAGCTTATTTGAATTGGCAACATTACCATTCACAGGAAAATAGCCTGACCAGCTGTTCTTGGCTGTTTTGCCTGTCCATTGTTAATGTAATAGAAGTAATGATATAATTGTATTTATTGTATTATGCACAGAAGAACATGACGTGAAGTTTATGTACAAAATAATTTTTTTTTTTTTAGATTTATACATTATCCTACTTGAGGGAAAATTATGAATAATATCCATGGAGATGACATATAATTGTGTAGCACTCTCCACCCAGTAGAACTGAGAGCTGGTGAGACTGAGCTGTGGGTCAGTTTATAGTAGAGGACATAATTGGATACTTTTATTTAATGATAATTTCTGTCAAAAACAAGACGAGTTTTTTCTGTGACACTTTTAATCCATTTTACCTATAGCTGAGATATTCTGAGTTAAAAATCAGAAAACTACTGTGCAGAACTGTACTGTACTTAAAAAATTCTAAGTGGTGGTGAGAAATGGTGAGATTTTTTGTTTAATGATAATTTCAGAAAAAAGCAATATGACACTTTTCTCGCATTTTACCAATACTGTAACTGAGATATTGAGAGTTGAAACTCAGAAACTACTAGAAAAGGTATTAATGCATTTGTTGCCACCAATCAAATTTCAGGAATTTTATCCTTGCAGTCAATAGCTTAGACAGTTGAAAGACACTTTTCTTCTATGACATTTCCTTTGCGAACGATTTAGAACCAAGATATTGAATGTGCCGGGGGGGGCGGGTCCTGTTAGGAAGTTAGGTAGGTTTGGTTGGTAATGATAACATAATTAGTAATAGAGGGTTGATAATACAATAAATACTATTATAATATGGACTGGACTGGCAAAATAGTCCAAAACAGCCTGTCAGGCTATTTTGGACATTTGGCAATATCCGGCACAGAAATACAGTACAGTACTTGAGGATTATTCCACAACTGTACCTATCACATCCAAACTTAACTAATGTAACTTGACATAACATAACCCATGAGTATGGAGTGAATAAATCCACCATCTGCACCATGAAGACTCCTGATGCAGCAATATCAAAACTGATTGATGTGTAAAAGGTAAAGTTGTGTTAAAGAGGGAATATTGTATCACAGAAAACAGGGCCACTTAGTAGGAACTTGTAGAAATATTATTGGACTAAATTAGACATAACATGGTTTCTATTTAGAAAGATAGTGTAATTTGGATTTAACATTGTGCAGTAATTAATAAGGGATTATTGTGCAGTATATTGATTTATTTTTTTGAGAAATTACTTTGTTTTTGTGAATTATTAGTTACTTTTGTGTTTATATAGAACGAGTCATCATCAGCGGAGACGACATCCTCGAGCAAAGCTGGTGGAGAATATGAGAACAAGATGGAGACAGATCGGTCCAAGAGGTTTGACTATCTCCTAAAGCAGACAGAGATCTTCTCTCACTTCATGGTTGGTGCCAGAGACAAGACTCCATCCTCCCCCCTCAAATGTAAACCTGGACGTCCAAAGAAAGCAGAAAATCGCAAGCCATCCATCACGGGCGAGTGAGTAGCTGTTGAGGGGCAGTTTGTCAAGGTGATGCTAGTATAGTACTACTGTGTTTGGCTCTAGTTTTAAGTACATCTGTACAGTAATACTAACTGATGTTAAACTAGTCATTTTTTATATTAATAGTCATACAGTCTGTACAGTACATAGATTGTACATATAGTAAACTGTTATTCTACTTCTTGACCAAAAATATGCACTTGAAATTTGGAATATTAGGTATATGGTATATATTCAACTTCAGTGGACTTACAAGTCTAAGCTTCTAACAAGAGTTGATTGTAAATGGGTTATGGGCCACTGACTGTATCATGAATTAGGGGGAGGCTGTTAGAAGTATTAGAAGGTATTTTTTATGATTGCATATTACAGATGTATTAAGGTATGGCAGAATGCTGTGTCTACCATCTGTTCACTCTTAGGTTTACTGGCTTAAGTCAAGTTCAGACCAAGACGTGTAATGTTAGTACAGTATAGGTTTTTGGTATAGTAGTATGTTATATGTTGCAAATAATAGAGGGGTATGATAAAGAATGAACAAGATGACAAGGAAACTGGTAGAACTTAAAAGGGAAATATGGTAAAAAATTTGAAAAGATAAAGAAAAACGTAAGGTTGAGTGCTATTAAAGTAATGTACAGTAATATTTTTTTTAATAAAAAGGGAGGTCAAGAGAGTGAGACTGCTAGAAAGGTGAGAGAGGCCCAGTATCATAAATATGTCAACCCAGAAGTTAATCAGATAGTAGGATACACTGAAAATAGTGATGATTGGTGAGACTGTACGCTTAGGAAAACTTAGCTTGGCGTACTGTGTTCGCCTGGCAGTACCTGGTTGTTGGGAAGAGTGCTGGCATCAGAAATAAATTTTTTGTGATGTGGTTAAGTGAGCTGATTAGATAGAGTAAGGAATGAGGATGTAGGGAGAATATTTTACACAGAAAGACTTGGTCACAAGAATTTAAAGTTTGAGTTTTGGGTGAACATATAATGATTATTGTATTTGAAAACAAAATGAACAAGAGCATGTACATGAGTATATACTCGTACAGTGAGGCGAGGTAGAGTATGAAGTACAGTAAATGGGAAAGAGTGTGAGAGCACAGTATACTGTATATATTTAGCCTGGAGGGGATGTTAATGGGGAGGAGTGTGCTGTGTTGTGTCAAGCTATGACTATGTATACAGAAGAGAGTGCATGTTACTATGTTTAATTGCAGAATTTTTGATAATGGATATAAACATTGATGTGTGTAACCCAGACTTACTTCAGGTGAGTAAACTTGTCCATGAAAATGTATTTTGTTATTTTATGAATGTAATAATTTTTAATTATTATAGGGTTCACTAATCATTTATATGATATGAAGCAGTAAATGTATATACAGTACTCTTAATTTTTTTGAACATGTGATGCTCGAATACATACATGGTATTGTTGGTAAAGTATATACAGTAAACCCTTGATAATCTGGACTAATTGGGGAAATGGTTTCTCTGGAAAATCTAAATTATCCAAATACATTATCTCAGGGATGGTTCTTGAGGCAAGTAAAACCACTTCTGGCCATTTTGTAAACATCTACAGCACTCCATGGCATCCATGTTCTAATGAATTTAAAAAAAAAGGAAACTAATTTCCTGTACTGTACATGGAATTAATATTAAAATATAAAATTATTAAAACTTTAAGAGTGAATTAGTTTACACTTTTTGAGTTTAATAAGTGAAGTTGCTGCTACTCCAGTTGCATGACTGAATGCCCAACTTTATGGACTGTAGGTTGAATAATTTTTGTTACTTAGGTGCACTTTTGCCATGCTCCATACTACTATATTTTTCTGGTGTTGAAATAGGGAACATTACACAAAATAGCAGAGTAAAGGCATCACACTATGCAACATGTACAGTACAATAGTATGTGATGTGACTGAAACAGCTGTACACAAAGCTCTGGGTAGTGAGGATCAGTTCAAGACTAAAGAGTGGCATGTTCCTCCTTAAATGAAGAGATAATAATGCACCCAACATGTTGATATAAACTAAAGCATAATACTGTACCTTTAATAACATCCAAGTACAGTGTAGATTGATAGAATCAGTCATTGTACTGTTACTCTTAACTAAATGTGCTCACATAGCATCTGACAATAAAGGTACTGTACCATGAATTATCCTTTCCAAAGGATACTCTACCATAATTTTATTTCTTAACACTTGCGATGGGGAGGTATCTAGTTGAGGTATAGTTCCCATGTAGTTTTGCTCTTGTTTTTGGATATTCATATTAATATTTTATAATTTTCTGATTTTTGTGGGTAGTCAAAATTGGGCAATACTGTATATTGTTGGAACGAACTGACGACATGAGATGCCCCCGAGTGAGAAACATCAAAGAGCCAAATACTGTACACTAAAATACAGTACAAATTAAAGTCAGAAAATGCAGTTACAGTTTAGTGATTTTAAAATTATCATAACTCTTGAAATAATAATGATTTGCATGTTTGTTTAGCTTATGACCCTCCATATGAAGCTGGTATGATAGAGGTAAATAGTTTATTATACTATTTCTTGGCAAATGCATAATAGTACATTATAGGGGTATGCATGTAAGCAGGGTGCATATGAGACTAAACAGAAAAGTTTTTCACTATAAACTAAAAAAAATATGTTGGCTTCAGTGGTGCTTTGACGTTTCTCGCAGGGGTAAACGCAGATATACTGGACAAAAGAGTTCTGATGGGCCAGACAAAATGTGAATTGCTGTATGGTATCCAAATTGCTAGTGTAATGAAGTCTGGATTATTGATGGTTTACTGTAGTACTTTATTTGTGAGAATATTTTGTCTTCAGTAAGATTTATGCTCATACATAATTATGAGGCTTGTAATGCTTATAATAGTCAGGTTTCTTCTAACATAACCAAAATTCTTGTTCTAGTTAACTGGCTATAGTAAATTTATGATAATTGCTGCTGCTGGCCCATCTACCCATATAAGATTTTATGTTTCCTATGGCGATATCTTTCATTTTTTTAATATGACTTAAAAACTCCATCATCATCATCATTTTATGGCTGTTTTCCACACTTGCACCAAATTATATTTCAAAAGTAATGTTATTAATTATTGAAGAGTCAAACCCTTTGATTTAACAGTTTTTTAAGGCAGATGATGTGTCATTAATTGAAGTGTTATTTTTCATCAAATCATTACATAAAGCATTTATGAGTGATTTACAATCAATGAAAATGTTTCATTACTATGAGGTGTTCTTATCATTAGTATTTGTAAAGTAACAACCAAATGTTCAAAAGGAACTGTGAAGTCTTCTGGGAACTGTGCGTTTAAGTCAGTATTCTTTGTTTTGTATAATATTTTGTAAAAAGTAATTAAAAATAACATTTAGAAGACATTGGAGCAAGTGTCTGTAAAAGTCAGTTTTAAGTGTCTTGTTGAAGTCAGTTTTTAGATCATGAAACATATGTGGTACAGGAAAGGCAGTTCAGTCCAGCCAAGATTAAAAGTCTTATCTAATTTTTTTCATAATTAAAAATGTCAGACATTAGTGAAATGTATTATTTATTAAGTGCTTCTATTTTTATTATTTTCAATGAACACCTGTGGCTCTACTCATGTTGGATGGACATGCCTGGCACTCTCAGCCAGCAGGGCATCTCCAACCAGCTATTGGAGCACAAAGCTCTCGCAGGGTGAGTGGGCTGAGCTTGAAAGCTGATTTATAAAGTTGCTGGAAGAATGCCCAATGCTTGGACAAAAATTCTTGCAGGGAAGCATATTCCAGAGTATTGTAGAGCTATATGTATTGTTTTTAAGTCTTTCAGGCCCTCTTCCGCTATATTGCACTGTGGCCATAACCCATCTAACTCATTTTTTGCTGTTAAACATTCTCTCAATGTTGTAATTCCCCAATTAACTTCTTGATGCCAGGCTCTCTTATCATTCATACATCCTGGATGTCCACCCGCCTCACTTTTTATGCTTTTTTCATCCTATCATTCCACCTTGGTTTTCTCCTCTCCATCCTTCCATCCATATACAGTAGAACCTCGATAAATCGAACTAATTGGGGCAGACCCAGTCCGTAAAAAGTGCATACAGTATTACCCCGCCTAACGCGGTTTCACTTAACGCGTTTTATCATATACGCGGTGCCTCGCCAGAGCTGAACTTTCACTTAACACGGATTTTTTCCACATATACGCGGTGAGTGTCCGGCTCGAGACGCTATTTTTAGATTTGCCCCACCCGCCACCCTGCCTGACTGCCTGTTTTAGCTCATAAAATTCATACAAATTACCCGGCCAGAATATAATTTACATTGCTGGAATTCTTATAATTTGGTGATCATTTTGAATATAAACATCATATATTTTGCATTAGACATACAAATTTTAGATAAAAAATTTTCTCAGAGTAACTATGTTATCTTTTGTGCAAAATATATGACATTTATATTCAAAATATTCCTGGTCTTACAAGGAATCCAGCAATGTCAATTATATTATCCTAACTTTAGTTTGAGGTATTATTTATTAAAATTTAGTGGTTATCCCACACATCTCCTTGGGACGGTTGGTGGGGGGTGGGGGGGAGGGAGGGACCGACCGACCATCTGTTACCCCGTGAAGAATTATTTTTTTTTTTATTAACTGAAGATATTTGTTTTAGCTCATAAAATTCATACAAATTACCCGGTCTGAATATAATTTACATTGCTGGAATTCTTATAATTTGATGATCATTTTGAATATAAACATCATATATTTTGCATTAGACATACAAATTTTAGATAAAAATTTTTCTCAAATTAACTATGTTATCTTTTGTGCAAAATATATGACATTTATATTCAAAATATTCCTGGTCTTACAAGGAATCCAGCAATGTCAATTGTATTATCCTAACTTTAGTTTGAGGTATTATTTATTAAAATTTAGTGGTTTTCCCCAAAAATTTCTCTGAGAGGGAAGAGCCGGCAGTGTAGTGTGAGAGGGAGGGAGTTGAGTCCATTATTTGAATGGACATTAACTTGGCGACTGTATTTCTCTATTTCTCTTAAGTATTAATTGTGTGCATGTACCATCATAAAATTAAGATGTTATTTTTACTACAACATAGGTATGTGCCTTCAAAAAGTGGAGTTTGGGGGTCGGGCCGGTTTCTATTGGAATTAATCCCATATGTTCTGTTGTTCACTTAACGCGGATTTCACTTAACGCGGGACCCTCTGGGTTCAATTGACCGCATTAAGTGGGGTACAACTGTATATTGGGGGGGTGGGTGTTGAAGATAACATTGCTTATCTGAACTGTTGAAAGAAAATCAGTTGATGTTATGTTATTAGTGCACTTCAACATCTAAGGCATTTAAGTGTATAACAAGGTTATTAAAAGAATATTACATCAACAATAAAAAAATATATATAAGAAACAGAACTCTCTGGGTTGAAAATCAAACTCTTAAGTCTGGTTGTCAGCAACTGTTTTCACTAGATTATTATTATTTACTGTAAAGTGCTATATGTAAGCATCCACAGAATTTGTCTTATTAATAAAGAGAAAACTGTATACTGTACAGTACAGTAGGCCCTTCAAATTAGCTGGGGTTAGGTTCTCAAAATGACCGCAAATCGCCAAATCTGCGAATAACATTTGCTGACGGGTGTACATTTTTACTTGTGTACAAAGAAATGTATATTCCCTTTGTGTTTGCCCTTTGGACAATTATTTCTTTTACCTGTAGTATTGTATATATGTGTGTGTGCGTACGTGCGCGCCACACAAAACACATACAAATAAATAATAATGGGAAAATCCTCTCACAAGTAATTAGAAACAAAATTTAGTATTAACATTGTTGAGTCAACCCTCAAGTCTACTCCGTACATTATCAATAACAAAGCCGCAAAAATGCCAGAAACTTTAAAACTACCCGCAGACATTCTTGGGTTCATCCAGGGTGTCATCCGCAAATCTGGGTGTGCTGTACTATAAAGATAAAAATAAGAACAAATAAGTGTAGGAGTACAGTCTATTGTTTGTGGAGGATGAGTGTTTATCTGGGAGCAGCTGGCAGAAGGTAGGGGGGTAGCAAGGGTGGGTACTCCTTCCCCCTCTCTTCCCCAAGATTCCTTTGACACTTCTTTATGCATTTTTACCATAATTCTCATATAATTTAGGATCATTTGGTGCCAGGTTGATAAATTATTATGCTGTATGAATCAGCTTTCCTGAAAAAGAATCCCACACTGAACTGAGTCATTTGTTTACAAAGAGCAAACAACTGATTGGCTTACCACAATGTCTGTCTTCAACACTTAGTAAATTATAGTATTTCCATGCTAATGTGGCCCATAAGCCATGCCCTTTAAGCTATTAATAGCTGATTGGTTCATAGAAAATTCAAACTAAATGTGATCACAATTGGTAAACAGACCTCTCATTATCTAAAATAATGTTAAATAATTATCTGAACTATCAAAATGCAAATGATTTATAACATTAGCACTTCAGAGAGGATGTTAGAAACTTTTAAATATTTATTATAAAAGGTCAATATAAATATGCGTTTGTACACATGCAGTCCGGGGGATGTAAAACGCTCAGGGGAACCAATCGGTTATATATAGCTCTAGACAAGGGGCGGGGCTTTTGGGCCAGGTTAAAGTGGAAAGGGTATAGTACAGTATAGTCGTGTATTTATCATCACTTAATAAATACTATTTTAGTGTATTTATCATTCATTAATAAGTAATATTGTAGTGCAGAGTATTATTCATCTGCATATACCCTGGTTTATTCATTAATCATTTATCTAAGTGTACCAGTAGCCAAATTGAGCCATCATATAACACTCAAAGGTAGTAAATAACGTCTTGAGGAAGGTATCTTCATATCAAATACTATACAGTGTGTTATTGTGACCCCTGTTGTAAGCTGGTCTACTGAAAACTCTCACACGAATGCATCTTGAGTAAATAACCTTCTGATACAGCTAATCCTTTTAGTTTCAAGTCATATTACAAATTTGATACAGAATTGTATTTTTCTCTATTACTGAAGATGTTATATTAATCATGATAAACCATAAGAGGCCAATCATAGGAGAATACTGAATCAATAAATAAACAAACTTGGTAAATGCGACAACACCTGATCAGCCCCAACCTGCTTACATACTCAAGTGTCTTAGTTCTCAGTAGGCCTATAGCAAATCTGATTAGACCACTGTACAGTAGTCACTAAGTATGAATCATTTCATAAGAATTTTATTTATTAATCTTCCCCATTTCATAAAACATGGATTTTTTTTTCTGGTGACTAGAGCATCTCAAAGTGAAAAAAGCAAATTCCGATATACTGTACTGTATTGAAGTCCGATTTATTGCGGTTTTACTGTATGTATATACTGTATATACAGCAAACCCTTGATATTCGTGGGGGTTAGGTGCCAAGGAATGGCGAGAATTGGCAAAACCACGAATAGCAACTTATACTGCAGTGCCTCGGTGCACTACTGTATACCTATACCAAATAACTGACCAGCCGAGGCAGCACTCATCTCTTGTTTTAACTTATCTAATAATTCAACTTTCTTTGCCAGGGTCATTTCTAACTTCTGCCTTTTACATTTCACTCCAATAGCATGTCTTTTAGGGGCCATTTCACACAGAAACACTAAAGTGGGGTGACTTGTGCTGCGGGGAAAGGCTTGCAGGCTAGTCACCAACTGCTTTTCGCGAATTGCAAACCCGCGAATGGCAAGGGTCACTACAATATAACTGTATCAGCAGAGCAGACCTTGGTCTTCTCACTGTCCCAACACCTTTAATTTTCATATCCCATCTTAATTTCTGTATTTCTTTTTCTCTGCAATCAATTCATCCCACACAATGTTCTCAAATGTATTATATCTGTTGCATCTAATATACTCCTTCTTGCCTCCAGAGCCCATACTGTACACCTTCCATACATCCATAATATTTTTCTTTTAACATTTCTCATTTCACCCATTACAGTAATTTCTCTCCTGCCACTCATTTATGTGCTTTATCTTCATTGTTCATTTGTTGACATATTCACTATTAGATATCCCTAATACCATTCTCCTTTTCCTTCATTTAAATTAACATTAATGGTTCCTCTCTTCCTACCTTCTTCTCTAATTTAAATTAATTGTTGATCTTGTTTAAATATACACTTCCATCTCATTCACTAGCAAATGAAATTTTTCTTCAGAATTGCCCACCAGAGCAGCATCATATGCAAATAACAGCTACCCTGTACAGTATTTGTAAAAAATTAGTGTTGAAATTTTTTTAAAGTCACTTAATTTAATTTCATAAGACTTATGGCTGGTAAACTGTCAAAGTTCACAGTACAAATGCTCCTCTGAGATCTTTTCCTAAAATTGCCTGTGGGTGAGAGAGGAAATACCTCTCTTGTAGACTATTTCCATCCTTGATGCTGTTCCTTGCATCAGGAGCCAGGCACTCGATTTGCTTTGTACAAGAGTATTATGAACAGGAGATTTGCACTGTGATCCTCAGTTACACATTTTATAATTCATCAAGAGATTACCAGTGGACCTCACAGAACCTTAAGTTTCTTATCAAGTTACACTGTGACCTCTTGTATGGTGGGAACACTTGTAGAATTGTGACGTGGCTTTTGTTAAATTCTTGGTTGGATATTGTTACATATTGACGTAGTGTTTTGTGTCAAGTGCTTGGGTTGACAATTGTCAACGTGTTTTGTGTCAATTTTATTATGAAGTGTAATTTTAAAATACTGGAGTGGTGTTTTGTGCTATGTTCTTGGGGTCAGATTCTACATGTACTCTGGTGCTTATGATAACTGGGAAGGTCTACAGTTCAGTACTTTTATGTGAACTATTGGGTTCGCTGTGGAAATATGTATTTTCTTTCACTATGGGGGAAGAAAATATGGAAACACTAAGACAAAAGAAGTTTGTCTCTTAACCCCAATTCCTTTATGATAATTGAGAAACACGCATTCAAAATCAGTTTTAATTTTGTATATGTAGCATATTATGTCGTGCTTTCTTGCATCTTTGTAGTGAATGAGTCATTAAGCATGAAAAATACTCTTGGCATCAGCAGTACGAATAATTATATTTTTGGATCCCCAGTTATGAATCCTGCAGCAATGTCGTATATTTCTCAATAACATTATTTTCCCACATTTTGCACATTGATACTAATTAAGTTATATGCAATAAATGCATTCTTATGCAATCTCCAATCATAAATATTAGATAACTAGCAATTCAAAGCATATCTGTCAATTCTTCCTCATAGAGTACAGGTATTACCAGATCACATGCCTCATATCATGCAAGTTAGCTCGGGACATTTTTGCTGTTGACTGTACACGTGTTGGTTTATATAGTGTGTGTTGGAAAGCTCCATGATTTTGTGTATACCGTGAGGAATTGTCTTTATCGGGTAGTGCAGTGAATAAAAGCTGAGGAGATAATTTTTTTATATACAGTACAGTACTATACAGTATGTATACACACACCAAGTGTAGGTTACTGTATGTATACCTACACTAGGTGTGTGTGTGTGTGTGTATTGTAAATTTCTTGAAATGTAAATCTGTTGTGCCTTTAGTGAAAATGGGATCATGTCTAGGGTCCAAAATATCACTTCCCAAATAATTTTAATTTTCACATACAGTATAACCAAACCTTCCTCAAAAAGAACAAATAGAATTTTAACACGGAAATGTGACATTAAACAAACAGTAAACAATTTACTAAATGCACACACCCTGGAACAAAATATTGAGGGAGGATGGGAGGCAGGGAAAGGGAATGGAGAGGTTAGGTCTGGACTTATAAGTGCTATATCAGTAATTCAATAATAATAATAATAATAATTCCTCATTGACTTGGACTTTTTTTATGAATTATTTATATAAAGAGGAATTATTAGATTCACTGCAGATTTTTTAGGGTCGTGAATCACCTATTAGTAGAGTTCAGTGTTCAGTAATTTTGATTCTTTATAGGTACTTGGGTAATTTATTGTGTTTTGATGTGAATACTGTAGAGCCACCACCACCACCACAATACCTACCATCACCATTCACCACACCACACCATTCACCACACCACCCACAATTGTCTAATCCTAACCAATTAATAGGAGTTATGGGGTTTCAACATAATACAGTACAATATGTCATACATTAATTTTTTTTTATACAGTACACATTTGTACACTACTGTAGTTTGGTTTTGATCTATTGTTGTGTATGTGTTTGTTTATTGATATATTTACTCTTCGTTAATGATAATAAACATTAAAGTTTAAAAAAGAAATTAGGATAGGACTATGTTGATAGATCAATTTTATTTTGAACATTGACTATTGTGTGGTGTGGTAAGGGGTTGAGAAACATAGAGACATACATAGAGGGGCTGTAAGGATTATTTTTTCTGTAAGGTGTTGGAATTTCTTTGTGAATGCTAAAAGGAGATTGGAATGCATCTTTCATATTCAGATGCAGTAACTTGAATGTGCTATGAGGACAAACATATTTTTGTTAACCCTTTGAGCAATGAGATTCAGATGCCTCACAGTGCCCAGAATAGTGAGTTTTGGCAATAGTGTAGAAAAAGTTTAGTAATGTGGTCGAAGCTAATATAATACTGTGAAAATAATAATTAAAATCAAATAAAATGCACTACTAAAAAGTTGGCTTCAAGCTTGTGTGATGATGAAAGTGAGGCATCATATGAGCACTCATTAAGAAACAAGTTTTGTTTATACAGGTATTTGTTAAATATCCTAGTAATCTTGATGTTAGATTCTAAAGTGTTAACAGCATAATAAAAAAAATCTTAAAAATACAAATAAATTGATTTGGATGACAGGTTTCTTAACTTCATTTTTTGTATCATGATGCAAATAAAATTAAAGTTTGGAATGGAGCTGCTGCATCAGTTTCTACTTTTGTAATACTGTATGTATATTGTATATTCATATTGGGCTGAAAACTGAACCCACTTACTTAAACTTCTTTATTATCAAAGACTAGAAGGGGAAAGTTTTATCATTACCGTACTTCACTCATCACAAATTTGTTTAATCCAAAAATTTTCTGCTTATTTTAATATCTGAACTGAGAAGAGAAGGCATCCTTAAACTGTGAATGTACTCACTTCTCACAGGCAAAAATCAGGTGTTATTATTTTTTTCACTTTCTCTTTCTAGCCGCGTGAAGAAGTTAACGTCTGCAGCCGCTGAGTAAGTCACCTTACCTTTTCTTTATCTGCAAGCAGGTAGAAAAGAATTGTTATCGTAGTCAACTCCTAATTGGTGTTTCCTTCTTCTCTGGCTGATTGAAGGTCCTTGTCCAGGAGCATGTTTATGCCTGGTGGTGGAAATCTCTCTTTTTGTAATGGTTGTAGAACGTAGATGTTGAAAGAGGAGGACATTCTAGCATCATTTGTGGCAGGGATCAGTGACGTTGGTGAAGCTCCTCATAACCATGGTCAAGTGTCACAATAATTTGACTAATCAGATGAGTATCCTGTGTTTCTACATGGAAGTACTCATCAACACCTAGTGATAATTGGCAACGGGAGCTAAACATATAAGTTTGCTTGGTGTTGAATAAGTAGATTGAACGGAGAAATGTTCTGTAAGGTAAAAGAATTTGGTGTAGACTGTATTCTGTTGCATTTCTTGTATGGTATTTTTGTCTCCTTGGTTAAGCATGTCTCACAGCTACAAGATCTTGGGCAAGGTTTCAGTCACAGTAATTATTTTACTGCTGATTACTTCCTCCTTGGAACATTGTTTGCTTAATTTCCTTTTTTGTCTTCAGTTCTGCTCATCATCTGTGACCCATAAATTCCTGTTTTTATCTTCTTTATAGCACTGTAGTGAAGTAAAGACTGGGATTTCTAGGTCATTGATGGTGAATGGAATTCTTCTGCTATTACACTGATTAGTACATTCAATATTAATTAATGTAATACATGTACTAAGATAGGAAGGTTATTGATTGCAGAAGTGTTGCAGCGATGTCTTGGGACACCTTGGGCAGCTTTGTATAATATCTCAGAACTATCTGAAATTTGAATTTCAAGATGATGTGCTCTTCAGTATTTTATTAGCTGAACTTTCAAATATTGCTGCAAAACTTACCTTGCACCTCTGTTCTTTCTTAGCCATCGTCACCGCATGACAGAACAGGAAGAGGATGAGGAACTGCTTGCCGAATCTAATAAATCCTCCAAGATAATCACCCGTTTTGAGGAGAGCCCAAGCTACATTATCAATGGTGAGATGAGGGACTACCAGATCCGAGGCCTCAACTGGATGATTGACTTGTATGAAAATGGAATTAACGGTATTCTTGCAGATGAGATGGGTCTTGGCAAAACACTTCAAACTATCTCCCTGCTTGGGTAAGTATACATTTTGTCATGGACCTATAGTAAAAGATGGGCTCCTCTAGCAGTTTTTTTATTGATTAATATGAGAAGGGAGTTTTGGATTAAAATGAGATTTGGCCTGCAGATTTACAGTTGATACTATTGTAATCAGCATTTTATATTTTTTTTTGCTTAATTCTTTCATTCGGGTGGTAGAAAGTTCATCTCATAAGTGGATGGTCACAGGTTTGATTCCCACCTTGTTTGGAGGATTGGATTACTTCCTTGTACTGTACATTAGCCTTTGTGTACTGGACAGTAAAGAAGTACTGTACATAATTTGGTGCACTTGCAGATAGTGGAACAGCCCTCTGGTAGAGTAGCATCCTATCAAAGTGAGAGGTAACCTAATGGTTGAATTATAAGAATTAGATCAGTACCTGTGACCACCCAGCATCATAGCAGGGAAAGACATGTATGCCTTAAAAATAAAATAAATTAACAGGTATGGAACATGTTAAACTTAAAGGTAAGTATTTTCAAACCGCCTTTGCTGATAATTTAATATTTGTTATACGTACGGTACTGTGATTTTCAATGCCAAAACTGCTTTTTGTTGGTTTCTTCTCTTTCCATTTTTTTTTGAGAAATTTGTAGCCAAAACATTTCAGTTATTCCTTTGTTAATGATTGGGGGTCAGTAACATGTTTGTTTCAGCAATATCTATTTTTTTTTGTCCCCTTTACTAAAGATCAAAGGTCGGGGATCAGTTGCTTAGTGTCCAGTGTGTTTATTGTATTTTCAGAGATACTGTAGGTACTGTAATTCTCCCTTTTTATAATACATATTCATTACAAGTAGAAGTATACAGACTGGTTAGTATTTACAACAGTATCAGTTTATAGGGCAGAAATTATTTATTTTTTTTTACTGATAGTAATTCATTTCTTAGTTATGTGAGTACAGCTGAGAATAATTTACATTGCCATTAAGGTGGCTTTCATCTTTTTTTATGAATTGATTAAAGAAATCATGATAGTTTATGCTAATAGCTTACATACCAATTCACTAATGTATACTGGTTGCTACAACAGAGTGACTCAAACAACCCCCTTCGTGATCTGCTGTCTGAACATGCCCCCTTACTGACACCAAGGGCTAGAAACATAATTTACTCCTTTGTATCTAAAATTTATGAATGTCAGACTTTTTGGAAAAGTTTTCCATAAATCTTAAACTTTATTTCTTACTTTTTTCTGTCTCTTTCCTCCTTTTTTCTCTTTCTTCCTTCTCTCAAAAGCCCCATCTTCCTTCTCAGTTGTCTAAATTTGGATACCTTTTTTGTGCGTCAGATTCCTGGACGCTTAGAGATTTTTCAGGTCTTTCTGACACCTTCCCCCCTCCCCCCATTGTATGTATTATTAACCCTTAGGCTCCGGGTGACATTTCAGAACGTCCAATTAGCGCTCCCCGGGTGACGTTCCAGATCGTCAGGGGGGTGATTTTTTTATTGATTTGTCCCCGCGGGGTGGGGGGGGGGGGTACTGTCAGCAACACCCTAACCCGGGGCTTAAGGGTTAATCACAGTATTTTTACACCTCTCATACAGGTACATGAAGCATTTCCGCAACATTCCTGGACCACACATGGTTATTGTTCCTAAGTCAACGCTCCGTAATTGGGAGAATGAGTTCAAGAGGTGGTGTCCTTCCCTGCGTGCTGTATGTCTCATTGGTGACCAAGAAACTAGGGTCAGTTGCATCTCTTATTTTTCTTTATAAAACTTTTCTATAGTAAAACTTAACCATTGAACAGGTCACAGGAAGTCATCGAAAACCATTATCATTGCACATCTCAGTATGTTCATCAATGCTAGTGTCCTTTTCTTCCCTCTTTTTTTCTTTTCCAGACTTGCAAGCATTTTCTTATTATGCTGCAGAGAGGTTAAACCAACAGCAAATATACCTTTGCCTTCACATGCTGTCATCCATTAACTGTAAATGCTGTGACATTTCCTTATATCACACAGTGTCATGCTATCCTTTCATTCAAGTGCACTGCTGCTTTTTGTACATCCTTCACTCCACCCTTCCATCTCCTTCCTAGTCTACCTCTCTTCCCTCTACCAAACTCCTTAGCAATCTTTCACTTTACATTTTCTTTCAATCTCCAAATCATCTTCGCAAACCATGTTGGACTCTTTGTAACAACCTTCTGTTATTTCCACATCTGTAGTTAATTTATATCATTCTTATTCTCTGCATCCTTTTCAACCCACATGTTCTTAACCTTGTGATTGCTAAGGGTTCCCCAAACCTTAATAAATTGGCTTGGCATTAGCCAAAATAAAATCCTTACAGTCATTCACAGCACTCATAAGGTTAAGCAGGTCGCTGCTGTCTTATCAGATTTGTTAATTCCTCATGTATTTACCTATGTAGTAATGTTGGCTCAGTTATTCCTCTGTACAGTACAACACTGGTCTTGCTTCCTTTGAGTCAGTACTATCTCATTGTTTCATTTACTGATACATTTTCTGTTGTCTCTACATATAGACTACAACAAGTCTCTGACTCCCTTCTCTTTTTCTTATAAATAATTTATTTTTGTTCATGTTCAGTACAAGTATCGGCTTTCTCCCAGTGCACCAATTTGCAGATTCATTCAATAATTCATTAATAATTTTAACTTCTTAATTGTCAAGTTGGGCTGTATCATCCACATACAAATACTAACTACCGTTGAGTACCTGTCATCCTGTCTCATACTTTATTCTCTCATCTGTATCACTTTTATCTCTTTGATACTTTCAGTGCAGTTAATTGGATCTTCCCAAAATGTGTTCTGTTCGTCCTCCCATGTCTCACTACCTGGGACACTTGCACTCACAATAACCAATCTCTTATGCAAAAGTTTTAGTTTGATCCTTAATATTCTCTGATTGAGCCCCTGTATTCTATCTCACAACTACATATTTCATATTTCATCAGCACCTCCACACCTTTCCCTTTAACACATTCAGTGGTGAACCTTTGTATATATAATTTACACACTTCACTATGATGCCAGATGGGAAATCCTTGATGTTTGGGAGGTTAATCCAGAAGTTTTGAGCTGTTTGTGTTTGGTCTGCAATCCAGAAGTTTTTAATCTGAACTTTTTGACTATACAGTACATGAGTTGGCTGATTTAGTCTTAGTTATAAAATGCCATTTCATGATATATTATTCTTTTTTCCTTTAGTAATTATAACGTTACTACTTGTAATTCACAATTATTTTACAGTCTACGTTCATCCGTGAGGTGATGATGCCAGGGGAATGGGATGTTTGCATTACCTCCTATGAGATGTGCATTCGTGAGAAGTCTGTGTTTAAGAAATTCAATTGGAGGTATGTTCACATAGATTGAAGAGCTCGCCATTTTGTTTCATGTTGCATTCAGTGAATTTTTTGTAGATTCAGTATTATTCATCAGTATACTTCAGTACTTTCTTTTCTAAGATAGATACAAGCACTTGGTTAGTTGTATGCTTGTCAGCACTGTGTAGGAATTGCAGCAGCTAAGTGGATACAGCTCTTGCCATACCAGGTTTATTAAACCAAAAAGTTCAAACCCAGATTTGGTGCAAGAGGCCAAAAGCTTAAAGGATTAATAAATATTATTATGTATTCAGGTACATGGTCATAGATGAGGCTCACCGTATCAAGAATGAGAAGAGCAAACTTTCTGAGATTGTGCGTGAGTTCCGGACCACCAATCGCCTCTTGTTGACAGGAACTCCCTTACAGAATAACCTTCATGAACTGTGGTCACTGCTCAATTTCTTACTTCCTGAAGTCTTTAGTTCCTCTGAGGTGAGTCTAGTTGAATTTAATTTTATTTGACAAATTAATACTCATCTACTGCTTTTAACTTTTCCCCCTTGTTAGTGAGAATTTAGTTTTAGATTGTCTCTTAGTCAGAACAGAAAAACATAAGGCATAGTAATGGAAACATTAAATATGGAGAATAGAAGAAGTGCCTGCAACAAGTAATCATTATTGACATTTTAGGAAAGTACTGAGTTACCATAGGAATATATCTTGTCAATTTACCATTATAAGTTGAATCATCATAATTTGGAACTTTGATACTGAGGGCTTTACTGTACATTGTAAAGGTGAGGCCACAACACGCCACGGTGTAGTAGAAAACATGATGAACAGTGATAAAGATCAGTTTCATTAATTACAAATCGGTGATTTTCTAGTGAAAGTTATAAAATCAAATTGCTGAACATAAGCAACCAGAAACACATGACTAAATAATGACTCACTAGACTGCGTGAGAGGGGAGCTGGCTGCCTCATGCACATTTGTTTGTGCCTCAGTAGTTTCCACAATTTTCAAATGTAGGTAAGACATTTGAAATTACTGTACAATAAAATATTAATATTTAATATTTTATTGCCTCCCATATTTTGTTGAAAGCATGGATATAAGATATGTGAATAATTAGGGATTACTGTTCCGTATATTTGAATTTGCCATCTTTTACAGGATTTTGACTCATGGTTTAACACCAATAACTGCTTGGGTGATTCCTCCTTGGTTGAACGTCTGCATGCTGTACTGAGGCCCTTTTTACTGCGTAGGCTTAAATCTGATGTAGAAAAGCGTCTCTTGCCTAAGAAGGAGACAAAGGTTTACATCCAGCTGTCTAAGATGCAGCGTGACTGGTAAGTGTAACAAATCCCGCATTGATTTTACATGTATTAAGTTGTGTTTCCACTTTACTAAAAGGCAAGTTCTCTGAAAACCATGTCATTAATGGTATCAGATCTGGGGAACCTTTCTTCCTCATGAACTGAAACTTGCTCGTACATTCAAGTTGTTATTACCAAGAGTTCCTGCCCTGTCATTGCTGCTTTGATTGCTACCTTAAATCATCTCCAGTAACCATGTTTAATCTCCTCTTCTTTATATTACTAGTCATGATGTATAGTATTAACTCGACCCACTGGACTAAAATTGGGGCTACCCAAGTCTGAAAAAAGCAAATCTGGGTGAGATCTGGATGTAACCCTGCTTATCTGAACTGTTTCAAGAAAATCAGACATAAGTCGGGTCATCAGCATCTGTTTTCTCTGATTTAATTTTCTTACTATTATGTGTTTTATGTAAGTACTGGAAATCACAGAATTTGCAGAAAAGTTATTTCACTGTACCGCACTTGTGTGTCTCGCAAAAAAAAGAAAAACTGGGAGATGAGGGTGTATCTGGGAGCAGCAGGCAGAGGTAACCTGAGTGGATGACTCCCCCAGGACCCTTTATCATGTTTTTATGCAATTTCACCATAATTACCATATTATTTAGGTTTTCATTTGGTGCAGGGTTTACTGTATATAACATTATCATAAAATAATAAAATTTAAAAAAAAAAAATATATATATATATATATATATAAATAAATAAATAAATAAAAGATTCCCACACTCAATCCCCTAGATGAGTCATTGCATTGTCTTAAATTTATTTTTTACAAGTGCTAACAGCTGATCGTTCTCACTCTCCATATTAACAGCACTTAAATAATATTGTAGTGTATTATGCATCTGCATATTTCCTCATCAATTGTTTAAGTGCACAAGTAGCCAAATCAAGCCATCATGTTTCACTCAAAGAAAACAATGTTGTTAGGAATGTATATCCATATCAAATACTATACAGTATGTTATAATGACCCTTGTGTAAGGTGATTTGCTGACAGCTCTCTCCAGCAATGCATCCTGAGTGAATACCTTCCAATACAACTTCTCAGTAATTTTGGCGCCGACACGACAACCCATATCACCTTTCATATCAAAATTGCACCGCCTTAGATCCGCCACTAATTTGATATCTTTATTTAATATAATTTAAATACAATTACTGTACTGTATATTATATGGTCAGTGTGTCTGTGTAAAAATGAAAATATGAAGCCGGGCCTGTGGCTTCAAAAGCTGAAGCCAGTGCTATGCCTCTGGCTTTGAAGCTGAAGTCTTCAGAAAATTTTAAAGCCAAAGCCCAGTCCAAAAAGCATGGCTTCCAGAAGTTGAAGCTGGCATCTCTCCCATGCCTGATGTTGTTTGCTACCAGACACCTACACTTTAGGGATAATGCTACTAGTCCATCACTTATGTTACTCTGTCCAAGAAACCCATTACAGTATTACATTCACAGCTTTTTAACTTGTGAATTTAAATTTATCTGACACCTTTCTTCTTTAAGGTACACAAAGATCTTAATGAAGGACATTGACATTGTGAATGGTGCTGGTCGCACAGAGAAGATGCGTCTGCAGAACATTCTCATGCAGTTGCGCAAGTGCTGTAACCACCCTTATCTTTTTGATGGAGCAGAGCCTGGCCCACCATACACAACTGATTACCATTTGGTGAGCTTTCCCCTTTGTTCTGGGTACCATCTGTATCTATAGTAAATGTTAAATGCTCTGCCTTACTCTTACTTAATGTTAAGAAAATAATGAGTTCAGAAAAGTAAATTATGGCTCAAAATTTATTTTTATCTTACTTATTGTAGTGTTTTATTTTTATTGTGAATTCTCACTTTCAAATTATGATAATTATAGCTGAATCCTTTAAAGACACAGAAAGGAAAGAGAAATAAGCTTCTCTGGCTTATGGACATATTTTAAGAAGGCTAATGCTAGTGTGTTCTTTAAGAATAAGCCTTTATGTGTTTTGAGAGAAAAAATAATTTACTGTATATATAATTTTGAGCTTAAGATGAAAACTGTTGGTATGTTTTTATTCTTATAGCAGTAAAGGTGGACAGGATTTTTGGGAATGGGACTAATTAATCTCTCCATCAGTCATACTAAATGAGTTATTTTTTATTTCTTGCAAAATTAGAGAACAATAAGACAGTGATATATATGAGACAACTTGGCTAAATATGATGACTGACAGCCATGAAGTTAAGGATTTGATTGTAATACAATACTTCTGGTTTAATACTTATGCTTTTTGTGCAATGTGGTAGTGCTGTACCATACAATACTATACTGTATAGAGGCGGAGATAAGAACCTAAGGAAGAGTTTGTGCTCTCCTTACTTTTGGGTAGCTAGCACCACTAGTGAGAAATGGATTATAAGGGTGGAAAAAAGTATATATATATATATAGATTAGAAAGTGATAGGAAATGGCTCTGTTTTATTTCTTTTATGCAGTATGCTATTTGCTACTCAACATAAAGTTTGCCCAGTATTGTATTGTGTGTATTTCTAGGTGGAGAATGCTGGCAAAATGGTTGTACTTGACAAGCTTCTTCCCAAGCTGAAGGAAATGGGATCGCGTGTGCTGCTGTTTTCCCAGATGACACGTATGTTAGATATCTTGGAAGACTACTGTGTCTGGCGGAAGCATTTATATTGTCGCATTGATGGTCAGACGGCACATGAAGATCGACAGAGACAGATTGACGAGTTTAATATGCCTGAGTCGTGAGTATTATTCTCTTACAGTAAACTGATAAAAAGAATTGAACAAGAAAGTTAAGATAACAAATTAAAGAAGGGATATACTGCAAACATTAGAGGAATTAAAAGAAAGGCAGAAAAACTATTTTGAACAACATATGAGAGAGACAGATTTGTCTTGTTTGGGATGTGGGTTGAATTGACAGCATTTAATGAAAAGGAAAGAACCATTAGTAAGGAGAGGAGAAGCTGAGATAGCTCTATGTAAGATTAAGAATGTTAAGGCTTTGGAATGCTAAAGATGGGAGGAGGAAGAGAAATTATAGGATAGGCATTATAGAAGGAAGAGAAACAGAAGAATGGCAGAGAACCTGTGGAGTTTCCTTGTGCAGTATAAAGGAAAAGTTCATAAAATATTGGAAAAGTTCATGATGCCAAGAATCTCAAGGAAAGCATATGGTGGGTTTATTGTAAAATGTTGCAAAAACGGTGACTGTTTTATGGGAAAATCAGTGTCGGTTCTGGAGATGAAGAGATTCTGTGGATCAAGCATTTGCATTAAGGAATGTGAGTAAAAAAAAATTGGAAGGGAGGAATAATATTTATTTGTCAGTCACAAATATAGAAAAATCTTATGATAGAGTTGAATGAAAAGCAAGTGTGGGGACAAATAGCATATTGTTGAAATTTGTTCATTGCCAAAGTAGATCTGTGTGAAAACTGTGTCATATCACCATGGTTTTTCAAGTAAGTTTGTAAATTGGAACACATAAAAAAATTGGATGTGAATAAATTGCCATTTGTAGATGATAATGCCTTGGTGTGCAATTCAGAAAAGGTTACAGATGTAGTGAAAGAGTTTGGATGAATGCATACTTGGAGGAAGTTAATGATGAATGAACTAAAGAAGCAAAGAAAAAAGTAAGTAGGGAAGGAGAAGAGAGAGATATAAATGCTATTGAAGTGGAGGAAGTGAGGTTTTTCAGATGGGTGAAGAATTTAGGATATTAGAGGATAAGAAATTAATTGGTACAGTAATGATAAGAGTGCTGTGTCAGAGGAAAGTTAGAGAAATATAGAAGAACTGTTGGGCTGACTTTACTATATGAGTGTGGAACATGGATGATGGATGCAAGAGGAAGAAGCAGCTTAGAAGTGAACAGAAGTGATATGCTTGAGAGCAATATTTGGGGTGACATGCTGCACCCCAATTAGATGGAAATGTGGAAATAAAGCAAGTGTCAGACAGAGTTGACCAGGGTTTACGAAGGTAATATTGGTGCATGGAGAAAATGGGATATGAAAGTTAGGTGAATGGTTGAAGAGCAATGTGTATTGTGGTTAGTAGGGATTATACAGTACAGTATATCAGTTAGGAGTGAATGGGGTGTGATAGTTGAGTTGATACTGTTCTTGAGTTCAGTGTTGGCCACTTCCCCCTTGAGTACTGAGGACTTAACATAGAGTGTGATGTATCCACACTGTTCCAAACAGGCCACCAGGACTGTGGTACCTCGGATTCATCTTGAAGAGTGAGTGAATGATGGAAAAGAACCTGTGAGGAAAGAAAATAAAAGCTCAGGTGATAATATTGATCTTAAATTTTGATTGATTCTACCTTTCATACCTGAGTCTTTAGTGGCTTTAAGTCACTGGATTAAGAAACATTTTTATTTTGAGTGTTAAGTGTGAAGTGATTTACTGTAATTAATTTTTCCACCAACAGAGAAAAGTTCCTGTTCATGTTGTCAACCCGTGCTGGAGGTCTTGGTATTAACTTAGCCACTGCAGACATTGTCATCCTTTTTGACTCTGACTGGAACCCACAAATGGATTTACAGGTACTTTTGTTTTACTTCATGTAACCATTATTGTAAGACAAAACAGTTTAAAATTTTACACCTCTGGTGTGTGGAAAGCACAATGTTACCCTTGTCTGTCCACCCATCTGTCTGGAATATGTAGCTATGTATATAAATGTAATTAATCTTGGTGTCGAATGGATTAACTTAAGACTTGGAAGATAGTCTGATGGTTATGTATAGTGTGCATATTGTCTTCTAGTTTGATAGATATCAACATCATTGCTGAAGGTCAAATTTCAAAACTTAGTCTGCTGCATAATGCTTTTATCATTACAGATATTTTAATAAGACCTCTTAAGGGTATGTCATGACGAGCCAAAGAGCTGATCTCTGGCTTCCAGTCTTATGTTACTAGTCTAGGTCACAGATGATTAGAAGTAATTAACGTAACAAGTCTTCAAGTGTCAATTCCGTTGATCTTTAAACTTCGAAGACATTGTAACCAGCATGTTCTACTATACAGAGGAACCTATTGTCTGGGTGTTATGCTTTGATAAACGTCTAGGTCGCAGCTTTACTTCAAGTCAAAGAATAAAACTTTATCCATGTAACTAATACAGTGTTAAAATTTTGATGAGTTTGACATCAACAAGAAGGTCAAAGATCAGAATGTTGTTTAAAAGAATACTCTTGATAGTTATTTTAATGATCTGCACTTGAATATATATCATCACTATACAAGGTGTAGACCACCAGATTTGTAAGGGTTATGTCTTTGTTGAAGGTCCAGAACATATCCATACTACAGTACAGTGGTCCCTCGGTTAACGAACACAATTAGTTCCAGAAGGGTGTTCGTTAACTGAATCCATTGTTTCAATGGGATATTGGGTAATTGGTTCCAGCTCACCGAAAAGTACTTACAAAGTAAAAAAAAAAAAATGCAGTAAAGTACACTTGCTTTGAGGTGTGTATGTAGAAGGCTCCTGGTTGATGATGATGGGAATTAGAAGTGGGGGTGGAGGAGAAGGGAGAAGAGAAGGAAGTGGGGATGGAGGAGAAATCACCTTTCAGGGGACCCATGCTTGATGCCGTCATTTCACCCCAAAATTTTTAAGTTCATTAGGTGTAATTCAAGAATATTTTCTTTAAATCAACACTGCACTGTGCTATATATTATCAAGATGTTAAATAAATTTCAAAATGTCCGATAATTGTACTGTAAAGACGTAAAAATACCCTTTGTTCAAGAGACCAACAAGCAAGATGTTTCCTCCACTGAACAGAGACACAAACTGATGCCTTGGTGGGTGAGTGAAGTGGCTGATGGGTGCACCAAAAACTAGTTCCCTGTACTGCAATTATGTTAAATAAGTGTTAAAATGACTAATAATTTTAATATAAAACTTGGAAAAATATTGAATAGCACAACTTTCTTGATATTTACTGCAATGGAAACGAATGTAAAGCCCTAGAACCGATTACTGTATTGGCGGACTAATCTACCAGCCGATGAGCAAGCCAAAACATGTTGACATGTTTTCGTAAGAATTTCGTTAATCAAATATTTTTTCGTTAACCAAATTGAAGATTCTTATGGAAAGTAATTCGTTAACCGAGGCGTTCGTTAACCAAGGGACCACTGTATTGAAATTTTAGATAATTTTAATTTAGACAGAGTGCAGGACACTAAATGTACTGAAGTTGTTTTAGCAGAGTTGTGCCCCTTTCACTAAATTGTTGTTAATGGGGGCAGCTGTGTTAACATTAGTATTGGAAAAATGTTACTTGTCCTAAATATAAATCATTCACCGCTTTAGTTAATTTTTTCTGCACTTCAGGCAGTTTATCATGTGCTGGAAGGATTAAATTTAATAAATAATCACTATTTTTTTCCAGGCTATGGACAGAGCTCATCGTATTGGTCAGAAGAAGCAGGTGAAGGTGTTCCGTTTCATCCAGGAGAACTCAATGGAGGAGAAACTTGTTGAGCGTGCAGAAGTGAAGCTCCGCCTAGACAAGATGGTTATTCAACAAGGTAAGGGAAGAAAACTTTGTGAAAGTGTTGATGAGAAATTGAAACATTAGGCAAGTTGGTTGTGTAAGTTTTCAACAGTCACCCCGCTGATGTTATGAATTGGTCAAAAGATCAAGTAGAGTATTAATTAATTGGTAATACTGACCAAACAACAATTAATAAAAATCTGTAATTCTACATCTATTTATGTGATACTTAAATAATAACTTGGTATTAGGATTTATTATAGATTTACTTAAACAAACCCACAGCCTACCCTTGGGACAGTTAGCCTTGGGGGCATGGGGCTGGTAACTCCCCATTGAGTTTGCATGCTAAGCAGCCCTTGGAACTTTTCCTTGCTTCTTTCCTTTTTGATAAGTGGGTTCTGATGTACTGGATCCAGCAAACTTGGCCTGATTTATAAATAAGAGTTTGATCTTAAAAATACACTTTGTAACAGAACCAGGAGTGATCTGGATCCCACCTACTTCTTGGGGATGTTCTTTGAGGTTGACTTGAAGAACAAGGTTGTTGCTGTAAATCTGGTGTATTGCATTGTCAGATGGGGTACAATTTGTGTACAAGAAAGAACTCCTCAGCATTGTGACTAATCACACTCATGTGTTAGGGCAAACCATGACCTGAAGTCTTTCATTAGATAGACAGTTGTTACATGGGGTGTAATTGATCTGTGGGTTATATACTTCCTCTTACTATGGATCTAAGGGTTTACTCGGAAAAAATTCAGAAAAATCTGAGTGTTCATATTCTTGGGACTCCTCTTGGGCATTATTATAAAGTGAGCTTTAATGATGAAACCCCATTTTTTTCACAATTTAAAGCTTACCCCCTGTTATTATGGGATTATGTCCAGTTGACTCTTAACTTTCTTTTGATTTCAATATCGTATTTATTTGGTAGAATTTGAAATTTATCTTCGTCATTGCTTGTTAAATTAATGGCACTTTTTATTTTTGTAAACAGGTCGTTTGATGGATAACAAGAGTAATGCATTGGCTAAGGATGAGATGTTGGCTATGATTAGACATGGCGCCAATGAAGTGTTCAAGGGCAAAGATGATGAGTTCACTGATGAAGACATTGATGCTATCATTGGCAGGGGAGAAGAGAGGGTGAGTGGGACCTACAGTTGTAATTGTAATACTGTATAAGTGTAAACCTCATCTACTAGTTCCTAAAATTGATGAAAAGTAAATTTAACATACTAGAATTTATAGGAACAAATATTGTACTGTATTTAAATATGACTAAGGTTATAAAATCAGAATGTTTAATTGGGAAAGATTGGCAAATAGGTTGTAATTTTTGGTCAATTCTTATTGTAATTTTTGATAAATGTTAAATGTTTAAGTTGGTAAATGAAAATTCAGTGTGGTGTTATCATCATTATCATCAACAACATTTAATGGGTGTTTTCCATGCTTCCGTGAGTTAATCACAGTTACCTGATGGCAGGTTTCCATGCTGCAAGGGCTCTTGCAGTCTCTTGTCAGGTTCTTTAATCTAATTTCTTACAATCTCTCCCCATATCATTCTTGGCCTACCCTGGTTCTCTTTCCCTCCACATTAAGGCTTATACACCTCTTAAACCAATTGGTCTCATCCATTCTTTCCACACGTCCAAACCATCTCAGCCTGCCTCCACTTACAACTTTGCCAATACGTACTCTTAACGCCCAACTGCCCCCTTAGTGCTGAATGGTGCCTCCTGTCTTTCAGTGTTACATTACACATTCACTTCACCAATTGCATTTCAGCTTGTTCCAGTCTACTTGATAGATGATGATAAAAAATATGGATTTTTGTGTGTTCACAGACAGAGGAATTGAATAAAAAGCTGGAGGCTCTTGGGGAGTCATCACTTCGTCAGTTTACACTTGATGTCCCTACCAACTCTGTCTACCAGTTCGAGGGAGAAGATTACAGGTATGTTTACTTGTAGGATTGAGCAACAAAGTATTTCATTGATTAGATATTTTTAGATGAATCTGCAAACAGTAATTTATGATCTTGTTTTTAGTGCATTAGAGTTATCTTCAGGAGCAGATTAAGTCACAACTGCTGTTACTTCTGATCACAAGTACATACACCTTTTGCAGGCATTGTATGATAAAATTCGGATTTCAATACATTTAGCACTGAACAATTTTCAACAATAAAAAAAAACTGTATATGCATGTTGAAATTTGGAAGCAAGATGAAAAAGTAAAAGAAATGACATGGTTGAGAGCAGTATTTTATGTGATTAAGACACAAAGAAATATGACTACATAAATTAGACAGATGTGGTAAAGAGTGTTAGAATGAGAACTTACCAGGGTTAACTTAGATGGTATGGACATACTAAGAGAATGGGAGGTGAAAGATTGGTAAAAAGAACTTATAATTCAGTGATAGATGGTAGGAGGAGGGAGGGGAGAAGACCAAGGAGGAGATTAGAGGGATGGCACAAAGGAAGTACAATACTAGAAGTGAGTAAGATGGACACTGTAGCTATAGTGTATGTGAAGGATTGGAGAGCGTAGTGTCAAGTATTTATTAGTACGGTATATCACAGCAGTTTGGTCTTGAAACCTGCCACAGCATCATAGCAGTTGTCAGTAGAAGGCTTGTAAGATTTGGAATAAAAATATCAGAGGGCAAGAATTAAGAAGCAAAGTGATAATATTTGTGTCTAGGTGTATTGTCTCCTTAGATACAGATCAGATTTTAATTTTATATTGATCCCTATGCCTTGGAAATTTCTTCATCAAAGTTATCTATGGTGCATTTACTTGTGGTTCTGCATTTCTATCAATGTTTCATTTATAACCTTTTATACCTGTGAATAGTCTCTCACAAAGTCTTATTTCTTAGATTTTTATTATATATTTTCAATTTTCTATTCTAATATTAGTTATAGGGTTGTCCAATGTAACTCATCACACACTTTAGTCAGATTGGATATCAATTCTTTAATCGGCATCATTCATTATGGATTCTGTCACTATTGCCAAAAGTTGGATGTGGTATCCCATTTTCTTCCTAAAACCACATTTAATCTCTCATTTACATTTTCAGGAACAAACAGAAGGCAATTGTTGGTATGTGGATTGAACCCCCTAAACGAGAGAGGAAGGCCAATTATGCTGTGGATGCCTATTTCAGGGAAGCACTTAGAGTGTCAGAGCCAAAGGCACCCAAGGTAAGTAAGTGTTGATTACTATGAGGTGTAGAACTGGGAGACTTAAGAGGTGGAGTTGGTCATCAAGTGCACCATTATCATTTAATGTATGAATGTTGTATGCATTTTTTTAAGAGGAGTAAAGCAAATTTGAAAATAGAAAACAGAAAGTTTTAAAATGTACTTGCTCATGACATGTTCATATAGCTTGTTTGTTAATGATCTCCAATAGTCATGAGGTGGTTACTCTATTTTCTTCAATATATTCCGTGTAAGTTTATTTACTCTTTTTTTCTGAGGATGTCTGGCGTTACTCGAGTCATTTTTTTAGTACTTTTTAGTTTACATTGTCTTGTGTTATCACCCCCAAAAAAGCTAAAATATATGTGAAATGTGTGGGAGAATTGCTGTGTTACATTTCTCTGTGGACTGAGTGTTGCATTGCTTATGTGAGGGAGTTGTTAGTTATGAATTTAGTGTCTTTGTTATATGTGTATCTATCAGTTTGTATTTATTAGTATCTCTTGCTCTACTTTGAAAGCTCCTACAAAATCTCCTTCATGCACTTAGCAGTTTTGGTATACTGTATTTCATCCAATCTTCTATAATTATAGCTCCTTATATGTGCTCTATAACATTCCACTTCAAATCTGGTCCTTTTATGTATGTTCATTCGACTGCCTTCATTCATACATTGTTTTCAGTTTCATTGGATTACAGTATTCTACATCTGTTCATCCCTCATAAAAACTCCAATTATTTTCTCTACTGTACATTGTTTACAATATTGTTACATGCTGTTTCCCCATTTTTCCATTCACTCCAGAAATTCTTTATTTGCTCCCCCAAAAAATATCAATTTCAACCACATGCACTTAGCCTATCATTCTGTTGTGCTCTCTTGTTTAAATAGCCTGCAATAGTGTGATAATATAGTGCTCTTTCCACTCTTTTATGAGTTAATTTGTGTCCCAGGTGATGTAGTATATAAAATTCTGACAAGTACAGTATACAGTGTCATCGCCAATGAAATCCCCGAATATGCCAGCTGATACTAATCCCTTGGTTGGTAATATCTCCTTTTGTCCGTTTGTTAGTGTGGGTGTGGTGCCAGCAGGCCGTAGCAATATACACACACCTCAGTATTTCTTGCTGCAAATTTTCATTATTAAAACATTTTTATTGTAAGATTTACTGTAGCATCATATTGTAATGCTACATTTAATTATTATAGGAAAAAGAAAACAAAAATAGTTGAGAATGTAGAAGTTATTTAATAATTTTCCATTTTTCTGTCTTGTTGGATGATATAAAATGCTCCATGAGTTGACTGATAGCATTTGTGATGGTGGTGGTTCTGCAGTTGAAGCCTGAAGCGTGCGTTCGTATGTTTGTGTGTGGTTGCAGCAGGCTGTTATGACGTAAACACCTGCCTTTCAGCATGTTTTAATTGTTAATACTGTACATTTTTATTTTAACCGCCAGTTACTCTTGAAACAAGCACATTGCCTCCTCCACTTATTACCATCTCCTTTATCACCACCACCACCACCACCAATACAGCTGCTTTTTCTACTCCCTTTGTTGATGGAGATGGATTCACCTCATCCAAAACGGAACCATATAATATCCTCTACCTCTCACCTACCTCACTTAACCGCTGCCTATCATTCCAGGGGTTGATGATGTTATTACAAAAAGTAATATTGTTAATTTAGATAAATAAATACAGTACTGTAAATTTGTTTACCAGTACCCAGTACTGTGCATCTCACAATCAGTGACACTAACCCTACTGTAAGAACTGCAACCATAGTGTTCTCTTTACAATCCACTGGATCCTGGGGTGCATATAAATTTTTGGGTGCACTGTACACTCACTACAGAAAATATCTGCAAGGTGGGGTCCAATTGATGTTAAAATGAACACTGCAAATCCTGTTGTTTCAGTAGGTTGTCAAAATTCTTCATCCATTGTCATGTTTTCTGGCCAAAAAGTTTTGCAGATAATTTTTGTACCAAGTGTACATACACATTACCATACTATATATAGTTACAGTACATTACTTCTAGTTGTATTAAAAACATTATTGAATCATTAGAATATTCCTCCCATCTCATTCTTTATCTATTCTTTTGATATTACTGGACCATTTAGATCATTTGTTACTCGTCTTAAAACTAATATGAATTTTCACACATTTGCTTACACTGCTTCATTACCTCTTCTGTCCCAATTTTATTTTTATTTTTCTTACTTCCTCTGGCTTCCGATTTTTATTTTTTTATTTAATTTTTTTTTTTTAGAATTTATCACCCACATATTTCATAATTGGCTGATATGCATCTTTCTTTCATCTCCCGGCTCTCCTTCCACCACACTTCTTCCTTGTCCACCACACACATCATCCTTGTTTCCTCACTTTCACATATGCCTCAACATATTTATCAAGTAGTTATTGAGTCCTTTATTTTTGTTTTGATAAGTTGCCTTTTCTTGCTTCATGTTTTCCTGCTCTGATGTGATTCATGTCGAGGATGTTTTCTCTTTTCTGTCCCACATGATAATTAGATATTCTTTAATTTAAGCTTTGGCTCTTTGGTAGTCCCCAGATACTTTTCAGTCATGGCAGCGACACCGGTGTTTCCTATAAAATTATTCGGTGTCAAGATATTGAAGGTTTTTTTGGGTCAGCATTATTTGCCATAAAATATATTTTCTACGTTAATGAGTATTATGTTGATTTAAGTTTCTTGTAAATTTGTAAATTTCACTTATCTTGTTCCTGTTCAGTAAAGTAAATGATTCAGCACCATTGGCATTAGTAACCAAGCTATTGTAATGTTAGAGATAAAAACATAAGACATCAGAGACAGAAGGTTCAACTCATTTAACAAGAACTGTACATAGGAAAAATCACTCAAGTTGTTAGCCTTGCTTGAGCACCTTTCAGTGAGAAGATTGAACCTAGATATTAGTAATTGAAATTGTTGTATATATAATATTAATGAGTAGTCAAACTTTTTAGAAACAAAGGGAATCATTGTTTTAACCATGACTAAGCTAATGCATTACTCTGGACATTTGACTCATTAGACATGAGCTGAATCATATGACTTGGCAAAATGAGGGGAGCATTATCATCTATGATGGAAACTGAGTTGATCACTGTCATATCGATGCCCCAGATCAAATATTTTTTTATCATCAGGCTTAGCCTCTACCCCTCTTCCCACATCCCCCTGTGAATCCACAAGAGTGGGTAAATTGTGTTGCTTTTATTATTTATTGTCGAGTAATCAATGGGAGTATTTAATAGATATTCAATTTTTGAAGATTATATTATAGTAAATCAAATTGTCAAAAGCTCCCATAATTTAATAGTATAAAACTTTCCTCTTCAGCCCAATTGGAGAGGAGTAAGTAGGCCACCTGGAGCTTTTACTTATTTGCTTTTTTGTTCTTTGGCTTTAAAGGAAGTATAGAGCATGTTTTGGGGCTTGAAGAGAACACTTGAGTAGTGAGATTTCAGAAGAGTCATCATTATCTTTGGACGACATAAAAATGCACAAGTTTGTGTGAAATATATACCGGTATGCAATGAGAAGTGATCAATGATGGAGAGGGAAATGTGTCATGATTAAACTTGAATATCAGGAATAGATATTCGATATATACCTCACTTCTTGACAGCATGAGAAATGACAGTATTTTTTTATCAATGTCCCTATAGCTCATAACTTTAAATGATCAGGAAGACAAAATGTAATAAGGATTACAGTTGTAATGACCCGTAATGAATTATAACATGATAATTGAAACTTTTATTCTTAAGATATACAACCAATTGGCCTTAAAGATGAGAAGGATGGTAAGATGTTTGTTCTAATGTTCTCATAAAAGCTGTTGCTACAGAAATGAATATGTTTCTCGTACAGCCTGACTTATATGATTGAATATGTTATGTATGCTACTTCTTTATTACAAGAAAAACTATGTTACATATTTCATTATGAAGTATATGGATTGTGGTACAAATGCCACATATACTGTACTCCCAGATATGACTCCTGTGCCCCCCCCCCCCCAGATTTGACCATTTCTGAACATACTGTGTAACAAAATCTGACTTGGATTTTTTATTCTATACTGTACCTGTATATCTTGGTATTAAGGAGTCATTATAGACACCATAATCAGAGAAGACTTTCAGAGGAGTTAACTTGTTATGTGAAAGATAATGACAACTCTGAAGTTATTAACCATGCTTGTTGAGCCGCTGAGAAACACATTATCCCTGACACCAGAGAGAAGTTTTTGGGTGAAATAAACAATCAATGGTACATCTTACCCAAGCACTTGATGGAGATTAACAGTGACTTTGTCTGCACTACCTGTGGAAGCAACTGTTTTAAAATAAGCATCAGTCTCACTAATATTGTAAATTGAAGGCCTGCTCATATCACAGATGCAGGAAGTAGCTGTTTAGGTGTATGTGAGCATTAAGGTATAAGGCTCTATAGTATTTTGTTGTAGCTTTTATTTTAACTCTGCTTACTTCCCTTGGTTAGCACTGTATATCTGAGTCATCTTTTATGTTTAAGATATCCACATTTTTCGGTTTACTAAATTATGATATACAATACAATACAGTACAGTATTCAGTTTATACATTGAGGAACAGTTTTCTCCTCCATAAAGCTACTCCTCATTATTTAGGAGGTGTTTTAACCTCTTTGTTATGCCTTGTACAGTAAAAGGTGTCAGAATTTACATGTGGTGCAAACAATTTTTTTTTTTTTTTTTTTATGTAATGTGGGAGAAGGTGAATACAGTTTATCGCACTCCAGTCAATACATGCCCGTATGTTAGTATTAAACTTATTTCAGGTCAGTTACTTAAAAAATGTGTCAGGGATCAAAATAAGACTTGAATTGCAATTTCATATCATAAATGTCTTGACTGAAATTGACTGTCAGCATTTTCCGATCTATTTTTACCTGACTCGTGCCCCTTTTCCAACATGGGAAATTTGGTCAGGGTCATAACATTACCACCAGATAGTCAAGTTTCTTTCTCCAGTATATATAATAGTTGTTTAAATTCACTACAAAAGGTTTTCACACTAAATTAAACACTTTAAATGTTTATGACATGAGCCCTTTAGCCAGGCAGCTCTTGAAATACATAATATTTGCCAAGGTTGATCTGAGCAAGTTTTGGGTAAATTTATCACTTTTCCCTCCCCGTCACACACAAAGTAGGACATCAGATGCAACAGGAGATCTATTACAAGTGTCTGTCCAATCATCGCACTTCTTATCAAGGTTACTGTCTGCTATCTTCGATTTCTGGGTCAATTCATCATATTGGAAGTCAATCCTCAGCTGCCTGCTATTGGGAGTGGACGTTTCAGATTTTCTTTTTGCTACAAATGGCAAAGTGAAGAGGCAAGGAAATAATGTCACATGCCCCTGATAACGAAAACTGACGAACTAAATACTAGAATATGGAAGGAATTGGTTGTATGGGGAAATAAGGTTAGCTCAGTACATGGTGTGTGGAACCTAAATGTGCATATGACAAATACTACTTTTTGGAATAACACGTACTGTCTCACCAAGTAGATAGTTTCACCTCAAAGCTAAGGAAATGAAAATTGTAATTGAACTTTTCAGGTGTATTTTGTTGAATACATATTAAAGTCAGATATTTCAAAACTGGATGGGCTAAGTTAAAACATCAGTGATAAGTGTCCACACATACACTTGGAAATACTCTATAATGCTCAGTACTACAATATCCTATCTCTATAACATTTAATGCCACAATATCCTGACCACTGGGGTCTGTTATACACACCTTCTGTGACCTATATTCTGTGATTCTTTTTGCAGTACCATTCACAGGGTGATTATGGTGGGTACACAATAAACTAGTCACTGTCAAAAAAAAATCAATTCTCACACACACACACCAATTTTCCATGGCTCTTATATACAGTACATTTAAAAGTCCATAGTGTCCTCAATGTTCTGTCAAGGGAAATGGGACAGTTTGCTAGCTGTACAGGAAGTTAAAAGTGTTGAATTTGATTGTTTACCACACAAAACCTCTATTGGATTATTGGTGATGCTTAAACCTCTGTTGTGCTAATGACAGTGCTTGGAGATTTTCATATTACTTATTTTACCCTTATGAGTCACCTAGCTATTTAATATTTTATTCAAGGTGCTCTTGGAGATCTACATAAGTTTATTTTGAAACTAATTGGTATAAATTATTGAGAATCTCAACATTGAGTTTGATAAATTAGTTTTTAATAACAAGTGTGAAGTTAACTGTTTCTAAATGTTTCCTCACATCTCCCAAGATATACCTGTTGTAACACTATTATGAACTGTAGAGAAGTAGTATTACCTTCTTTATTCCTAATAAGACTATACTATACCTAAAAATTGTCTTCAAAAATATATCCTGAACTTGGTACCCTAGATTCCCTAATTTTAATTTTGTTGGATCTGATCATGATGGTATTGATTAGCATGTTGCCCATGACACCATGTGATTGAAATTTTCATTAGTTAAGCATTATAATTTAGTATGGTTTATAGTTACAGGTAGTACTGTAGTGACTTGTTCTTTAAGTAAAAGATTGAAAACATGGGTAATATGGACGTCTGTTGAGAGTGTGTGCAGAGGGTGTCAGAGAAAATTTATTCGAAACAAGTAGAACATAGTGTTTGGTAGGTGATTGAACATTAGTGCTGGGATTCATTAGAGTAAGAAAGGTACCTGTGACGAGGTGAAGAACTCGTGTGGGAATGTGCACAAACTGTAAGGAGAAAAATATGGTAATAATGGTAAAAAAAAATATGGTGGTAAGTGAAGTAGTAGGAAAAGTGTGTGATAACAATGGTAAAAGTGTGTGAAAACAATGGTAATAGTGTGTGATAACAGTGGTAAGAGTGTGTGATAATGGTAGGAGTGTGTGAACAATGGTGGGACTGTGTGGTAACAGTGGTAGGAATGTGTGGTAATGATGTTAGGAATGTGTGATAATGGTGGGAGTGTGTGGTAACAATGGTAGGAATGTGTGGTAATGATGGTATGAGTGTGATAACAGTGGTGGCAAGAACACTAGGGGAGGCTGTGCATGTGTCCTGCTCTGAGGATATAAAGGCAAGTGGGATGATCAAATTGGTGACAGTCAAGGTCCCCACGAACTGTCAGCCCTAACTAAAATTCCTTTAACTGTTAGTGTTCCCATCAGTGTAATTTTACCCATGCTTCCCAAAATAAAGTGTTGGTGGATAATTCTTATTTAAGTGAAAAAAAAAGGTATTGTGCTTCCTATGTGTTTGAAGGCTAACATATATTATTTTTATTTAGAATGTGAAAGAAAAATGTGGGGCTAATTTCCTCTTATTTTGAAGTGTGTGAATGATTTGTTTTAATTTTTTGGAAAGCTGTTTTAACCTCCATGAACTAACCATTTTATACTAAAACCCATATTTTGTGGAAATAATACTGTGTCCAAATTTTTAGTACAAAACATTCAGTTGTGCTGATTTGATTTTTTATATTGACTGTTTTTAAGTTTCATTTGTATAATCAGAGTTTCTTGCTAGAACAATTACAGTACAGTAATTTAAACAATGCTTGTAATTTTCATCAGTGGCAGACAACCCTGTGGAAGCACCGATAAAAGGCTAATATGATTCGCCTCATAATACTGTACAGTATTGTATTCCAAAATTACATCAATAGGTCGACTGTATTATCTTACACTTTAATTTCTGTTTGATATCGAACTAAATTTTTGTATTTATTCCATCCTAATTTGTGCCTTCATACTTAGTTGAAAGCAATCAAGGTAAAATCAGACTAGATTGAATGTTCTGCTAAAGTATTTGATGGTCTCAGTCCTGGCAGAGACCTTGGGTTGTAATACACATATCCTGTACAGTATATATTTTTTTATATATGGCTTGTTAGTAAACAAAATGGAAGGAATGAAATAAATATTTATAGTCCTTGGCACACATTCAATTTTAACATATGCAGATGAATTAGATATAAAATCTTGCAAGTTAAATCATGCAAGACTGAGTATTTTGTACTACACACTTGACAAAGTAATGCGAGCTTGTCCTGGATATTTTTGATTAATGTGATAGCTTTACTGTGGTTATTGAAGTGCATGCTCAGTTAACACAAAGGTAAAGACTTACAATCATAACATCAAATACTGTATATAATTATATATTAGTTTTTGTAGGTTATTTAGTACTACATTACTGTATATACAGTATTAATTCTAAGTATTTATTCATGTGTTTGTGAACAAAATATATTTAAAGATTACTGTAGTTGTAATTGGAAAATTAGTCAAGTACTGTATTTAAATTTTTTTATAAAATTCTTGCCAATTTAACTGTAACTTCATGTTTGCTTTCTTTAATGGTCAATAAATGAGGATATAGAAGTACAGGGAATGCCAAAATATTTTAATTCAAAGATTTTTCTGGGATGATACACAAGGAATTTATTAATTAATAAAACAACAAATCAGTTTTCCTCAGGTTCAGAATCTTTTATTTATATTACCAGTGATGTGTTTGAAATGTTGTGAACATGAGAGTAAGGAAATTGTTTTGTATAATAATGAAGTAACTGTACTTTACACTGATTAAAAAATTCCCTGTACAGGGTATGTACTGTATATTATAGGTTTTTGTAATGAAATTTCAGACCAGATATATGTTCAGAAACAATTTCATTCAACTGGCCTTTTTATGCCTAAAATTTCTAATAAATTATACAATATCAGTGGAGAGAATTTTAATTAACAATCTCTATGATGCTGCAGGCACCCCGGCCACCCAAGCAACCAGTGGTTCAGGACTTCCAGTTTTTCCCGCCCAGACTGTTTGAACTGCTAGACAAGGAAATTTACTTCTACCGCAAGACTGTGAGCTACAAGGTGGGTTGATGGGTTGTTTGATGTAGCAGAGATATAATAACTCAAAAGGGTCTTTGTTTGTGAATGGTAGCTCAACACTGCCTTCATTAGTTCATTTTGATGAACATGTATCATGGGATCATTTGGTTTGCTGAAATATTTTAAGGTGATATTCACACCTTGATGATGACTCACTTGGGTGCATTATATTCATGAAACGGGTGCAACAAGGGGAAGCTATTGAGAATTTGTCATTGTTCCATTATCAACATAAATTTATTTTTGTCACTTCATAATGTATAATCTTCTTAGATATAAATAGATAAAAGAACTGAATTCCTTGCTTTCATTTTTTTTATCCAAGATAATTTAATGTTCTAGATATACCAATTTGTGCTGTAGGTCCCCAAGAATCCAGAGTTTATGGCTGAAGCTGCCCGCATCCAGAAAGAGGAACAGCAGAAGATCGATGAAGCAGAGCCAGTGACGGAAGAGGAGATGGAGGAGCGGGACAGTCTTCTCACACAAGGTTTTCTCAATTGGAGTAAGAGAGACTTCAATCAGTTCATCAAAGCCAATGAAAAGTTTGGTCGAGACGATATTGAAAACATTGCTAAGGTTTGTGTGATGTGGAGCTGCAGTCGTTTTCTCTTTATTTTCTTTATATGAATTAGTATTGTTTATGCAAGAGGTCAACTTTTGAGTAACACAAACTTTTGTGTTGTTTGGTAATTCTAAAGTATTGCTCACAAGTCGATGTGCCCAATGAACTCAGTGTATGATTGTATGAGAATGAGCTTAGATGAGAGGGAAGCAGAAGGTATGGAATGAATAGTAAATAATTTTAAATTGAAGTTTTGCTTGATTGCTAATAAGTTTTTATAAAATGTACAGTATATGGGACTGGCCCTTTTATTTAATGTTTTGGACATGGAAATAGTTGAGTGATTTTTCTTGTGATAAATTGCCTGTGTTCATGACAATTTGAACAAGTCTGTTTTAGAAGTTAGAAAGAATAAATAAAGATAGGAGAATGTTATTTTCGTGCTTAACCCCTACGCCCCGAGCTAGGGTGCCGCTGGCCGTATCCCCCACATCGGGTAAATCGAGAAAAATTTATTTTTCAAAAAATAATTTTTAACCTTTTTAAATGATAAAACAATAAAAAATAAGAAAGAAAAAACTATATATTGACCCTCTAGAAACTTCCTGGGGCTACAGAGGCAAGGGAGATATGGGGACAGAGTTGTTTTGATGGCTAGCGCCAGTGGTCACTATGCACTTAGCGGCCATTTTCTGCTTGCCTTTGTGTCCAGGATGGCTATTAATGCATATATTTACTGATCATAATACTTATTTTCAATAAATAATTCATTTAGAATATTTTATTTGCATTACTTTTCATAAAAAGTGCTCGGCGACACACAGTCTGTCGCCATTATTTTCCAGTAATACTACACTACAATACAACTACACGACTTTTAGCAATACAGTATTACGTTGATACAACGTGATAAAATGGACAAACGACTCTCCATGGCGACAAGCTGATGCATACTAGCCGCACTGAGCCCACCCACGCTACCCTGTGTGTGGCATGATCACCAAATAGTCATTCTGGAACCTAATAACCCGCGCTGGGCATTCAAACTGCCGCGAAAAGGCGCGCGTTCCGGAACGTCAACCGGGGTGTAGGGGTTAAAAAAAATTCTGAATAGTAAAAAAAAAAGTTAATGATTAGAGAAATGGACACTTATTACCAAGAGCAAACATATAATTTGAAAGCATTATTTCATTGTATTCACTATTTATTGAGTAAGGTCTAAAAATGTCTTGCAGGAAGTTGAGGGTAAAACTCCTGATGAGGTGATGGAATACTCGGCAGTCTTCTGGGAACGTTGTTCAGAGCTTCAAGACTGTGATCGCATTCTGGCACAAATTGAGAGGGGCGAGGCAAAAATTCAGCGTAGGGCATCAATTAAAAAAGCTTTGGATGCTAAGGTGAGGAAATTTTAATTATCTTTAAATTAAGATATGTTTTTCAGATTTGATTTGCTTTCAAGCAGTGACATCGCTGTTTTACTTTCTATATGCCATTTTCTACCAAAGTTTGGTGTCTATCCAGGCAAGAAAGTTTAACCTAAGTTTTGACCTTGCTAGTACAATATGTACTGCCCCTATCAAAGTATTTGATATAACTTCTGGCAAATTTATTGTTTAACTGGTTATGAGTCCATGTCATAGCTTGTGAAACTTAAAAGCTATTACAGAATGTCACTTGATGCAGTTTTGTTGCTAAGATAATAATAGGAGAAGTTACATTTACTGTTCTCAAATAAATTGCGGACTCCATTTTACAGATGGCACGTTACAGAGCTCCATTCCATCAGCTCCGTATCTCATATGGAACTAACAAAGGAAAGAATTACACTGAAGAGGAGGACCGTTTCCTTGTGTGTATGCTACACAAACTGGGCTTCGATAAAGAGAATGTATATGAGGAGTTGAGAGCGGCTGTCAGGTGAGACAAGCAATCCTTTGTCAGTGTTAATTTGTTAAATTGATTTATATTTAGTACAGTATTTTATTACCTTGTGTTGTCTCTTCATGGTGGAGTGGGTTGTTCACATTCTCCTCAGGACACCACTCGAGGCACATCCATCTTTTTTACTTTCTCACCCTTCATAATTAATCAACCACCTGTCATTGTTAACTAAAAGGGGTAGAACAAGTTCAAGAGTATCACAGTATACAAGAAAAAGAAGGGCAATGATTCACATATTCCCTGCTGCTCCTGCACAGGGATATTTAGAATTGGTCTGCACCTGTGTCTTTATATTTATGCTCAACTTTTGAGCGATTATCAAAAGAAGAACAATCGTGGGTAAGGTATAGAGCATCAGTGACAGTTCTTCCTCAGTTGTGCTTCCGTGGTCAACCAACGCTTGCCTTTGTATTTCTAGGGTTAAGTTCCTGTATTGAATGTAAATTTATTTTGTAAATAGTTACACTGGTTGAAAACATGTTGTATCCAGTCTGATTTTCTCATGTTTATTTTCTCAGGTCTGCACCCCAATTCCGTTTTGATTGGTTCATCAAAAGTCGTACAGCATTGGAACTCCAGCGTCGGTGCAATACATTAATTACTCTCATTGAACGTGAAAATCAAGAACTAGAAGAAAAAGAGCGTGCTGAGAGAAAGAAGGGAAGGCCCAGAGGATTGTACATCAAGTCAGGAAAACGGGCTGGAGGTACTCAAGATGGCCGTGGTAGACGAAAGAAGAAGGCTGAATGAATGTGAATTTTCTTTTCTTTGTGTTTGACCATTTAAAATGGGATGATTTAGTGAATCTTTATAGGCCTGAGCAGTTGGGAAAATAGATTAAAAAAGGAAGCTAAATTATTAGATTTATTTTTTACTACTGCCACCTAAAGGATATGAAATTACTGCTCGAGTACAGTATTTTAAAGTGGAAATTTCATAACGACCAAGTACTCGTATAACTTAAACATCTTATCAACCACTACTTAATGCTGTTCTAAAAATGGGTGTTTTATAGTAGCATGTTTTGACAAAGTTTTGATAATGTATGTATTGTCTTCTGTACAATATTATTATCCATGAAATGGGTAGTTGAAAAAGCCAAATGTTTGTATCACCGCTATCTTCATGTAGGATGGATGGTTGTTGCCTAGTAATATCTACTGCTCAAATGGTTGACAGTTCACTTCACAAAGTACTGTATATATTTTCTGGCAAAGGTTTTTATGGAATTATACCTTCATTTAAATTATTAGTGAAATCTCTTACAATCCTCTCATTGAAGGTACCTAGAGAGGAATTGTTTTCATGTATGTGTAATATTTGGTGCCACTGCAAAGATCCTCATCCAAGTGGAAATGGTTTTGTTCACCAGTTGTTACTTGGCATGATCCTTGTATATCAAGTTTGTATTTCTCGACCATCTTGTTTGCTCAGGTATGAAGTTTAATAGGTATCCTCTTAAGTGTGAGTGAATATTAGCAACTTGTCATTTTCTTTTAATAAGAATAATTAAGTAAAGAGTTTTTCATTTGTTACAGTTTATTATCTTCATGTGCTGTTCTTATCAGTAACATTCCACACAATGGATTTTGTGATTTGAAAACATTCAACAGTTGCATGGCCCCTTGGTGATGATTTTCTAAATCCTGAGGTGTTTAGATATTACAGCATGAACATGTGAAACAGTGCACAATATTCATGGTAATAATTGTATGTCCAGGATGTCTGTAATAATGTTTTAGATAAAGTACAATAATAATGTATAATGCTTAGAATTGTTTTTTAATAAACTTGTATAAAATATATGAAATATGACTTAATTTTACCTTTGCAAAATTTTTTGTTAAGCCTTCCACTGTAGTTATTATAACTCAGGCTGTTATGCTCTATGCAAATAAATGTAGATGAAAGGAGAAAAAAAAATTTTGTGCCATGAACAAGTGACTGATGTGCACAGTTCAGTAGTTAACTCTTGAAATGTGATTTGCTGATGTATGACACAATTCGGATGGCCATAAATCTGTCATTTGCTCTTGTTTAACAGAACTTGAGAGAACTTCAAGTATGAAACCTATTACAGTATCAGCTGAGGCAAAAAAGTACTGTACACACTGTATTCACCAAACAACCAAAATGAAAAAAAATCTTATGATTTTGTGAATTTGTACACAATTCCACTTTTTGTGTGTTCCTGAGAATACTGTAAAGAAACGAGTTATTGGTATGCAATGTAGCAAGTATCAGGCAGCAGGGTGTGAGGGGAAAATGGTGATACAGTAGAGTCGGGAAATAAACAATTTTTTTATATCGCGACAACCAAAATTATCGACAATTTCCAGTATATAGCAATAAACTCATTTATTTCGCGAGGGACATCGAGCAGGAAATATTTCAAATTTAATGCCATGGCAAACAAATGCGTTATTTGCTTTCCTGAGGCACCACTGTGGCTGTTCACTCACGCATTCCCGCCCGCCCCAGTTGCTCGCACTATCGTTCTGAGTGAGTGATGAGTAAGCAGCCGACTGTTGCAGATTACGACTTCTAAGGTGAGTGTAAATGGGTTGCTAGTGAAGTGAAGATAATGGAAAGCTTAATGGAAAAGATTTAATACTATAACTAATATTTTTGGTTTGTTTGTTTATGTAGGTGTGAGATTGTCAAGTGAGGGTGGCAGTATGGCGTCTGCTGCCGAGTCTGGTGTTCCTGGGACGGTGCATCAGCTGCCGAGTCTGGTGCTCCTTGATATTGAAACAGTCTGGTGTTCCCGAGTCCAGTGTTCATTGGTGCTTTAGTTAGTAAGAAAATAAACTCGTTAATTCGGGTTTAGTCACTTTTATTGGCCTCCAGAACCTATCCCTCTTTTCCCCATTGATTACATACGAGTATATCGCAATTTAGTATATGGCGAACTTCCTTGGACCCTATCTTGCGATATATCCCGACCCTACTGTAATGGCAAAACCTATTAACAATAACAGATCTCTATTTATCACTCAGTCAACACCTTGTGATGATTATTACTACCAGCCAACATAATAATTACCACAACCAATCAACACTAATGATACTGTAGTGGATTTCTCCCCTACAAACGCTGTTTGTCGCTGCGTAGCCGACCCCACGAATTCCACAGTGTGTGCCTCGTGGTCTAGGTCAACCAGCACCGCCATACATCACGGAGCGGGGGTCAACTACTAAGCCACTCCTACCCCCCGCTATTTAAGACCTGACCTCGTGGTGACCTGTCTCTTTCTACCTACACCAACCAGCCAGCAACACCTCCTCCTCCTCCCTGGTGGTCCTCGCTCCCGCTGGCGAGCATGGCGACCCACAAGCTGTTCCTCCTCTGAGCATCCTCACCAACCAGCTCTCTCTACATCACGCTTGTAACCATGCTGCCTTCCCAGCACCAAGCTGCATTGTACATCCAATACAACATGTATAAAGAGAGCACATTGTGAGTTTCCTTTCTCCATCCCATCCTGAGTGTGAACCAAACACCTGAACCCCACAATACTTACCCCACAAACAACTAATAATGTACAGTACTAAATAAAGTTACCACTACTGTACCAACCAACAATTAGAATAACTGCTGAAGTACCACCAATCAACACTTGTAATAGTAACTAATAATGAAACTAGATACTGCACCACTTCAATTCAACACTTGCAATAGCCACCACGACTCACTACCAGCCTCCACTTACAATAGCCACCACTACCAACCTGCACTTACAATAACCACCATTACCAGCCTGCACTTACAATAACCACTTCTACAAACCAACATTCAGTAAGTTTCATTACTAGACAAAACTTATGAAAGCAACCCATCAAACTGTTTCTGATGACAAACCATTCCCTAGCACATTTACCATACAACATAATGACAATAGAATGAAAATACTCTGTAATATGCAATAACATAATATGCACAACATTGGAACCTATTAAATACCCTTTGTGAACTCTAATCTGTAATCATTTTTACACTATCGCTGACAGTCATAATGTATGGGATGCACAATAAACTAGCCGTTGTCCGCATTTCAAATTTTTAGTATAATTTGATGAAGTTGAATTATTTATAAAATGTAAATTTATTAAACAAAATAAATACCTGAAATATAAAAAACTCATTTCATCATTTAATATTAAAAACTAATTTCGTCTCCCGTTAGAAATATGATGTTTACTAATGGTCAAGCTTAAAACAGCAGCGGCTGATGGGTGAATGAGGACGTAATGCTTAACTGACTACAACGTGTTGGTGCCGATGAAGTTGTAATATCCTTGGGTATAACAATGAAGCTGGTAAGCTGATCTACTGTGTGTTGTAGATAAATATTAAGTTTAAGCTAAATAGACTAAGGAATGTTTGAATATAGAAGCCAGGCAATACTGCTGTTAGCCCAGCCCGGCGCGGGTTACCGTCAGTATTAAAGAAAGGTAGCCAACAATTAGTACCTATTACTCTAATATGGAACATCCCTGAGTTATTATTACGGTAAAGGTGTAGAAGAGGGTGACCTCCAGAAGGAATTGTCCGAATTGGTTGAATTTTTTTCTAAACACTTCTATCATGATATTGAACACAAAAATTTTGACAATGCATAGAACCTAATAGAACCTGACCTAACATACCCATAGGTTGGGTATGTTAGGTCAGGTTCTGTGCATTATCGTGTTAATTTATGTGTTAAACTACTTACCTTAATATTGAGGTTGATATACATCAGCAATGGTGAGGAGGATTACATGGAAGCGCTCATCATCATTTAGGAAACGTCTCTTGAAGAGGGATTCAGCGAGGTAAACAACAAAAATAGAGCTGTTATTGGCTAAGTTCCTGCTATCGCTATTTGGTAAATATTCGTCCACTGGCTATCCTCAGGTTTTGGTACGAGTATAGGTTTTTTTTTTCGGTGTGTTTTACTCAAATCTGACATTCATTTCTTTTGCAATTTAGCGGTTTTAGCAAAAAATTCGCATTTTAATTTTTAACAAACTGTGGTATTTGTTAACTTTAGTCCTATAATTCTTTACGATAAATCTGGCAACATATGTGAAATCTACAGAAAATTCTAAGACAATTTTCTTCCATATTATTTCCATTGCAAATGCATAATAAAGAAGATATGGCGCTCAAAAGTTTTGGTTAGGAAATTAACCTCGACATATCGCCATTGTCAGGTGACCCGCTGTCATCTTCAGAAATCCAGTTGCGCATGTGCCGGACAGCTCTACTCAACCACCCACTTCATTTCCGGCCAATTAAATTCGTTTTGTTTGAATTACCCATCGTCCACTATCAAAGATTTTCAGTTGCAGTGTGGCTGCTTTGTGTAACAGGTGTAATTTTCTTTATTTTGACTTGCTGGCCTGTTTTAATCAGCAAGAGGATATATTTTTACAGTTTTTACGTTTTCACAGTAGTGTACAGTATACTACTGACTTGTGTGTTGTGACCTAAGTGCTCCAAACCCTGTGTTTTTTGCCCAAAACAAAAACAGTGGCGTTTTACTAGTTCATATGTCATTCATAAAACAAAAACAAAAAAGACGTTTTTGTGCGTATGAAATGTGTGACCGCAAGGGCTCTTTTATCGAAGGAACACATGTTAGGATGGGTTAGGTTAGGATGCATATTTTAGTTTTTCTTATGTGTTTTGCTGTGTTTTGAATGAATTTGGCCTTCAAAACTGGCACAAATCACTCGTTTTTGAGTTTCCCCCCCACCCTCATTATTGTTGGGGATAGGGGGGATCATAACTCAAAAAAAAAATTGTGACAGTTTTGAAGGTCAAATTCATTCAAAAAACAGCAAAACACATAGGAAAAATATATTTTTGAGTCCTTAGAAGATGAAAAGATTACAAATAACATCTACCAAACCTGCTAATTTGCACAAAATTGAAGGTCAAATTTGAGTAAAACACACCAAATATACACCAAATAACCCTATTCTTATACCAAAGGAACCAACCAACCAACCTATCTAACCTATCCTAACCTAACTCCACCCTACTTTACCTAGCCTAACCTTACCTACAAGGGGGAGGAGGTGACAACTGACTCGAAAGTGAAGAGTATAACCTCAGCTAAACATTGCGGGAACCTGCTGACAGCCAACTGATGAATATTAACCCGCCATTTTACTGTGAGTATGCTCTGATTGGCTAATTAAAATAAAAACGACAATGCACAGAACCTATTATTACATAATATTCGGCCAATCAGCGTGAGTGCTGATGTGACGTAATACTTGTGCACCAATCAGTGCAAGTCTCAATTTGTGGGCAGTTGGAACATGGCGTCTGTGTGAGAAGGATGTGCATTGGCTGACTGGCATGTTATTCAGCGCATTTTGGACAATGAAGCAGCAGCCATTTTCATTTTTAGGGCTCATGGTGTTCATGTTTCATCTGTAAAGTGTCTGAGATGTAATTCAAGTGTGTGTGTGCGTGCGTGTGCATAGAATGGTTGCTCGGAAACGTTCCTGTGTATGAAACGATCATTTTGTAAACACTCAAAATGACATTAGTGAGATGCTGTGGAAGGAAGTAGATTAGTATTTAGGATGAATAAAGTTGCCAAAATAATGTGAAAATTGCAATTCCTTGTCTTAATTTGTAATTTTCTTGAGGTAAGAAAGAAGTTGCATTTGATAGAAAGCTATTTAAAGATGGTTGGTGTACTTATGCAAGCATCCTAAGGTATTACCCATGATTGTAGCACTAATGAACCTTGTAGCATTGCCAAATTTAGGGATTATAATTTTTTAAGCTTATGGACAAGTGATATTTTGTACACCTTGCATTTCTCAAAGAACTCCATTGATTATTTGGCAAACCATAAAAGATTTTACAAAATCTGATTCTAGACATCGTCTGCTCTTCAAAAAAGCTTAATTTATTTATTTCGTTCATGAAATCTTGAGAAATCCACTGGTCTTTAAACTTGACAATATCTGATTTTCATATCTAATGTTGTAATGTAAAGACTTGTGATGCAGAGGAGTAACCTGTGGTGTTGCAAATGGTTATTCAATTCAGGGGGTTCCCCAAATTTCCGGATTCTTACTTCGTGGTCTTCTATTATTCGCAGATGACACCCTGGATGTACCCAAGAATGTCTGTGGGTAGTTTTAAAGTTGCCGGCATTTTCGCGGCTGGGACAGGGAGCCATACGTTCTGGAGACAGTAATTTCCTTTACCTGTATTGTAAATATGTGTGTTTGTGTACACACACACACACACACACACACACACACACACACACAAAACACATACAAATAAAAAATAATTGGAAAATACTCTCACAAATAATCAGAAACAAATTTATTAAAAATGTGAGTCTGCCCTCAAGTCCATGCTTTATTACTTCAATAATAAGGCATGGACTTGAGGGTAGACTCACATTTTTAATAAACTTGTTTCTGATTATTTGTGAGAGCATTTTCCAATTATTATTTATTTGTATGTGTTTTGTGTGTGTGTGTCTACACACACACACACACACACACACACACTTATATACAATACAGGTAAAAGAAATGATTGTCCTAAAGGCAAACACATAAAGGGAATATACATATCTTTGTACACAAGTAAAAATGTCCCCCGAATTTGGGTGGTCTCCTGTACTCGAAAATATGCTGATTAACATTCATTGGAATGAATCGCTGACATGAAGGTACCTGTCAGTGTCTTAAAAGTTTAGATGATACAGTATAGTAATGCAGTACTGTACTGTAGTTTCCTTTTTTATTGTAATTTGTGCATTATTTGTTAATTATCAGAAAAAATATTTGTTTGGTATCTTCTACCAATAAATACAGTAGTAATATTTGTATTTTATAGGGAGTTTATTTTTTTTTAAGTTGAGGGAGTGGTTAAGGTTAGTTGCTCGTGTTTTTGGTTTGGTTTCGTTACTATTTATGTAAAGAAGAATGTGACATTAGAGGCACAGTACAGTGCAAGTATTATGTGTGGTTTATAAGTCCATACAAGACAGATAATGTATCTTTTTCATTGGGTTTTAAACCTTTTTGTTATTCTTTTATGAAAGTTTTTTGTTAATTTTGTTATTTTACTCAAAAAGCATCATAGCTAATGTTAATGACTGTTGTAATATAGCATTACTGTATCTGGAAGACCTGATTTATGTATGTAGTATTTTAATACAACTAACAAATTATATAAAGAATTAATACTGTATATTCCAATCTGTCAGTACTGCCTAAGTGGGCATCCCAACAAGCCATGCAATGTTGTGACATTCAAAAGCTGCACACTGATGCTGGACTGTGGCTTGGACATGTCCAGTGTGAGTCACTTCCTCCCACTACCGCTTGTGGCATCACAGAGGCTCAGCAACCTCAGCACCTGGGTGCCACGTGATGCTGACTCACAGCTTGAAGGGGTAAGAAATTGATACCTGGTGAAAGTGTATTAATATTCTCCAAATTTTGCCACCATACAGTACAGTACATAAATATTCCTTAATTTTTCTGTTATTTACCTTTTTTCTGGGAGATGAAGAAAGCACCTTGCTGCCAGTTTATGTTTTAACAAAGAACAATACTTAACCCTTAAACTGCAACATGCATCATGTGATGACATGAGTTTTGTACCAAAATTACCATTCATAAAGTGTTTCACTTGTCCCAGTAAGCCTCCTCATGCTATCCACACCTCAGTTGTCTTTCATTCATAATGGATGGTGCATGTTCCTTGCTATTAGTGGCAGTCTGCCTCCCACCACCCCCAGATCCTCCCTCCATGCCCTAGTCTCTCAGCCCCCACACTTTTACTGAAGCATTTTATCATGGGAAAATAAATCTGGATATCTTAAATTTTATAAGATTATGATAGTTACTTTCCTTTTACCTGTTGTAATCACTGATGAAGATTCTGTTTACGGGTTAAGTTTTCAAACCCAAATGGTCTTTTCTCCTTTTATTTAAAAAATAAGCTACCTGTATTGTACAATAACTAGGATATCACCGTAATTAATGCTATGAGCTATGAGAGTTAATAAAGGATGAAGCATAAGTGGTAACGAGCCTCGTGAACACACATTTGACATGGGCGAGAGACTGGTACAAACTGGCAGAAGCCGGCTACTTAATTGCTGACCCTTGCATTCAAGGTGTGGGACGAACAGTGGAAAAACACTGTTACATGTATAGTTATGACTACTCACTGTTCATAGGCTAGTTACCGTGGGAGATGGAATTATATAAACAATGTATGTAGCCCACATTTATATAGTATTACTGTCTGTTGATAAGGGCTAGTACAGTATGTTTTAAGAGTCTTTTTTCATGTTTTTTACACCCACACACACACACATTGGTATCCTGGTTTGCCTGTAGTAAAAAAGTGGAATGGTTAAAACTGGATCAATTATTACCTAGTTCTTTTTAGGTGTAATGTTAAGAGAAGTGTACCAGTATTAGTTTCCATAGGAGAACTACTGTAGTAGAGTATGGTTGTGAAGTTCTACCTGAATATTTGTGTGGTGAATTTTTCTTAAAATTTCAGAGATGAAAACCATTGGTTGCTGGAAATTAATGTGAAGGAATGAATATAGGATCTTGTTTATTAAGTTTTTTAAATTTAAAAACATCCTACTATAAAATATGCATAAAATTTGCCTGATGGCGACTGGGTTACCACAGCACCAGGTAATCATGGCTAATACACACAAGTGTGAAAAATGGCCATAAAATGGTGATGATGAAGAATGTTATATCAACTTTTCCAGTGTTCATCTTCACAGTACAGTCACTACACTAAAACATTAAATACTTGTAGGAATAAGAAGTAGTTTAAAAAAAGAGTTGTAGGGAGAGTTGAGGTAAGATACCAAAGGATTATTTACAAAAGAGATTACTGGGTATATGTTAGGAAGTAATATGTTCTGTGCCACATATATGAGTGTAGAATTTGAAGGAGGATCAGCTCGAACCTCCTTTTAATGTTTTGAGAAATTATGTATAGAATATTTGTAAACACATTTCAAGTAGTTTTATGCAATTTTAAATAGCATGCGGTGGTGTGTAATACTGGTACTGTATTGTAACTAAAATGTATTCAACTACCCTGTATACTGTACATGTACTAGACATTTAAAAAAAAAATAAGTATAATGTACTGTACTTTAAGATTAAAGTCTTTTAAATATTTTTCCAGGAACTGAAAGAATGTATGAACAGAATATTTGTGGACTCTCCCCCTGAGTTTGTGCCCCCAACGTCAGGCTTGGTGGACTTCTCGGAGGTAGATGCCATAATGGTGTCAAATTACCATAGTATGCTGGCACTACCTTTCATCACTAATGGCACTGGTTTCAAGGGTGTTGTGTTCATGACTGAACCAACCATGCAAATAGGAAGGTGTGTTCATTGTACCTGTACTGTACTGTGAACTTTTACAGTCTATAGGTTGTCAACAAGTGACCTTTAAGATACATCAACTGAAAACCCACTACCAGTGTTTGTCATGGACAGGGGGCTAGACATGTTCAAGTGGTAGGTTATGATGTCTCGTGGATTAAAGTATACATTTTGTAAATAAGCTTCTTGCCCAACAAATCAGGTTCACATCAGGGCTTCAAACATTTTGCTTGCTACATACAGGTGGACCTTGATTTATGAATGAAAACTCCATTTTTTTCTACTAGTACCACCAGTAAGCTTAATTATTTCACTATTCTCTAACACTCACAATGTTATTAGGTCTACAGATTAACTTTCAATGTGTCTCCATTCTCTTACAATCACCATATAACTTACTGGTACTCCTCAGACTCACTGAAGACATGTAGCCTTGTCTCCACCAGCTTAAAGTCACTCGGTCACTTGCCTGATTATCCAATTTCTTCTCATTTATTTTCATGCAAAATGTGGACATTTACATTAAAGAAAATTGTTCTGTGCGTATTCTTCATTTTTTTTATGCTAATTATGCACAATAAATGTGTAGAGTTGTAAGAGACAGTGTTTATTATTATCCAATAATAAACACTCATTTACAATCATTGTTTAAACCAAAAAACTTATTCCCTTGCATTTGTGTTATTTTAAGATTTGTTCCCCCCATAGGAATGTATGTCAGCTTTTATATGGAAGTCTATGGAAAATATGCTTCATTGTATGAAAAATATGCTTAATTTTTTGAAAGGAATGGTTTCTTAGGAACAGAACTTTTTCATAAAGTGGGGAATATCTTTAAGACAGCCAGCTAGGCTTCAGGATAATCCATCCAAAACCCAAGATAAAATCATCCCTTACCTTACCTTGAAGCACTTGTTAATAACTAAGTGAAAGATGATTTGACCCTTATACTGTAATTACTTTTCATGAGCCAACCCAACAACGTCTCCTGTTAGATAATTATTGTCTATGGCTCGACTGGTGGATCATCACTGGTGGCTTCCTTGATTGACTATGCAACTTATTTTTGCTGTTTACATTTGTCCTTTTAAAGAATTAAAACATTTTAAGCAGATCTAGCCTTACATTATTGAAGCATCATTTTAATGGTTCAGATCCCATGATGCCATCTTGAAGTTATCTGTAACACTGTAGGAGAGGAGCTTGATCTTTCTTTAATAGCCTTACTTGGTGTCTTGAAGAACTTGAAACTAGATTATGCAGTACTAGGAGGCATTTGGTGGTTGGGATTTAGTGATGAATTTAATTGTCTTTATTCATTGGGCCCTATCCATTGCACCAGTATATCTCTGTTGTTTCATGAGACATGTGTTTCCTAGAAGTGCTATTGGCAGGTAGCTAAAAATCTGTTATGATTGTGACATGAGACGTTGAACCCTCTCTGACTGTAGAAGCATCAATGGGCCAGAAGTTCAAAGTAATATTCTGTTCTTCAATTTTGGTTTGCTGAGGAAGAATCATTTTTACAGAAGTTTGGCAGTGTAACTTACTTTTGGAACTTATCAAGCCTTCTGGTGATGGTGAGCACTGGCAGATGGGTTACATTGAGGTCACTTATCTCCTTCCCAGGCATCTTCCTTGGGCTACAAAATGAAATTTCATTCTTCAGTCCTCCCCTTTTTAATTGTACTGTAGTTTATGTTAATAATGTTTCACAAGTGCTATGTTTCACTGTCATAGGGACCTCCTATCTGAGAGGGTGGCTAAGAAAAATAAGCCTCTAGGTGACCATCTCTACAGACTGTATCTCCATTGTCCTCTTTATAGTACTCCATATTGTCTCGGTTTTCTCCTCAATGTATTGTTCCACCTTTCTGTTTCTTGATGTAGGTTGTTTCTCTTTACCATCAATAATAGAAAATACAGAATTAGAATTTTGAAAACATTATTATTATTATTATTTATTTATTTTATTTTATTTTTTCATTGTCAGTCTCTAGATTATTGGCACATCACAATTCTTCTCCTTTCCCAATATTGGCAGGAATTTGTTTATTTTTTATATATAGTACTACAGTCTGTGCTATTGTAAATCCATCTTTGGTGAATGAAAAAAATAATGTTTTCCATGAATAAGAATTTTAATTGAAGCACTAACAAACATACTCATTGCATCACAGGGTGTTGAAAATATGAAGTTCTCTCTGGGAGATGAGGTGGTGGTGATGTGTCACTGTAATAAACCCTGGGAGACTAACATGCCTCAGGCATCTGAAAACATTTTACAGGTTGCCCAAATTTGCCAGTACTGTATTAGAAATGTTGAGATTAGAGGAGATATAGATGCATTGCCAGGATTCTAGTGGTAATTGTAGACTCATGCGCCATAGTTTTGATGCACCCTCTATCCCTACTCCTGGCTCGAGGGAAGTTGTAGTCAGTGCTGCAAACCGAACGATCCCTCTTGTATAGTGATGGTAAATAAAGTGCTGTGAAGTCACTAAAAAAATCTGCATCATGCATTATTCTCTCAAATATTACATCATGAACTTCTATTCATACAATCCAGCAAAGCTCCAAGCTACCACATTGCACCACTGAATGATGGGTGGGGAGGAAGTGAGAGGGGGGGATGGGGGGTTCAGTATGAAGCCAAGGCTACGACTTCCATCGAATCAGGAGTACGGGTAGAGGGTGTATCGAAACTATGGCGCGTGAGTGTACACTGGAACATTCATAATACTCAATGTGTTATAATTTTATAAGTCCCACAATACCTAATAGTACCGTAATTTTGTCTTTATTTTAAAAATATTTTGTATTTATCACAACGAGTATTGGCTGATGATGCAGAGTAATTGGTAGTGAAGGCAGTTGATATAAATGGTCTTTAAGGTGCATTACCATCATCCCTCACCTTAGCTTTTCCATATACAGTATATACTGTAGTACCAGTAGATCCACAGATAATGTATCTGCAGTCACAATACAGGGTATTCCTAACAGTGTTCCTTGTCTGACAAATTTTGTAAATGTGTCTACATTAGGTTTTGGAAGTGAAAATTGTATGGATTTATGTATTTCTTAAAATGAAATTAACTGGGATTTTATAATAGGGCTTTATTTTTCTTTATCAGCCAATGCTGAAGATGATGATGATGATCATCATCATCATCACCATAATTTTATGGCATTTTATGGTACAGTATTGTAATTATAATTTTGTTTTGATCTTATGTCATTTTTACCACTCATTTTAACTGGTATTATATGTTTACTGTATTAATACAAGCATCTAACACTCAATGAGAATCATAAACCTTTGGTTAAAAGCAACTCATATGCCATTTCTGAAATGTTGTTCATTAATGCTTCAGGTTATTCATGGAGGAGCTTGTGGAATATATAGAGCGGACACCAAAGGCCAGACATGCCTACCGCTGGAAACATTACTTGCGCTCCCTCCCAACTCCACTCTCTGATGCCAAGGCACCTAAGACATGGCAGCCAGCATATTCCTTGAAGGCTATAAGTGCTGCCCTTTCCCATGTTCAAATTCTTGCATATAATGAGAAAGTTGTGAGTATTTTTCAGTTAACAGCTGTTGATTGTGAATATTTATAGCAAGGTTTTTATCATATTAACCCTTAGGCCCCGGGTGATGTTCCAGAACGTCCAAGTAGCGCGCCCCAGGTGACGTTCCAGAACGTCCACCTATTTTCCTGCCATTTTTTTTATTTTAATATTTTTTATTTATTTATTTATTTTTTTATTAATTTTTGGAAAAGTAGATTTTTTTCTTGATTTATCTCAGCGGAGAGGGAACTGCCAACAGCACCCTAACTCGGGGCTCAAGGGTTAAGTTTAGGTTTTGACCTTACTTTGTGATGCTAAGTTTCTTGGGAACCTGGATATTAATCAATTTGCGGATGGTGTTTTCAGGTTAAGGGGACTTGAAGTAACTCAGAAATTTTAATACCATAAGAATTATGAGAAATATTAAAAATAAGTTGGAGCTGAAAAAGTTTAATCATTTTTTAATTATGTGATGATTTTCAGGATATATGTGGAGCACTGAAGGTGACAGCAGTGAGTTCTGGATTCTGCTTAGGCAGTTGCAACTGGCTCATATGTTCAGAACATGAAAAGGTTTGATACATTTAGATGTTGTGTACAATTTATAAATGTAATACTGTACTGTACTGTACTGTATTGATATATGACGTAAAAGGTTTCTTGTACATATGATAGTTACCGTATATTTCGGTGGATAAGACAACACTTGAATCATTAAAAAACCACCCTAAAACCAGGGGCCATCTTATAGGCCTGATACATAATTCAAAGTACAAAAAAGTGACCTAAAAATTCCATACAAATTACCTTAATGATGTGGGTCAGCGAAGGTAGCTGGGGTTATCAATCTTGTAATAACTGTTGTAGTGTTTATTTCACACTAAAATCCATAAACCAATATGGTGTTAAACCAATGAAAGCATTGTAAAAAACAAAAACAAAACATACATTTGAAATCCATCAAATTCACTAGCTTCATTGTCTGAAGCAAAGAGCTCGTCATACACATCCTGAGTCATTGTTTATGTTGTCGTCGTAGGAGTCCCAATCTGAATCTGGTCGTTGGCTTCGGCTTCGTCGTCAGTGTCCCACAACAAATCATCCTCTATACCATCCATTGCATTCGAGATACCACACTTTTTGAAAGATATTGTTACAGTCTCTACTTTCATGTTATCCCATGCTTTGATCACAACCTCACACAGCACATCAAGTGATGCAACATGCATAGCCCCACTTTTTGTAAAGGATTTTTCATCATCCATCATCCAATTATTCCATTCTTCACACACATTATCTTTAAATGGTTTATTCAGGCAAATGTCCAGTGGTTGCCGTATCACTACCGAAGATAGTCTACTCATGGTATTTACCTTATTGGTATGCCACTCTGACAACATAATTCAAATGATTTACTGTTAATACATTAAATATTCAAAGTATTTCATACATTAAACATATCACCATAATGGTGGTTTGGTAGTCATTGACCTAAACTTTACCATAAGTGGTTTGGTAGTCTGGGAAATTGTCTTATACCACAGATATGAGCTAAAACCGTGAAATTTGGGCTTCGTCTGATCCCAAGGTTGCCTAAACCGCCATAATACAGTATACGGTAACTGGGATTTTTCATAGCAGATTTATTTCAATGTTTTTCTTTGATTAAGTAACTTCATTCAAAGAAAACTGCTAAATTTTATTTGAGCCCCATTCCCTCAAAAATTTATTTAAAGAGAAATTATTTTTTTTTTATCCTATATAATTATAAATTATCCAAATTTTTAAGTTACCTAAGTACATTGTATTTCCAGCTTGCTTATCTCAGTGGCTCCTCAACATTGACAACCCATCCTCGTCCCATTGACCAGAGCTCCCTAAAGAACGCTGATGTGCTCATCATGACTGCACTCAACCACACCCCAATGTACAATCCTGATTCAATGTTGGGAGAGTTTTGTGTGGCAGTTGGTGAGAATTATTTATACAGTACTGTACATTTGCTGTAGGCAGGAGAGAGTGATGTAAGCAAGGTTCAGAAATCAGCTTAAACCAGAGTGTAGAAAATGTTGAAAGAGAACTGCAATTAAGTCAAACCAGAAAGCCCTCTCATTTTACCAAGTCACAGACAAAGACACGTATAAGTGCATCAGATTTGACACTTGAAGATGAGTTTTGTAAAGTCATACCAAAACAAAACAGAGGCCCTTAATGAATTGTTTTCCTCATCATTCACTCCTTTTCTAGGGGGTCTGCTGTCTCTTGTGTGTAGGGCAAAAGAGTTAGCAGTATTACCACATTATATAATCAGAAAAGGTTGACCAAAATTTAGTGTGTGGTTGTGATACAAGATTTTCTCTGGCCTGCTGCGAGTTGTGTATGTTGAATAACACACCTAAAAACTTTTACTCGCAGAATCAGTATTTAAATTGAAAATACAGCTTTAATAAAAAATAATTATGTTGAACATTTAATGGTATCAGCAGGAAGGTGTACAAGTTATGTGAACAGTAATCCATGGTTGATATGCTGTATATTCTTAGGTTCCTAGAAACAATGCACAAGCAATTTTTTATTATCTCAGTAAAAAATTAATAGGAAAAAGGTGCACAGTTAGCTGTAGCCAGAGGAAATAACCTTTAATAGAAACATACATGGGATACAGCAATGTATCATAAAGTACTGTATGCCATTTTTGCATTTTCTCACACTCAGTAAAACATTATCAACATAGATGAAAAAATCGACCTACATAGTAGAACAAACTTATGTTGTCGGCTGAACTTAAGGCCCTCGAAGGCCAGGGTCTTGGGAGGGCATTGTGTCAGTTTGGAGTAGATGGACATGCTGAAGCTCATGGGCAAGGGAATGGGACCAGGAGCTGTGGGAGGAAGATGAATAGGGTCTGGTGGATGACTACTGTCGAGAAAACTTGGTGATGGAGGATGTTGAGAGCTTGAGGTGTAGACCCTGAGGCCTTATTTTTGGGAATTTGGAGGACTTCATAACTGGTCTAAGTCAGAAGCTGGTTTTTTTTTTACTTGTGATTCCTAAAGACTTTCAAGACACTAATAACAGGTGGGAGATTGAAGGCAAAAGCAGATCCACTAGTGAATACAAGGAATGGGTACCGTATGCTGAAATTTGAACATTAAAAAAATCTGCCCAAAGTTAGGGGGTCGTCTAAAAGGGACTCTTAAATATTGTGGTTTAGACCATTCAAATTAAGATTACCGGTATATTAAATAATAAAAATGTATATAAACCTGTCTAAATACCGTAAAAGAGATTTAGAATAAACACAGCTATCATCACACACCCCTCCCCACGCCCCCCCCCCCATTTGCCAGTGAGGAGCCGTGGAGGTGGTCAGTAATGCATACCGGTATCGGTATATTTACTCATAATAATATTTATCTCCTATAAATAATTGATTTAAATTTTATTTTTTTCCAAAGAATATTCAGTAAATGAGTGCATTAATTCTTGAAACTATCGACGGTTAATTACAGACGCTCAAGTGACGTCACTAGTGTTTACACTACACCAGCTGGTAATATTTGATGCCATTACTTGAAGTGAATTGGCCTTATTTTAAGTAACTAACTATAAATAAATACAAAAATTAAAAAAAAAGATCAAAACTGAGAAATAATATACTGTATGTATGTTGTGTTGTCAAAGTAAGAGGAACAATTGTGTAAGTACGTAATATTTTTTCACTCAAATCCTAATGAAACACTACTGGAGAACATTCCTTTGTCGCAAAACAGTTTATAAATTAAAGAAAATAATTACAGTGTGTTTAATATATTACAGTATATTATAAATAAATAAATAAAACAAATAATTCGGTAAATCTATTTAAAGTAAATGGAAAATAAGCAAACATGTTATTTACCAAGACCCTTCCGTCTGGCTCAGGGTGAGATGGAGGGGAGATAAAGAAGGCTATTTATAGCCCATCAGAAGTGACCAGTACCCTAATGCACCATAAATAATTCATTGAACATTCATTTTTTGTACATAGTATATTCAGTATATATATATATATATATATATATATATATATATATATATATATATATATATATATATATATATATATATATATATATATATATATATATATATATATATATATATATATATATATATATATATATATATATATATATATATATATTTGTGTAATAAATGTATGTAGTAAGTACATACTGGTAACCTTTTTCACTCAAATCCTAATGAAACACCACAATTAGAATACGGTGGTTGCTGTTGAACCACATGTTGTATAAATAGTCACACCACCGAGACGAGGGAACACTCCCACACGCTTCAGTGACGTCACTAGTGTTTACACTACACCAGCGGGTATAATTTGATGACATTACTTGAAGTGAATTGGCCTTATTTTAAAAAATCAAGGATGGTTGGTAAAGGACTACTGAGTCAGTGGGTAAGTGTCACATTTGGGGTACTGGTCTTATACAGCAAATAGAGCTCAAAAGCTACTTTTTAAATGGAAATTTGGGGGGGGCGTCTTATGCACCCCGCCGCCTTATAGGCCGTGATATCGGTAATCCATTTCCTGCAAGTGATCAGTCCCATGAGTAAACAGTAAAATTGCTAAGTGCTTGCTGAAGGTTGCTCAAGTGTTTTAAAGTGTATATTAACCAGTAGTATGCATAAATTGATCTATTTTTTTCCCTCTTTATCATTCACATCATATCATAATTACTATGTTTTGGTCATAAGAGATTCATAAGTATAATTGGTATGTATGATTAGCTGGTTGTGAGCAATTTATTGATGTATTTTATTGTAAATAGTTCATGATATGTGAAATTGATTCTTTTGTTCAAGAGTAAAGGGTTATTTTATTTTGGCATTAAAACTTATGACATTAAGAAGCACCATTTAGTTTTATGAAAATTTCCAACTTTCAGTCAATGTGTGTGTGTGTGCCTGAATGATTTATGTACACTGTACTGAACATACTTTTTTCTATATACAGTACATGCTGAACTGTTTACCTGCATTGCCTATATACATGTTGAACTGTATACATGCATTGTCTGTATACTGTACATGTCAAATCAATAGTAAACTTGTATGATAATTTTATTGATATCTCACTGTCTATTAAAATGAATATTTCAATCAGATCATAGAACCCTGATCTTGTATACTAAATAAGTCTTTTTTTCAGCCCAAACTGTTCGAAATGGTGGTAATGCTCTTGTTCCATGTTATCCAAGTGGAGTTGTCTACGATCTTTTTGAGTGTTTGTCTAACCATCTTGACAACATTGGCTTATCGCTCATACCAATGTATTTTGTTTCACCTAAGGCTGAGAACTCATTAGCTTACTCAAACATCTTTTCTGAATGGTAAGTTGTCACACTGAGGGAAGAAAATTGGTTGGGCATAAGAGAAATTTCCTAACCCAGCCCAACCCATGCCAACCCAACCTAGTGGAATGATGGAGTATAGGAATATTTTTTATACCAATCAACTATCTGTATCTTATTCTTTCTTTTCTCTCTCTTTTGGACATACCTGTAGTATTATTTTAGTTGAAAATATACAACACAATGTGTATTAACAGTTACTGGGCAAAAATTTCACACATTACATTTCAGAAGGTGTTACCTATACATAGTTAGCAGTACTGTATTAGTATAGAAAATGTTAAATGGAGCACGTCGTACAGTGAGCATGTACATCACGGTTGGTGTCACTGTAGTCAATGATAACAGAACTGTAATAAAGAAGAACTTAAGGGTTACAATTCCATTACACTATATAAATGAAAATTATTATAATATGAACCATAACCAAACAAACCCAGCCTAACAATAACCAAACCCAGCACTTCAGCATTTTCCACTTATGTGAAAACACTACAAAAAGTGGAAAAAATAAATTAACTGGATTTTTTGTAGATAAATCAAAACATGGAGCAATTTTATTTAATGTTTCTTTTTTTTTTCATATCAGCTTTTCGTTAATCAGGAACCGCCTGTAGTCGAAACCATGAATCTTCATTATGTGAATGGTGAGGGAAAGGCATAATGTGATCATGTTGCAGCTGCTTGGGTTTGATAAACCAAACCTTGGATATTTTATTGCTAAATGTATCAGTTATTTCTCAAGAGTCAGGCATATTTTAATGGAAGGGCAGTGATTATGAGAGAATAAAATTAGCATGAGAGGGGATAGCAAATTAAGGAGTTAAATAGGAGTGATGGTCCTGGATTCTAACTGGTAGCAGTAAGCCTGGGGGTGGTGTGTGCTGCATGAGTTTACCACCTTGTCATGCCTCTATATCAGACGTACTAAATAAAATTTTCCCATTGAAATAATTATGGTTTGCAGCAATACAAATTTAAATCTGTATTACTGATGCAGATATGATTGTAACTGTATTTTTAAAGATTCTCTTACAATTTACTGTACAGTACAGTATGTTATAAATGATGCAAGAGTTAAATTACTTTTGAAACATTTCAGTATTGATAGTTAATATTTTAGAGCAGGGGTTCTCAACCAGGGGGGAATTTCCCCCCTCAGGTTTTCAGGGTGGGGGGGAAAACTGATACTAATATGGAAAAAATAAAGGATTTTCAGTATTATATGCATATTATTTGGAATGCACTTTTTGAGGCAGACAATCTTGGAAAGGAGGGGGGAATGACATTCTGACATATGGTGAAAGGGGTGCATGGGGCAAACAAGGTTGAGAACCACTGTTTTAGAGGCTGTATGAATTCTACTTCTGGAGTTAATAATGATAATAATAATAATAATACAGTGGTCCCTCGGATAACGAGCGCCTCGGTTAACGAGATTTCAGTAAACAAATTACCTTTCATAAGATTCTTAACTTCGGTTAACGAGCAATCCCTCGATTAACGAGTTTCTTACGAGCCGATCTGAACATGTTTTCGCTTGCATTTGGCGGTCCACCAGCTGTAGTATTAGTCCGCCAATACAGTAATCGGTTCTAGGGCTTAAATTCCTTACCATTTTAGCAAATGTCAAGAAGTTTATACTATTCAATAATTTTAAAAGTTTAATATTAAATTTTTTAGTCATTTTAACAATTTTTGAACATAAGTGAAGGTAATGAAACTAGTTTTATGCGCGCCATCCAGCCTCTCAACACACCATTCAGGCGTCAGTCTTTGTGTCTTTTCAGTGGAGGTAACATCTTGCTTGAGATTCTCTTCAACTAAATGCTTTTTTCTGTGTTTGCAAGCAAATTATTGGTCATTTTGAAATTTATTTTACATATTGACAATATATAATGCAGTGAGGTGTTGATTTAAAGAAAATAATCATGAATTACACCAAGAGAACTAAAATTTTATGGGTGAAATGGCACCATGGGGTGACTTCTCTTCCACCCCAATGCCTTCTCTTCTCCCTTCTCCTTCACCCCCATTCTAATTCCCATCATCATCATCATCATCATCCAGGAGCCTTCTACATACACACCTCAAAGTAAGTGTACTTTTCTACATTTTTTGTTGAATTTAGGCAATTTTCGGTGAGCTGGAACCAATTACCCAAAAACCCATTGAAACAATGGTTTCGGTTAACGAGCAACCTTCTAGAATGGATTGTGCTCGTTAACCGAGGGACCACTGTAATAATAATAATAATGATAATAATAATAATAATAATAATAATAATAATAATAATAATAATAATATGGATTCAGCCATTTACTTAATGAGAAATACTGTTACTTTATTTTGACTTGCAGGTTATCATCTAGTAAAGAAGGGAAAGTGTATAGCCTGGATGACCCATTCCCACACGCTCACCTCACACGTCATGGCAGACTCAAACCATTTAAGAGTTTACATGCAGAGGGCTTTAGTAGTGAATATAGACAGGTGAAAAATTAAAGGTTTCTTCATGAATATTCTCATACAATAATGGTAATTCATCACCTTTCAGTTGTGCCCAGTCAGGGTCAATAATAATTCTTGGTATACATGTGAAGTACAGTACTGTATTCCTAAGATTCTCAAAATTTTGTATAAATAGGTTTGTGCAGTAATCATTTAATTTGTTAAATGTATACCTGCACTTGATAATATTGCCCTATATTTTTGTTATTAAAATTTTATTCTTGTTTGATAGCCATGCATAGTATTTTGTGGACATCCAAGTCTACGCTTTGGTGATGCTGTCCACTTCATAGATATGTGGGGGAACAACCCTCAGAATGCTATCCTTTTTACAGGTAACTAATTTGTTGTGGAATTGAACATAGATTCTTGAAAGAGTAATCCAGGGAAGTGGAAATATTAATGAATAGGAAAAAACGTAGTGAAAATTTTTGAAATCATTGGACAGTGTTTACAAGGTGAGGACTTGTGAAGGATGGGGATTATAAAGAAGAACCATAGAGTTACTTGTAAAAGATGGAAGTTTTGATAATATGGAAAGACATATCAAGGGACATATTTCATTAGTGGGGATATTATCTACTTTTCAGAACCTGAGTTTGAATTCGTTGAGGCCCTTGCACCTTACCAGCCTCTGGTTATGCGTCCAGTGTACTGCCCTATTGACACCAGTCTTGACTTCACTCAGGTACAGTACTGTGTTTCTTGTGCTTTTGTAATTATTATATTTATATTTGTTAGTTGTGTTGACATGAAGGTACAGTACAGTACTCCCTCTTTATCGACGGATTTTTTATCGACGGTTTCGATTATCGACGGATTATTTAGCCGGATTTTTATTTTGAAATGTGCTTGATATAATACATTCACGGAAATGTAATATTTTTGCTAAAATGACGTATGTATTACAGTGGAAAGTGGGATCAAATCGTGACGAAAACAATGACTTGCGCTTTCTTTCGTTCAAAAGATGTTACCGTAATCACTTTTCGAATGGTTTAGTTAAAAAACTGTTGTATTGTATTACAATAATATCCTAATTGACTTGAATAAATATTACGATACCATATTTCTGAATATTTTCATTAAAATCCATCAAAATCATTTTCCTTGTCATCGTCTGCAGCACCAAACAGCTTCTCCCAGTCCTCTCCTTGAACAGGGCTAGAGGCTACGTGTTTTTCGAATCGTTTTCAGTTAAAAAATTATTACATCACACGTATATTTTACCTAAACTGCGCCTGAATGAATATATTCTCGGAAATAAATAGTAGTTTTGCTGAAACGTGATGTATTTCAATGTAAAATAGGATAAAATACATGACGAAAACAAAAGACTTTACCTAACCTTCCAATGTTCTTGAGATGTTACTCGTTTTTTTAATAGTTTTCGGTTAAAATTCTGTTATATTACAATGATATTCTATTCATACTGTGCTTGATATAATACATTCACGGAAATGTAATATTTTTGTTGAAATGACGTATGTATTACAGTGGAAAGTGGGATCAAATCGTGACGAAAACAATGACTTGCGCTTTCTTTCGTTCAAAAGATGTTACCGTAATCACTTTTCGAATGGTTTAGTTAAAAAACTGTTGTATTACAATAATATTCCCTCCTAATTGACTTGAATAAATACTTGAATGGAAATATACAATATTTTTGTTGAAACTACCCCCGTTTCAGTGTAAAGTGTTGTAATAATGAATGGTAAACAATTTGCCTTGGGCATCCGGATTTTTGGACTTTTACTGTACTGTACACTGTTTTGTTTACTGTAAGGACCGATGTTCACTTCAATATATGAAATCGTAAGTTTGCTAGTATTTTTGTCCACTTATTATATTATTATTTATACACTATTATTTAAGGTTATGTGTAAAGGAAACGCATTAATGCTTAAAGGTACATTTATTCAACATATGCTAATAATAGTTAGAAAAATTACGTAACCATCACGGTATCGACGGTTTCTTTATCGACGGCCGTTTACAGAACGTAACCCCCGTCGATAAAGAGGGAGTACTGTACTCTGTTCTATTTATTAATGTGATCATGAGAAACTCAATCTAGATTTAGATTAGTCACTGCATTGTGAAGACAGTTTTCAGGTGGGGTTTCTGCTTTAGTATAGTACTATATATACAGTACACAATCACATATAATTTTTCATCTGATAGTCCTCTCAATGTCGGTATATATGTGTGGAAACACACTCAAAAGATTGAGATAAAGTTGGTTTGGCTTGTTTAGGGTAATAAGTTTGTCTTTGGTAGCTTGTTAACTTGCAGTTTGGTATGGTTCAGAGATCGCCTTCCACTTTGATCAGTGTGTTTTAAATTTTTCAGGCAAGAAAACTTATTAATGAACTAAAACCTGCAAAGATGGTTGTACCAGAGGTGTACCTGAAGCCTCCAGCAAATGCACCACACAGGACAGATCTTATTCTGAACCTTGTAAGTAGTTTTACTCACAGTAGTGCTTCTCAGTTTGAGTTGCGTACTTGTGAATTTTATTCTTTGTAATTAATGGGTATACAGCTTTCATTCTTAACTGTGTCAGTCAGTGAATGGTTAAGTTTCAGCTTTGAAAGGATCATTTGCGAGTTAAAATGCCAGATTTAAGGAATTTGCAATGTGTGATGTTTTTGTAGTGTTAAGGATAGAATGTGGTCGGCTTTTATACACATCAACACAAGTATGATAGCCATGCAGACCACCACATGCATAATGTTTTATTTTGGTAAATAGCCATTACTGGTAGAGAAGTAATTAACTTCTTTAATTCTTCCATAATGTACATGAAGAGTATCTCCTGATAGCAAGTTTATGGAGATAAGAACAGTCAGTAGTGTTGGTATTTTACACCTCAGAATATAGTAGCTAAGAGACATTAAGTGGTAACACCCATAACTCACCAATATGTCAAGGGTTCGATCCTTGGCCCGGACACACGTGAGAAGGGCGTTATCCAGTGTGACCCTACCAAACACCACAGGTTTCCCAGTCCCCGGTTTCCTCCTGTATTAACTCTGGATAAACCGCCCAAGTGGCTAGTAAGCTGATAAGTGGCGAATATGAAAAAAAATAAAATACCACAGAAACCCCACTGTAAGAGAAGATAAAACACAAAAGCGAGAGCCCTGTATATATTTACTGTAACCTACGGTCCTCTTCAGCAGTGTGACAAGAACAATTGTAGAGGGAGGGCCATAGGTTACTCTCGCTTTTCTGTGTTTGATCGCCTCCTACAGTGGAATTTCAGTGTGATAATATTTGTGGTATTAAACAATATATTTAATTATTTATTGAGAAGTTAAGAATGATACAGTAATAAGGTTTACTGAAGACCATTTATTTCATTCTGTATCACACATTTTCATTAAGTACATAATTTTTTTCTCAGTTAATTAATAAAGTATTGCATAGAATACATTAAATTTTAAAATTAAATTCTTTATGTAATAAAATTCATGATTTGAAGTCCGAAGTTGTGATGATACTGTGGTCTCTGTTCCAATGTCCATAACCTCTATAAATGGCCTTGCTGGCCACCCACAAATTCAGTAATTCTTGCTGTCATAGAAGAATAAACCCCCTAGTTAGTATTCCGTAAAGTAATGAACTGTAATGCTCTTGACTTTATTATGACAGGTTGTTTATAGTATATTAGTCATGTGAGAAGAAAACACTTGAATCTTCATTCTCAGGAGGAGACGCCATTGACATACAGTGAATGTCAGTTACTGAGTTTGGGGATACACCGCCGGATGGAGAGTATGAGTCTCACCCAAGAACTAGCACTCTCACTGAACCCCAGCACCATACGACCAGGACTTAACACAGCAACCATTACTGCAGCGCTCCATGTGCAGGATAACAAATACGTTTTGAAGGTACTGGTCAGTTTTCTTTAATATCACTAACTTATGTTTATGTATTCATATACAGTACTGTACTGTACTTTTGTCCATATAATTGGAACTAGCAGATTGAATATTCATGATTATTTATATAGTGGATTCACAATAATTTGTGGGTTAGGTACCAGAAGACATTGTGAATTATCATATCGTGAATTGTAGTTTAACTGATTTAAAAAGAAATATTTAGTTAAGTTTTGGAGTCTCCAAAATATGCTCAAATGTTCCAAAACTGCTTTAATAAACACTAAGCATCATACATGATACATAAAAAAATACAGTAATACATAAATAGTGTACAAAAAGTAGTTCTACAATACATAAACAGCTCCTTCCCTTCTCATAATCGTCCTCTGGTTTACACCAATAGGCCAACATTGAGACAGGAAGCATGACACTGGATGGGAGTGGGCTGGCTGGCGTCAATATGAGGCAAGGGAAAGTCCAATGTCGCTTAGCTAAGCTTAATTTTCTTACACCGAAACCCAGATTTTTTTTTTTTTTTACTAGATTTAACTTGATAACACATTGATTCATTTGAAAACACTTTGCAATTAAAATTCAGACACTTACAGTCGAGTATTTACATACACCAAGTAAAATTTACCTCCTGAATATTGGTGAGGGTGAAGGTGAACTGATACAGCACGTACTAGGTCCTGCTGAGGATGCAGAGAACTTACAAGGCACTTGGACATCTTGGTGTAGTGGAAAGAGAGAGTGGCAGGAGCTGTTGATGGGACAACATAACAAAGAGAGAGCATGGGTTGTGGGAGGGAGGGCAGTGGGAGGCTGAGGCAGGGTTTCCATCTTGCATTTTGCAGCCAATACCAAATCCACCCTTATCATTACTAAATTGAGTGTTTCATTACCCCTTTTTCTTTTCTTTTTTTAATTCATAGAAATGAAGACGATAAAGGAAATAATGATGGTTTAATTTATGTGATACGTCTGGGGTGTAATGAATCTATTGACACAGAATCACTGGGAGTTTAGTCGTACAGGGCAGCCAAGGCATCCCCTCCAGCCTTCCCCTCTGATGTACTGTGTGATCAAACAGTTCAACAGGGAATTTATAAAAAAAATTTTTTTGTGATTTCCAGGTCCTTAAAGCACATTAGCATTACCAAACCATATTTTTTTTTTACCAAATAGGTTTTTCATTGCTAAACGGGAACTTGCCCACCAAGCATGCTAACCCAGAGATTCAAACACTGCAGCAATCATCCTTTGGCTGCAAATTATGAATAGCTGACTGCAAAAAAAAAGAGGTAGTAATTGAGGTATCCGCAAATTTATGTACAGTAGCTAAAACAACTATCTGAGCAGGTGAGGGTCGATATGCTCCGAAATTTTACGTGTGACTAGTGACAGCCCTCATACCAAAATTTATCGTCCATGGTCTCATATTGTTTCCCACAAAGTATGCACAGATAGTTGTTTTAGCTACTGTACATGTATGTAAAAATGCATTTCACTAATTATTGTGACTCCACTGTATTTATAAATTTTTTTTGAATGGTAAGAGGATTAGTTGGAAAATAATAAGAGATTGAGAGACTTGTGTCCTTTGGTAATTGTAATTTTAAAGGATTTTGTTGTGCTGCAGTATGATACATAGTAGTACTCGGTGTAAGTAGTTGTGTATGAATGACTAGAGATCATAGTGCTGAGTGTCTTGTGTTTGATGTTGGGGTGATTTATAAAATGACGTGGACACACCAGATAAAGTTCTTGGGGCTTTGTTTTGGAAGGAGAATTCCATAGCTGAATCTGTGTAGGAAGACAGCTAGAAAGAAGGAATGATAGTGAGTGAGGGAGAGTCAGTGTTGCTCTTGATTCTTGCCAGTTTGTGCTGCATTAGCGAAAAGCTTACAATAATGGGTGAAAAGGAATATGGTTGTTGAAATTTCCTGAGTAAGCTGGAAGAGTATGTCTTTGTACTATATGAGCCAGTGATATAAAGAATTTCTTCCTTTATGTTGAAATTGTCTAATTTAAGTAGGATTTAGGTCTAGTAAATCTTGTGATGCAGTTTAAAAATATATCCTCTCCCAGGTGATGTGGTACTACTGGCTCAAGCATTAACTGAAATTTATAGAACTTTTAACTTAAGAAGTGAAAATAAAGGATATTAGGGGAACAAGTAATATTACCTAACCATTTTATGATAAGCTGGTCACCCACCAAAATTACTGTGGGTACAGTGTTTACTGTCTTTCATTTTGGACTTATATAAGTATTGTTCAAAGAAAATTATTCTCCTCTTTTGTCATCTGAATTGTGGTTCATGTTGGCTGCTTCCTTGCCCACACTTATACAGTATTAAGAATTGCATATGCATTCATATGAGTGAGAGCAGAAGTAAGCTGTATCATGATAGGTAAACCTTATTGAAAATGTGGAAAAATTAATTGTAAAAGATTTTTATTTAAAATAGGTAAGTTACTGATTATATGGTAGATTATGCAGATATAACCTTTTTTTATAGTTTATGCTGAAGTTCAGCACACAGGTGATTTTTTTTTTTTACATTCTCTGCATGTGCTTACAGTGTATTGTTTTTGTGTTTTACTTCTTTTATGATTTTTATCAAGAATTAGTGGGTTTTCTGGTTAATATTTTATAGATTTTCTTTGTGAACAGAAAGCTGATGAATTTTTATTTCAGCCTGTAGAAGACAGTGATGAAGAAACCCCTAACAAATTACCACGCTGTTATCCATATGGCAACTTGAATGTAGATGACTTGGTGCAGCGCCTGGCCCAGGCAGGACTTACCGATGCCAGAGTAGAGGAACTGCATGGAGTATACATCATAACATTGGTTGGTGGCAGTATTTGAAATGGAATCTCTGCATATTTATTTAAAACATCTATTGTTTTACTTCATGTAGGTGGAAAGGGAGTAAGAACTGGCAGGGAGAGAGACAGTTGAAGTTTTTCTTTTTTTTTATGAAGAAACTTTTTTACTTACATTTTGATGAACCTAGATGACATTCTGTTTTTAATATTTTTTTTTTTATTATTGAAAAATCGTTGATAGTAATAAAGTACTATACCTTGGTTAAAGGATACAGTAATCTCCAGTTAGATTTTATTAATTTCAGATCTTTAAAGTTATGAGTCATAGCAACTTTTATTGGTACAGTACAGCACATTATCAAGGAGTGTTTGGCTTGAATCACATATCAGATGAATACTTGAAGACTTGTCTACAATTGATGGGCTGGGTTATTTAATGAAAAAACATAAACTACAGGGAGTAATTTGCATTCTCAAATGCTTTAACCTGAAACATTTACAGTAATCCCTATAATTTTTGAGGTTATGTCTATGGCTACCACATAAAAGTATGATTATTTTATACAGTACTAATATGTAGGGAAAAAAGGAAGTAACTTTCAAATTAACCAGACAGCAACTAACTTCTCCTATGAATGATCAGATAAGTAGTAATACCTGTATCTCCATTAGCCGGAATCCCTCAAACCTGGAACACTCCGATAGCCGGAATTGAAATTTTACCTGACAATTTTTCCCAAAGCCGGCTTTGGGAAAAAATTTCCAAGGGGCACATTTTCTGGAAAATTCAGAGAAAAATTTTCCAGTACCTGTAAAATGCCAGGGATTGGGGGAATTTTTCCCAGGTTTGAGTGATTGGAGGAGTTTTAGTGTCTCACTTGGTTGAATTTTTACAAGTTGGTGGGAATATTGATAATTTTTTTTTTTTTTAGATATTCTGTAATGTAATTGATTCACTAGGTTTCATAGGAATTAGTGTTTGCATTTATAATTTCAGGCCAATGAGGATGTGATAATCAAAATCAGTGATGCCTCAACACACATCATATCTGGTAATGGCAAACTCCGGGAGAAGCTGAGAGACATCTTGCTCGAGTGTCTTGGCAGTTTCTGAAGACTTGGCTCCTCTTCTCTAACAATCCACGCACACATTATAATTTACTTAAGAATCTTCAAGTGTTGGTAGATAAGTACAAGACTTTCTTTTATGTTATTAAATTTCAGATTGCACATCAAGCTTCTGTATAGTAATTCAAGTTAGTTAAATTTGAATTGATTAAACTTTGTCGTGAAAATTTTTGTTTGGATTTATTAATTAAAAGTAAGAAATTTGTGGTTCCATGGAAACTGTTTTATAAGTCAGAGATAATTATATTTTTCCATAATTATATTTTCCTTTATTGGCTCCTGTTTTGAATACTGTACACACATAATGACTGATGTGTATGAATGAAGGAAAAGTGTGTTATAGAGGAGTGGATCCACATATTCAGGCCTCCACAGGTTAAGAATAGCTTTATGATAATGATATCACCTTTGGAAGGGTTAGGACGCAGTAATGAATCTTGAGTAAATCCAACCATCCTCAGCAGCAAATATTTGATTGGTGAGGTGACTTAAACACACATCACAGTGTGGTTTATTTTCTTGTTTACATGAATTTATGACTGAAAGAGGGGGGAAGATCAAGGAGGATGAAAGCAAAAGTTAAAGAAGGTGAATTTAGAAAGAGCCCTGTTTTGTATTGAAGTAATTTGAATAAAATTTTGAATTAAGTATTAATTAGATTGAATAAGTTAATTGGGATATACAGTACAGTTATCACAAATAAGCAATAGGGAACAATTGATTATTTTTGTGAATGGCACAATTAAGTCGGGCACACTTAGATTTCTGACCTACATCTCTTACCCACATCTCTTACCCTCATGATACTCGAGACTAGAGCTTAGACACAACAGTTCCCATCTAATTGGCTTGCAGCTTCTGGATTGTCACCTTGATCTTTGTCGCCTTGTGTTATTCCTTATAGAAAAAGAACATAAAGTAGAATCAAACTTAAATGCTGCAGTTGATGTTGCTGGATCAAGCAGGTAACAACCATCATATTAGCCATCAGCAATCCATGATTTTGAGGGATTTGAGGAAGAAACAGAGTTGGACAAGGAGATTGTGTCCATTGGTCAGTCAATGGGACTCGAAGTGGAGGAGGATGATGTTGAAGAGCTTGTGATGTCTCATGAGCAGGAACTTTCTCCTGAAGATTTGAAACAAATGGATGAGATGTTAGAAACAGACAGTGGTGTGGAGAAAAATGAAAGTGATGACCATATGTCTTCTTCAGACTTAAAGGATGTTGTTCACTACTGGAAGATGTTTAGGAAACTGGCTTCAAGGCACCCTGATGTGGAAACAACAGAACCGATATTGTGTGCCGTAGAGGACAAAGTGGTCTTCAAGGACCAGCTAATGATCAGGAGAAATGCCACACAGCTAACACTTGACAGCTTCTTCTCTAAAAGGCAGCGTGAGAAAGATGCTTCCCCTCAGTGTTCCTCTTCAAAAAGGAGGGAGGATTTTCATGTTAGAGAATCCGTCAGTCCAGAGGTTCCTGACATTATTATGAAAGGTGACTCATCTTCCAAGAATTATTAAAATGCTTCTCCCTTCTCCTCGTCCACCCCCCACTTCTAATTCCCATCATCATCATTAACCAGCAACATTCTACATACACACCTCAAAATAAGTGTACTTTACTGTATTTTGTTTATACTTTGTATGTACTTTTCTGTGAGCTAGAACCAATTACCAAATATCCCATTGAAATAATGGATTCGGCTAACGAACGACTCTGTGGAACGAATTGTGTTCGTTAACCGAGGGACGTGTGTGAGTGTTTGTGCATGTGTGTGCGTGCTTGTAAACATGCAGTAAGATATACAATGCAAGTCAAAAATTATGTGTAGAAACTGGCACTCTGAGGTTAACTTGTAAATGCTTACGTGTGCGCACAATATACCATCAGCATATAGAGATTTATGTACAGTTAACTCAAAAAGTTTGTTTCTTTGCAAATTTGGGTGTTTCAGACAAGGCTACAAGTGTAGTGTCATTTTCTCAGCAAATTTGGGTGTTTTGGGCACCCACGATTATATAAAGCCTTAGTGTTATTTTACTGTAAAATTTGGGTATTTCAGATAGCCAAGGTCTTGGTATCATTATCCTTGGCAAATTTGGGTGTTTCAAGCCTTGGTGTCATCTACTTGGCAAATTTGGGTGTATCAGGCACCCTAGACTATAACTTTGATGTCATGTCAGCAAATTTGGGTGTTTCAGGCCTTGGTGTCTTTTATTTGGCAAATTTGGGTGTTTCAGGCACCCAAGACTATATAGCCTTAGTGTCATTTATTTGTCAAATTTGGGTGTTTCAGGCACCCAAGACTAACTTTTCACAGCAAATTTGCGAGTTCAGTAATATAAACCAACTGTAAATTAATCCATTTATTTTTATAAATCTTACAGGTGCTTGTAGCACTATTTTTGGGTAACAAAAATGACAAGTGCCTTCTAATACAAATATATATCGACACAAAAATTTTAATATATATGTATACAGTGTATATAAGGGTGTGTGTATAAGTATGTATGAGTGTGTATGTGTGTATAAGTATGTATGTATGTGTGTGTGCATAAGTCTGTATGTATGTATGTGTGTATAAGTATGTATGTATGTGTGGGTATATGTATGTATGTATGTATGTGTGTGTGTGTGTGTGTATAAGTATGTATGTATGTGTATATATGTATGTGTGTGTACATGTATGTATGTGTATAAGTATGTATGTATGTATGTGTGTATAAGTATATGTGTGTGCATGTATAAGTATGTGTGTGTGTATAAGTATGTATGTCATGTAGATCCACAATGAAAACGTGGATAAGATAAATCTTGATAAAATCACACAGAGCAATGTTGTGAAAATGACTTTTTTTCAGGAATAAATAGGTAATGTGGGGCGTTAAGGGTGGGGTGAGTAGGTAGGTATAGTGGGGGGTATTTAAAAGGGGAGTGAGGTAGTTACAGTGGGGTGTTTAAGGTGGGGTGAGAGGAAAGAAAGTATATAATGGAATATTTTGGGTTGGATGAGATGTACATTTAGTGGGGTGTTTTGGGTGAGGTGAGGGATGTATAATGGGGTGTTTAGAACATGCATAAGGAGAGATTGGGGTGTTTTGGTTGAATCAAGAGGGTAAGTGTGGTGTGAAGTGGGATGCTTATATGTTAGTTGAATGATATAGTCAGGTGATGATGGTGGAGTGAGGGTATAGTGGGACATTTAAGGCAAGTTAATTTATATAATGGGGTGTTTAGGACACGGTGGATAGAGTGAGTTTATGAGTATAATAAATGTTCGAGTTAGATGTTTAGGGCATCTTAATTGGTGGATTGATGTATTTACAGCAGAAAGAGGGTAGTGTAAGACTGTGGAGTAATGGTAAGGAAAAGGCTATTAAAAAAAAAAAATAAATAAAATATGTTAGTCGATACCTACAAAGAACAGCAAAAGCAGATTATAAATTAATTTTGTTTTGACAGTACATACAAACATGTTGACTTGTACAGTTGGGGACTTTTTTGGCAGAATTCTTAGGACCGTCAGTCTACCTTCTATGTGAACCTTGAGAATATCTACTCATGAATCGAAAGCCTCGGAGTTATTCAACAGGATGTGAGGTGCACAGTGTAGCCTAGGGCCAGAATATTTTAAAGCAGCTTGTTATAAATTTACTCAATGCATGGTCCAGCAACGTTGATGTTTTACATACTTCTTTGTTTACCTATGCTCTCATAAACTAGCTGATGTAGCATGTCGCTTATCACATTATACAACCTGTGATTGACCTTGGCCATGCCCACATGCTGATTAGGTGTATAATGTGATAAGTTCCTTTGCTACATACACCAATTAATCTATGAGAGCATATACTGTATAAACAAAGAAGCTTTTTAAGTATCAATGTTGCTGGATGGACCATGTAATTAGTAAAATTATAACAAGCTACTTTAAAATATTCTAGTCCTAGGATACTGTGTGCATCTCACGACTCCTCAAATAACTTGTTGGATTTGGATTCACACGTTGATATTCACAGGGTTCACACTTACGAAGATAGTGGACTGAGGCTGCTTAGGGTATCAGCCGAAAAGTCCCCAACTGTCCGTACATTGCACACATATCCACTTATTTTTGTATTGTGACACACATCTACAGTACTAATTTCCCCCATTAACGTCATTTCAGTCAAAGTCGTTTCATTATAACATTGTTGAAAAAAAAAATATATATATTTATACGAAAATGAGGAATGTACAACAATTTTAAAACTTCAGTATGAAGATACTCAGTGCCTGATTGTGATAACAGCTGGCTGTGTAAACGACCAGCGTGGGCACCATATTTGTTATTGTTCGGTGGTTGGTTGATGCTCTTCCAACATTGACGTAAAATCCAATTATAAATTTATTTGAGCCCTAGAACAATGAGTGCTAAACATGCACTGTGCACCACTACGGGTTGTGGTCACAGAAAGAAGTTAAATGAGATGTGGCAGAGAGATTTGAAGGAGGACAGTGAGCTGTGGGCATTCAGTTTGCAGCCTACAACTGTAGGTAAGAATAATTTGTGGAAATGCAGAAAATATTGAATTGTGTACCAAAGTGTTATTCCATTATTTGCTACAAAGTTAACTCGTAATAGAAGTGGCATAATGGAAAATATGGAAAGAATGCTGAACATCTGAATCAAGGATCAACTTCAACAACGTTTCATGTTCGTTGCTCTCCACACAGGCGAAAGTTCCAAGCTTATTTGAAACATTAAAACAAGGTGATAATGCTGAAAGTGAAACATTTTTAGCAAGTCTTGAGAAAATTTTGACTGGAAATGTACACAAGGAACATAACCCCTTTTTATACATTGTGTCTATGGTAAAATCATTTTCACTTAAAGTCGTGATTTTCAGGAACCTAACAACGATGTTAATGGGGGGAATTGGGTATAATTGTATCTTTTCCACTGCATGTAAATATTAAGAAATGTACAACACTTATAAAAAATTTGCTTCACCAATGTCATCATCTTCTGTATTAGTTAACAGTAGCTACCACATGGGTTTCTATTAAAAAAAAAATTGTGGCAGATATATTTCTTCAGTGATGGGCACTGCTGGGTTTCTACTATCAAAATGCTTGAGAAGCAATTCACACAATTAAGGACTAAATTAGTCACTAAACAAAATTTCTCCAATTACAATATTTTTACACACTGAATTCTTATATGGCAAGTGATTCTTGAAAGCTGGGTGGTAACTAGCTATCAAACAGGATTTGGGCTTCTTTAGTCTCATGACAACTGCTCAGTACTGTACTGTTCTTAGGTACCCAGGGAGAGCTGTGGCTCTTATTGACTATAGTTTAACCTGGAGAAGCTTGTTGAGGGAGATGAGAATTGATCTATTAGAAGGATCCATTGGCCTTGTTCATTCTAGACTAAGGTTTACAAAATGTATTAGAGTTTTACAATTAATATAAAAACAATGTGAGAGTCTACACTACTCCGCAAGACTATTGTAATACATAATTTCTTTTTTACACAATTCACCTGACACACAAAATATTTCTTTGTTTAATGTACAAAAACTCAATTAATTTGAAATGAGTTTTTGTTAGGAGTATTAACTGACACAACGATGACTCGTACCTTTTTTTTACATTCGGAACAGTAATTCCAAAGAGGAATCCCGAACATCGAGCTACTTTTAAGTACTGTACCCAATTTGCTGGATTACCTAAAAGTAAACCAATGTTTGGAATTCCTCTTTGTTATTACTGTACTACCCCAAATGTTGTAAAAAAAAAAAAAGGGGACGGGGGCATCAATGAGATGGTGAGTGAGGTTGTAACGACCCCTTTCCTTATAATGCAGGTGTACTAAAAGTCTTTTGGTGTGAGCAACTCCACAGACCAATCATCAACTAGACCAGGAGCTGTGTACAGGTATTTCACCAAGCTGCCTTGGGATTTTTCTTCTGAAGTTGACATTGGCTTATCAATAAATTCTTTCTGCTTACAAGCCTACCATCTGGTAAACTTATTTTAATGCAGATAAAATGTAACATGTACAGTAATACACTTCCTTCTAAAACATCTTTCTTCACATATTATGTCAATGCCATGGGGTGCTGGTACAAGGTCCCTGGGATATCCATGCAAATATTTCCACTCTTGTACAGTAACATCCAAATGGTTAAAATCTGTTTGACAAAAATTTTTCTGTGAATGCTGATGATTATGTTTCTATATATGAAAGGGTACATCCTTTGGCACTTAATTTAGCACTGTACTTGATATATTAATATCATTGCAAAAATAAGCAGCAATAAATATTTTGAGATTTGCTTTGCAAAAGATTACTATTACTGTGTGTCATTTTGTGCTCAAGAGGAGATAACTGAGGTTTATCTGACTAATGTAAGGTACTAGTCCATGGACACCCTTGCTTATCCAGCAAAAGACCCGTCACTCTTACCTGAGAGGTGTAGCCAATCTTCTTAATTACTATATATCTCTTGGATTATCTTAAAAATATTTTCAACACTTTTCATTATGCACAAACACTGCAGCACTGAACATTACTTATACATATGACTAGTGAATCTCTGGTTGGATATGTCAGAAATGTCAACAAGCAATTTATGGGAATATAAATGAAGGCTTCCAGTTACAGTATTTCTGGAAATCCTCATTATAAGCAAAAAAATTACTTTTGACTTACCCTAATTTTTTTCTTGCTGTCTTCTGTAATATGACCACCTAACACTGATACAGTGCATCTCACTAGTAACTATATTAATCTTTACTCACCTCAGTTGGGATGATGCAATTATTAAAGAATTTCATGACTTTTTGCTCATTCATGTGGAATTCCACTGGTTGGTTCATCATTCACTCACTTTAAATTTAAACACAGAACTTTCTTGCCCAAAAATTACTTCATGGCATGAAGTACAGTATATTTTTTATAACACAAGAAAAAATTCCTTAACAGAAATCTTTAGTACCTTACCACTTCTTCAGGAAAACTTTAATAGTGAGTTTATTTCCTTTATCAAAAGAGAATTTAGTACCTGTTCACCTCTTCAGGAGACTCTGGCTCAATGAGAGGTGTGGCCTCTGGACCCATTGAGGCAGAAGAGGAGATACAAGAGAGAGTGACCTCTCTAGGTGTAGTAGGGTCACGGGGTCCTACCCTGGGGCTGTCAGTCTCTTCCAGGGATACACTTGTTACTGCATCTATCTCTATCTCTGTTGGATTTGTCTCTGGCACTGTATTAACAACACGAGTTAATATTCTGGGAATTTTTCTTTATTTTTTATGTTTTTCTTTATCTTTTATGTTTGTGGATATTTTTGCCTTAGATTTAAAAGGACAGTACAGTATGTACTGCTATCTGCACATCAATGGCAAATAATTCCTACTTTAGAAATTGTGCATACTTTACATATGTACATGCAAAATTTGTAAAGTAGGAATTATTTGTTCTTGATAGTTTAAAATGAATGCAGTGGCTATTCTTATAGTGTATATTTATAGTCTGTTCGCTCAGACCTTGCAACCGAGGCCTCAAGTCAGTTTTGTAGCAAGGGAGCCGATTGGCTGGCAAAAAGACACGGGAAAAGTCAGTACAGTTCTTTAGTATTTAATAAACTGTATTGTACGGGGTATTTATATTCTGATATTTTAAGGAATAATGACTATTCTGTGTTAATCTCTGATAATTTTCACACTTTGGAAAAGCTATAATTAGCTTGTGAAATATTCTGGTAACATAAATACTGCACAGTATCTTCAAGAAAACTAGAAAAAAAATTAACAAATTTCAGTGACATTCTCCACCACAATGTTTCACATCACAGGGCGAGGATTTTATGTCTTGGAACTTGTTCATCATGTTCATGTTTTCTTAGATATTTATGTTAACAAAAGCATTTCACAAGCTAATTTTCACTTCCCCAAATCTGGAAATTCTCAGAAATCAACTCAGAATTGTTATCCTTAAAATTTTTTATCCTTAAAATACAGTCATTCTTCTATAATATGTGTTTTCATAACATGAATTGGTTATGACATGTCAATGTATTAGAGAACTTTTTTACAACACTGATGTGAATTGGGTATAACGCGACTGAGTAAACAGAAGTTGGAATAAGTGATTATGCAACTGCCTCAACTTAGTGTCACACAGGCAGCTGGTGGATGCTCCTAGTTGCTGTCCACTGCAGCAATTTGTCAATGAAAAATCCATTTAGTAATGAGTGGAATTTGTTTGGTATTACCCCTGAATAAATTCACAGTTAACATGTGTGATGATTTCACTGCCCTTTATGACTGAATTATTACTAATTCAGTGTAAACAACTTAACTACAGTTAAACTGTATATAGTTAAGCTATCAGGTTAATTGCTGTTTTCTTTTATATAGAAATGTTTTACTGTACTGTATGCTAAAAAATTGGTATATAAACACTCAATTTGGTAATGAATCTCAACGTTTCTGGTAATGACAGGAAAATCAGATGTGACGACCCAAGTTACGTTACCCCACGTGCCTCAGTCTTTGTTCAGCCTGCATATGTATCACCTGTTATCACCGACTGTGCTTTACCACATACCTGTACCTGTATTATTTGTCTCTCAAACATTTTTATAAATTTATTTACATTTCTTATGGTTAGAAATGTTTTGTTTAAAAAGGTTTTATCATTAAAAGCTGTAAGCGAGTCACTCCATTAATTTCATAATTATCATTCCTTATGGCTACATTTTCTTTCACTTAGCAATGTAGACTGATAAGCTGTAACATGCATTTTCCCCCCATTTTCATGTTTTTATTCTATTAATGAATGATATCCAAGTAAAACACATTTACTATAAAAACACACAAAAACTAACAATAATATAACAAATTGTAAAGAAAATGTCAGTCGTGTTGGTGTTCTCAAACCTACTACCCCCGAACTCCTTAATTTCAATAGAATCAATAGTTACTATAATGTCAGTTTTCTAAAATGTGATGTTCCTCTGGAACATAACTACCTAGTACGATGTTATAGGAGAACTGACTGTATCAGAATATAAATTTATAGATTAAATACCTGTACTGTAGTGACTTTTCTCTTGTCTGTCTGTCAGCCAATCAGTTGCCTTGCTACAAACTGACCCTTGGTTTCAGTTGCAAGGTTTGAGTGAACAGATTATAGTATGTGTAACATTTGTAATACAGTGGACACTAAGTGGGTTTTAAAGTTAAGGCAAAATAACATCTAGGTTGCAGTGCTTTTATGAGTGGTTGTATCCATATAAATGTGAAAATCTTATTACTGTACAGTTACTTTGGTCACACAAAAGTAAAAGACGTATTTTTAATCATAGGGATAAAACTGTGGATGCTGTAGGGCCTTTACCAACACTATTTTATCCTGGGATTCAAAACAATGATCCCAGGAAGTAAAACTACTGTTACTAACTTGTTACTCGTAAATTAAATTTCCCTGATTAGATGGCTGGTAATATTACAGGTAATTTAGCAACATAAAATTTCCTATAAGGAAATACAAATACCATTAAGAGCAATGTGCTAACACAAATCTCCATGGTAAATAGAATTGCAATATCTGTACTATATTAGAGGTTATTTACCAATACCAAAGTTCATCATGAGAAGTAAAGCTGCCAACATCAGAGGAGGTCATCAAGTCTGGTAATGCTGGAGAAAATCACCAGGATTTTGCACGTGACCATTTTCCATTAAATACCGATTATTAAAGCCTTTGACTTCTGGGAGATGAAAGCATTGGCCTAACTGGTAAACATTATAATTAACTCATCTGGATACTGAGAGAGAGAGAGAGAGAGAGAGAGAGATGGAAGAAAGCAGGCAGCTAGATACTCTGGCAGAAAGCCAAATAAATACCTAACAAACCTGTTATAGCCAATTAAGTTACAAATGAGCCTGGCAGACCACTAATTCAGTTAGGCAATAGGTTGGGTAGAATCAATGTAATGACTCAGGAGTCTGGCAGACAGCCAATCAAAGTGACATGTGCCTGAGACAAAGTATTATCAGCAAGCATAACAGTCAAGTAACAAATAAGTCTAGCAGAATCAACTAATAAGGTTGGCAGTCAAGTAACTAACAAGCCTGGCAGACTAGTAACTAACAAGCCTGGCAAAGTAGTAACTAACAAGACTGGCAGACTAATAACTAATAGTCCTGGCAGACAAGTAACTAATAATCCTGCCAGACTAGTAAGTAACTAACAAGCCTGGCAGACTAGTAACTAACAAGCCTGGCAGGCTAGTAACTAATAATCCTGGCAGACAAGTAAGTAACTAACAAGCCTAGCAGATTAGTAACTAACAAGCCCGGCAGATTAGTAAGTAACTAACAAGCCTTGCAGACTAGTAACTAACAAGCTTGGCAGACTAGTAACTAACAGGCCTTGCAGACTAGTAACTAACAATCCTGGCAGACTAGTAACTAATAAGCCTGACAGACTAGTAACCAACAAGCCTAGCAGACTATAAACTAATAAGCCTGACAGACTAATAACTAATAAGCCTAGCAGACTAGTAACTAATAAGCCTAGCAGACTAGTAACTAATAAGCCTAGCAGACTAGTAATTAATAAGCCTGGTAGACTAGTAACAAATAAGCCTGGCAGACTAGTAACTAATAAGGCTAGCAGACTAGTAATTAATAAGCCTGGTAGATTAGTAACAAATAAGCCTAGCAGACTAGTAACTAATAAGCCTGACAGACTAGTAACTAATAAGCCTGGCAGACTAGTAACTACGGTAATAAGCCTGGCAGACTAGTAACACAAAACAAGCCGGCAGACTAGTAATAAAGCCTGGCAGACTAGTAACCTCGTAATAAGCCTGGCAGACTAAGTAACCCTACGGTAATAAGCCTGGCAGACTAGTAACTACGGTAATAAACTGGCAGACGTAACTCTATCCTGGCAGACTAGTAACTACGGTAATAAGCCTGGCAGACTAGTAACTTACGGTAATAAGCCTGGCAGACTAGTAACTACGTAATAAGCCTGGCAGACTAGTAACTACGTAATAAGCCTGGCAGACTAGTAACTCGGTAATAAGCCTGGCAGACTAGTAACTACGGTAATAAGCCTGGCAGACTAGTAACTACGGTAATAAGCCTGGACTAGTAACTAGTAACTACGGTAATAAGCCCTGGCAGATTAGTAACTACAGTAATATCCTGGCAGACTAGTAACTACATTAATAAACTGGCAGACTGGTAACTTCTCTGATGTATAAGCCTGGCAGACTAGTAACTACGGTAATAAGCCTGGCAGACTAGTAACTACGGTAATAAGCCTGGCAGACTAGTAACTACGGTAATAAGCCTGGCAGACTAGTAACTACGGTAATAAGCCTGGCAGATTAGTAACTACGGTGATATCCTGGCAGACTAGTAACTACGGTAATAAGCCTGGCAGACTGGTAAACCGACTCTCATTTCTGACAGATCCCAAGTAAAGAAGGTTGGCAGATACGAACTAAGTAGGCTGGCAGACCCTTTAAATATATTAATTAGCATCCTTGCCCCTAACTATGCAATTATCATGCCAACCAATTAGACAATACTGTACAATTTTAAATACAGTATCTAATAAGCCAGACAGACTATGTAATTAATAACCCAATTAACCTGGCATACCCTAAATTAAAAAAAACAAACAAATATAGTAATGAGTCTGGTAGACTTCCAATTATGTGATTAATAAACAAGACAGACCACCGATACAAACAACTAGGATACATTAAAATGTTGTATTAATACTGTAATTCAATAAAGGGTGAAATAGGAACCGAGTCTGTGTGGGTAGAAATCACGGAAGGAAGAGAAAAACTAATTATGGGAGTGATTTACAGGCCCCCCAAGTCTTGGCAAAGAAGCAGCTCAGCCCATATGGCAGGAAATGAGTAGGGCAGCAAAATATAACAACCTATGCATTATGGGGGATTTCAACTTCAGAAATATTGACTGGGACAACATTGTAGGCGACTATGAATCTGAAGACTTCCTAGACACAGTACAGGACAATTTTTTGAAACGACTAATTACAGAACCTACTAGAGGTGACAATATATTAGACCTAGTATTAACAAATAAAGAAAATATTATCAGAGATATCACAGAAGGGGAAGAACTAGGTAACAGTGATCACAGAGAAATGAGGTTCACCCTAAATTGGGAAACGAAAAACAATGACAATATGGTCAGAGTCCCAAACTTTCGGTTGGCAGATTATCAGGGGTTAAGAAGGTACCTAGGTGAGGTCACCTGGGAACAGTCACGTCAGTCCCCAGTAGGAAGGGATGAGGTCATAGATGACACAACAATTGATCATGACTATAATATATTCACTAATATACTACATAAAACACAAGAACAAAATATACCATACAGAAAAATTAGGTCAAATAAGAATGAGCCAAGGTGGATGACCAGAAAACTTAAACATGACATAGGAATAAAGAAAGGAATATACTGTATAAGAAATTAAAGGGAGGGGAGGAGCAGCTCAGAAATAGGTATAATGAACTATCTAGGAATGTTAAGAAAAATGTAAGGAAAGCAAAGAGAGACTATGAAATCAAAATAGCAAGAGAATCCAAGGCGAATCCCAAGGGATTTTTCCAGGTATATAGGACAAAGGTCAAGGACAAAGTTGGGCCTTTAAAGTCAGGGAGAGGAGAAGTGATAAATGGAAGTGAAGAAATAAGCAAAGCATTGAACAGCTACTTCTTATCAGTTTTCACAGAAGAAATTTGCTTTGAAATTCCAGAGGTGGAACTGATACTTAAGGGAAAGGAAGAAGAGAAATAAAGAATATCACTATCAGAAAAGAGGATGTTCTTAAGAAGATAAATAAACTGAAGAAAACAAAATCCCCAGGGCTGGATGAAATTTTCCCTTGTGTCTTGAAAGAGTGTAGGGAACAGATTAGCGGACCCCTCGTAAACTTATTTACAAAATCATTAGACACTGGAGTTGTGCCAGACTTGTGGAAACAGGCATATGTAGTACCCATATTCAAAAAGGGAGACAGAGCGTCAGCGTCAAATTACCGGCCGATCAGTTTGACGTCAGTAGTGGGGAAATTTCTTGAATCAATTATAGCAGATAGCATCCGATCGCATCTAGAGAAAAGCAAATTAATCTACGACTCTCAACATGGGTTTACAAAGGGAAAATCTTGTCTAACAAATCTGCTAACGTTTTTTAGGAAAGTCTTCGAGGTAGTAGATAATGACGAAAATTACGATGTTATTTACTTAGACTTTAGCAAAGCATTTGACAGAGTACGCATCAGAGGCTTCTGAGAAAAATTAAGGCTCATGGTGTCGAGGGGAAAGTTTTAAATTGGATAAAATCATGGCTCACCGCATAGAACGCAGAGGGTCAGGTAGATGGTGTTAAATCTGAGTGGGGCCGTGTAACCAGTGGGGTTCCCCAGGGGTCAGTACTAGGCCCACTCTTGTTCATAATCTACATAAAAGATCTAGATACTGGGATCAGCAGTGACATAAGCAAGTTTGCGGATGACACCAAAAATAGAGGCTGACTTAAATTAATTCAGGGCAGGATGCAAATGCATTACAGGAGGATCTAAATAAACTGCAGGGGTGGTCTGAAAAATGGCAAATGAAATTCAACACCAGCAAGTGCAGCGTACTTAATATTGGAAGAACAAATACTTATAATGTATACAGCCTTAACAACATCAACCTAGAGAAGTCAACTTGTGAAAGAGACCTAGGGGTACTTGTAAGCCCGGACATACGACCTAGAAAACAGTGCGTTAATGTTCGAAATAAGGCAAACAGAGTATTGGGTTTTATATCTAGAAGTGTAAGTAACAAGAGTGCAGAGGTCTTATTGCAACTATATCTTGCTATAGTCAGGCCGCACCTCGATTATGCGGTTCAGTTCTGGTGCCCCTATTATAGAATGGATATAAATTCACTAGAGTCGGTGCAGCGAAGAATGACAAAAATGATTCCGGGACTTAGAAACCTTCCATATCAGGATAGGTTAAAGAAACTTAACTTGCATTCCCTAGAAAGACGAAGAGTGCGGGGAGATATGATAGAAGTATTTAAGTGGGTGAAAGGAATCAATAAAGGGGATATAGATAAAGTTCTTATAATATCCGAGCAGGATAGGACTCGGAGCAACGGATTCAAGTTGGATAAGTTTAGGTTTAGGAGGGAGATAGGAAGAAACTGGTTCACAAATAAGTGGTAGACGAGTGGAACAAGCTTAGCAACTTTGTAGTAAGTGCGGGAACTCTGGAAAGTTTCAAAAGGAGGCTAGATAGATTCATGGATGATAGAGAGTGGTAGTAACTCTCGACAGGAGCTGCCATGCACAGGCCAACCGGCCTATTGCAGACTCCTTATTTTCTTATGTTCTTATGTTCTTAACTACTGTGCTGTACTGGGTAACCTTGGCAGGCTCCAATTAAGTAAAGATCATGCCAATGAGCTTAGCAAATCCTCAATTATTAACAAGACTGAAAGAACTTCAGTTAAGTATTTAATAAGCTAAGATCCTCAACTTTGTAGTTCACAAACATGGCCGATCCCAACTATATTTTTGATAACTTAAGTAGCCTGGCAGACCCTACATTGTGAAATTAATAAGTGTGGCAAACCCTAAGGAATTAATGGGCCATCTAGAATGACAGCCTTTTAATCAGTAGTAGATTTTCACAAAGTCATCCAGAGCAAAAGCTCTCATCATGGGAGATTTTTAATTACAAGATGATAAACTGGCTGAATCTTACCACAAAAAGTGAGGGAGAAGACTTCCTTGACCACGCAACACAACCATGGAGAATACTAGCTCATGAGGAACAAACTACAGAGAATTAATGGGGAGGGGGGGGGGGCCATTGTTAAAATGGAAACAGACAGATGAATTACTGCAAGACTTCTTGGAAATCCTTGAGATAACTGTAAGAGAATGTACACTCTGGAAAACAAGCAAGAGAGTAAATAACACCAGATGGACGACTCATAAGTTCAGGAAAGCCTGCAAAGAAAATACCAGCTGTGAAAGAAAGACTGGCTCACAACACATCATACGGATTATGTAGTACTGCATATGAAAGAGCCCTAAATGTTGTATTAGCCCCTTAGTGTTTATATAAATGTGGGATAGTACATTAAGCTTATATAATCATATCACCCCCTGTAACTTTACACTGGCTATGAGGTGACATGCTCACATCACGTGAGGGGTAGGTTCCACCCTTGAGGTGTGGCCCTTAAATGTTAGGTCAGCTAATAGAAGCCGGCTAGCGAGTCAGATCACTCCCAGTCTCACATCAATCGGACGTATTTAGCAGAGCTACTATAAGATAGCCTCCGGCCTCATTTAACACTCATAGCTACATTGATTAAGTTACGGTGATATACACTTGGAATTATATAACAAATATTCCCCTAGTAAATTAGGAAAAGACAGTTGGGTTTCTCTACTAAAAACCCTATATACTTTTACATGTTCCAGCCCCATTAACTCATCAAGAATCAACGGTTAAGGGAGGGAACGATGTGACCAATCAAGAAATTAGATCAGCCAAACGGCACTTCGAGAAGAAATTAGTCCAAAATATTACAAAAGATCCCAAGTCTCTTTATGCATAAACCAAGAGCAAAACGAAAACCAAGGCCATCTAATAGTCGAAAACAATGTGGCCCTGGAGGATGACAGATAGAAAGCATGTGCCCTAAATGATTATTTTGTATCAGTTTTCACACAAGAGACAATGGATAACATGTCAGTACTCAGGAGTTGTATACCTCAGGTGTGTATAATGAATTAAGAGAGAGACAGCACAATTACAGACGATATCATCAAAATGAAAATCAGCTAGCTTGAAAGAATTCAAAGCCCCTGTAGTGGACAGAGCACACACCAAGGTGGCAAACAGAATTTGCAATCCACTAAGACATCTTTGGATCAAGGAAAGGCACCTCGGGACTGGAAATCAACTACCCTGTACTGTACTGTAGTGTCACCCCAGTATACTGTACAAGAAAGATAGAAAAAGTGAAGCAAAAAACTACAGGCTGATCAGCCTAACATCCCATATATGCAAACTAACGAGAAAATTCTCAGGGACGCCATCATCCAACACCTATTTGAACTCGGTCTTATCAACGCATCACAACATTACTTGGTTTCATGGAGATGAAATCATATCAAACAAACTTACTCATTTTCTTTGAAATGATAACAGACTGTGTGGGCCAAGGTTTACCAGTAGATGTGTTGTACAGTACACTGATTTTTCTAAGGTGTTTGACGGTCCCACATGCATGGCTAGCCTATAAGATACAGGTACAGTACCTGGCATCATAGGCAAATTTTTTAAGTGTATTAACAAACGGCTCAAAGACAGGCAACAGGTAAAAAGGGAGGTTAGCTACACAAAAAGGCAGTTGAGCTAAGGTTGAATGATAGACAGACAAGACATCTGGACAAGAAGGTAGACTTTTAGACAGGAAGACTACATTCAGACATCTAAACAGACTGATATATTAACCGCCGAGTCTCTGAAGGTAAACGTCAGAATGTAAACAAGTGAACATACCAGGACTGTGGGTGAGGAACTGAACGTGGGTCTTGCCATTCCTTGAGGGTGTGGGAGCGAAGGGCGGTGCAGATGGCAGCAGGAAGTTGGTGGTGGGGGAGCGCGCCCGGTCATCAACCTTACCACCGTCCATGTCCTGGAAAAAAGTTCTATAAACATCGACTATGAACGTAGGTAATTTAAGGAACACAAGAGAGAATGTAAAAGTTAGTCTTCTGTTTAAGTTCTCAAGCCATATTTGACCTGATGATGATGATGATCATGCCAAGATGTTGACAACAGCCTCTGGTGAAGAAAACTTGAAAGGAAATTAGACATTAAATATTAGGTTCACAGTTGACACTCAAGAATCTCAAACCTTATGTAAGAAACATTAAACAAAGATCTTTTTAAAACAAATCAAGTGGAAATATCTGAGATCTGAGAATCTTGAGAATATCTGAGAATCTCTGAGAATCTTGAGAATATCTGGGAATCTCTGAAAATCTTGAGAATATCTGGGAATCTCTGAGAATCTTGAGAATATCTGAGAATAAGAATATCTGGGAATCTCTTGAGAACCTTAAGAATCTCTGAGAATCTTGAGAATATCTGGGAATCTCTGAGAATCTTGAGAATATCTGAGAATATTAAGAATATCTGGGAATCTCTTGAGAACCTTAAGAATCTCTGAGAATCTTGAAAATATCTGGGAATCTCTTAGGAACCTTAAGAATCTCTGAGAATCTTGAAAATATCTGGGAATCTCTTGAGAATCTTGAGAATATCTGAGAATATTAAGAATATCTGGGAATCTCTAGGAACCTTAAGAATCTCTGAGAATCTTGAAAATATCTGGGAATCTCTTGAGAACCTTAGAATCTCTGAGAATCTTGAAAATATCTGGGAATCTCTTGAGAATCTTGAGAATATATGGGAATCTGAGTATTTATGACAACCTCTGAGCATCAACACCCAACACACGAGGAACGCCCCACCAACACATTATATATTTTAGCCGTATCATAATTTCTGGCTGTGCTTACTCAGCCGGAACAGAAGACCCGCCCACCAGGACCTCACTGATGGATGTGTCTCCCGTGTAAGGGATCTTTGTTTATATCACGTGGGGTTAGTTCAGGTTAGGTGGGGATAGGAGGGAGTAAGAGGTGAGGAAAGGAGGAGGATGGATAGATAGATAGAGGAGGAGGAGGAGGAGGAGAAAGGAGGAGGAGAAAGAGGAGGAGGAGAGAAAGAGGAGGAGAGGAGGAGAAAGGGAGGAGGAGAAAAGGAGGAGGAGGAGGAGGAGGAGGGGAAGAAGGAGGGAGGAGAGAAAGAGGAGGAGAAAAAGGAGGAGGAGGGAGGAAGATAAAGAGGAGGAGGGGAGAGGAGGAGGGGAAGAAAGAGGAGGAAGGAAGAAGGAGGAGGATGAGGAAAAGGAGAGAAAGGAGGAGGAGGGAGAAAAGAGGGGAGGAAGAGGAAGAGGAGGAAGAAAGGGAGGAGGGAAGAAAGAGGAGGAGGAGGGGGAAGAGAAAGAGGAGGAAAAGGAACATAAGAAACATAAGAATGGAGAAAACTGCAGGCCTATTGGCTGCAGTTCCCGTTTACCTATTGCTCATATGAGCATCCAACCTATGTTTGAAGCAATTCAGCGTATTCGAGTTAATGATGATATTTGGTAACTTGTTCCATTCATCCACTAATCTGTTTCCAAACCAGTGTTTACCTATTTCACGCCTAAATCTAAATTTGTCCAATTTAAAACCATTGTTACAAGTTCGTTCCTGGTTGGATAATTTGAGTACCTTTGTAATGTCCCCTTTGTTTAGCCCTGCCTTCCACTTATACACCTCTATCAGGTCGCCCCTCGCTCTACGTCTCTCAAGGGAGTGCAGATTAAGATGCCTTAACCTGTCTCTATACTCAAGGTTCCTAATGCCCGGGATTAGTCTTGTCATTCTCCTCTGAATTCTTTCCAAGGATTCTATATCCATTCTGTAATACGGTGACCAGAACTGAACTGCATAATCCAGGTGTGGTCTCACAAGAGCAAGATACAGTTTTAGGATGACCTCGCTAGTCTTGTAACTAACACTCCTTTGTATGAACTCAAGTACTTTATTAGCCTTGTTACGAGCAAAAACACATTGTTTACTTGGCTTAAGGTTCCTACTTATCATTACTCCTAAATCTCTCTCGCAGTCGGATTTCTCTATGGCATCGTTGTTCATCTGGTATCTGGTTTCCCTGTTTACATTTCCTATACTGAGTACTTTACATTTGTCGATGTTGAATGTCATCTGCCATTTTTCAGACCATTCGAAAAATTTGTTTAGATCCTCCTGTAGTTTTGCCGAGTCCTCGTCAGATTTGATAACACGTCCTATTTTAGTATCATCAGGGGGAGAGGAGGAGAAGGGGAGAAAAAGAGGAGGAGGAAGGAAGAGGAGGAGGAAGGAAGAGGAGGAGGAAGGAAGAGGAGGAGGAAGGAAGAGGAGGAGGAAGGAAGAGGAGGAGGAAGGAGGGGAGAAAGGAGGAGGAAGAAAGGAGGAGGGAGAAGGAGGAGGAAGAGAAAGGAGGAAGAGGAAGTGGAGGGAGAAAGAAAGAGGAAAGAACAGGAGAGAGAGAGAGGAGGAGAGAGAAAAAGGAGGACAGAAAAAAGGAGAAAAGAAGAGGAGGAGAGAAAAGGGGGGGGAGAAAAAGGAGGAAGAAAAGGAGGAGTAAAGAGAAAAGAAGGAGGAAGAGGAGCAAGAAATGTCGGAGGAGAGGGGGAGTAGAGGAAATGAGAGGGAGGGGGAGGAATAGGAAGAGCAGAGACTTAATTTAAACGAAGAAAACACAAAAAATATAAGATAAATTACATTTATTAACAATATTTTACAAAAAATCAGGCTGGGGATGGGGGGGAGGAGGGGGTGCTAGTAATGAATCACGTGACCCACCCAAGAAGACCATTAGCGGAGGAGAAACCATTAGTCTGTGACGTCATTAATGGAGGCAGCGGTACACCACCATCATTCTCTACATAATGACATGGTGTAAGTGGGTCTTCCCAGGCCTAACGGAGCTCAGGAGTAGTGCGGATATAGTATACTTTAAGTTAACTTTTTTCTCGATTTGTCCATTAAAACGCCCTGATGCCAGCTGACAGCTCTCGACACATCCATTAATGCACATTGACATATTCAAGAAGCTTTGAAAATGGCCTGGCATCTCCCTGACACAAACTAACAAGGCTGTATAACTCCTTGACACTCACGGCGGTATTTACAGTCACTACACATTACCACAATTTGATACCCTTTGTCACAACATTTCCCTTGACATGGATTGACATAGCTTGGCAAAGCTTGACACTGCATATTTTTGTCACTCCTTGACAAAATATCTCTTGGCACTCCTTGACACATGTTATACCTTGACAAAACATGATATCCCTTGACATAACTTGACACTCCTTAGCACTTGGTATCACTTTACACAGCTTGACACGATATTCCCCGACACCCTTCGATATAATAAATATCCCTTAACAACTTTACACAACATAATATCCATTGACATACCATGGCACTTCTTGACACATGACATCCCTTGACAACCTATTAAACTGCGTCCGAACAACCATTTAAAACTCTTAGGCACCTTCGACACGTCCGTTCATGTGTCTTGGCACCCAATGGCATCATTACCACACCTTGACACTTACTTCTACTCCTTGGCACTCCTTATTGCCCCTTGACACCCATTACTACTCATAAGCACTCCATTACAACTTCATGGCATCCCCTTGACACAACCGGAAACTGCTTTAAAATGCCTTGACACCTTAATTACACCCCTGACAGGTAGTGACTTGACACCTGTATCCCCCCCCCCCCACATTATACCATGGTGCTCTCTCTCTCTCTCTCTCTCTCTCTCTCTCTCTCTCTCTCTCTCTCTCTCTCTCTCTCTCTCTCTCTTTTTTCCTTTTTCTCATTCACCCGCTTTCTCTCTTATATTCTTCCTCCTCCCAATCACTCTCCCTGTTGTATAATTATTCCCTTACTTTCTCTCCCTCCCATTTTATCTCTTCCTCTCCCTTTTTTTTCTACCTATTTGTATTATTCTCCCCCCATCCCATTCACCCACTTAAGTGATTCTTCCTCTCCTTTATTTTCATTCTCCTTCCCATTATCCCCCTCTTCCTGTTATTCGTCCCCTCTCTAATAACACACACCGAAAAATAGAAGAAAAAAGAAATGCGACCAGAGACAATGCGGTAATAAGATCGCCAGTGCTCTTACATACTGACGGTACCCTGCTGAAGCGTATATTGGTTCCTCTCTGTCTGTCTTTCTCTCTCTCTCATTCTGTGTGTGTGTGTGTGTGTGTGTGTGTGTGTGTGTGTGTGTGTATTTTGGTCTGAGCTGATCACCACCAGTCGCTTAAGTGTCGATGATGAAGCCAAACTAGAAAAAATTAATTAATAAGTGGCTTTCACCATTCCTCCCTCCCTTGTATTTATCACCTCTCTCCTTCCCACTATCATCACATTTCTATTTCTCGACCTTACATCAGCATTTTCACTTCTTCTGTCTATAGTATTCCTCTCTTATTTACCTCCTACTTTATCACACTCTGTAAAGCATCTCTCATTACTCACATACATTATGACCAAGTTACCAACAGAGTGTCGTTAATGTGTAGCTTACAGTTTGTTCCCTAGCACACACACACACACACACTATTGGACATGTGATTAGTGTAGGATACAGTATAATACGCAATATAAGTAAGACTTGCAGCAATAAGGAACCATCATCATCAGACTACACAAAACTAAACACAAGACCAAGTGTGGTAGAGGCAGTGGCCATGTTGTACACATAACTCTGGTGCTGTACTGTGTGCGTCACTCTTGCTGTGCTGTACTAGATATTATTAACGCCAAGGTGCCACACATATATACTGTACTGCTGCATCGTCTACAAAATAATACAAGAACTAATTTCGAGAGAGAGAGTCTTTTGCGGGGTAGTGACTTCCCCTCAATCACCCGGCAGTGTGTCGCTCGTATACGACCACACAGATTATTTTACGAGCCCCGTCTCAGTGTCCCCATTCTTAAAACAAAATTCTCCCTTAAATGTGGACAACAGAGCACTTACAATT